CCCAAGCATCATTCTTGAAGTGTCTTCTGCAGTGCTGGCTTGTTGGCTATGAACTGCCTTAGACTGTGCTTTTCTTGGAATGCCTTTGTTTATCAATCAAATTTATTTTGGAGGGATACCAAGTGGGTTTTATTTACTTATTTATTTAATGTATTTGTTATATATACAGTGTTCTGCCTGCACATATGCCTGCAGGCCAGAAGAGGGCACCAGATCTCATTACAGATGGTTGTGAGCCACCATGTGGTTGCTGGGAATAGAACTCGGGACCTCTAGAAAAGCAGCCAGTGTTCTTAACCACTGAGCCATCTCTCCAGCCCCTCAATCAAATTTAAGTGATAGTTGCTGGATACAGAGTAATCTAGGTCATCAGTCATCTATATTCAACATTTAAAATATTCAGTCCTGTTCTTTCCTTGCTTTTAGGTTGAAGATGAGATTATGTTCTGGACTTTGTAGGCAAGTTGACACTTTCCCATTATATTGTTTGCTTCTGCTTTTGACATCTTGACTAGTCCATGCCATGGAGCATTCTTCTAGCTGTGTCTGTCTATCTGTTTTCTTTCTCTAGATTTGGGGACTTTACTGCTGTAAGTTTATTGACTATACAATAAAACACTAAAAATAGTAAGGAAGGGTAGCAACGGAGAACACATGGAGAAAGAAAGAGTGTGGTGGCTCACTCTGTAACCTAGGCACTTATGAACTATGCTACATCATGAGTTCAAGTCCAGCATGTGCTAGAGAATGAAAAACAAACAAAAATAAAAAATAAATGAACAAGGATTTTTCCCAATAATGACAAAACAAGTATAAACAAAACTAGGTGAATATTTGAAAATATAAAAGCATTTCAATTTTTGGTGTTTTTTAATACGATAAAAATGAAAATTTTTATAAAAGTGTAGTGAAAAGAGTATCATTTAACATGGCTTTTAAATCAGTCCCTTCCTTGGTAGACTGACCTTTTAAGGTCAAGAACTGAGCTTTCTTCTGTCGTCCCAGCCCTGACTTGGAGGGACGTTTGAGCTCATTGCCCGTGCTATTCTTTCAGCTAACTGAGCATGTCCGTTAGTTTTGAGATGTACCCGTTGAGGACTGCTCCCAAGCCCCTCTTACCGAGGGCTCCCTTTGGCAGGGCGAGCCCGGCTCTTTCCTTTGCTACAGCTAAGCGATCAGAGCTCTTTCTGAAGTGGACTGCACCAGAACAGACCGTATGTTCGTATTTCTCCAGCATGGCTGCCCTGCACAGGACCCTCTGAGCAGGTAGCAGGCTAAACCATTCCTTCTCTGCGAAGTGCACAGCCACATCCTTGAAAGTCACGGATTCATGGAGCCTGGCATATAAAGTGAGAGCTGGCTGCCAAGATTGGATCTTTGGCAAATGGAGGTCATTTTGTGCACTGGGTGGTAGCCGTCACAAGCCAAACCTTCACGCCTCTTGTCATTTAATTTTTACTTTAGAAGTAAAGGCTCCGGTGCTGGGGGACGAGGGTGCACCTCAATGACAAAGGCTTTCAACGCAGCCCGGGTTGAATCTCTAGCATTTCAAGAAAATAAGAGAAGGGAAGCAGGAGAAGAAGAAGGGGGGCGGGGCGGGGAAGGAGAGAGAAAGGGGGAGAGAGGGGAAAGCGTCTACGTGTTCTTGAGCCACAGTAACTATGTCTCATAGTTAGAGGGCCCTTCATAGTCTACACTATGGCAGCACATTTGTTCTTCATTCTGGCGGAAGGAAGCTGCACATACATCCTGCTGATTGTTCTGAGTCAACCTTCAGTGTGATGTCATCGTGTGCAGGAGGAATGTGAGACCCAGTGTCCTTGGTGTACACAACCCCCCCCAACCCCCGCCACACAGGGAGAGGAGACCATGTGAAGGAGGGCTCCACCATCATCAGCCATAAAGACACGATCACATGACCAAAGACTAAACCTTGGAATGATAGGCCGTTTTTATTTCTCCTCTGCATACAGCCTGCCTAAAGATGAGGTAGAAGGCAGATCTTTAAGATGTCAACCCATTACCAAATTACCAAATAGACCGCCAAATTTCTGGATTTCTGAATAAAGCATAGATTAAAGATTCAATTCCTGGTGGGTCGGGGTGGTGGCCTATGCTTTTAATCCCAGCATTCAGGAGGTAGAGGTGAGTGGATCTCTGAATTCAAGGCCAGCCTGATCTACTGTGTGAGTTCCAGGACAGCCAAGGATACATAGAGAAACCCTGTCTTGAAAAGAAAAAGAGAAAGCTTCAATTACTGGTTTTTGCATGTGCCAGTCAGCACAGAGCAGCTACAATTTCAATAACGTGCATTACGAACCCATAGAAAGGATTCTTAGTCATAATATCAGCCATAAAAACTAAAAAGTACTACAGAAACAACACATATTAATATTGTTGCAAGCTAGGATGGTCATGTTAGCCTTGGGTTTTGGATGGGATGGGTGGTTCAAGAGGACACTGTGACACATTCCTGGGGACTAAGAAGTTTGTTATTGCCACCACGAGCAGAGAACCGAATGGACAGTACTGTGGTGGGGGTTCCAAGGAGTGTTTAGGCCCCAGCACCAGAGAGAAAGAGAGAGACCTTGTGGCTTCGTTTTTATCCTTTCTGTATGGTGGGAAGGTGCATAGTAAGAACCTGCAGCCAGGCTTCCTGATTCGTGGCTGGAGGATGGGAAGGGGACGGGGAGCAGGACGTGATACTCTTTTTGATGTAGATTCGCTTCCCTAAAGTCACTGTCAGCGGTATTGGCTGGAAAGTACCTCCTTAAATGCTATGACTTGAGCTAGCCGAGATCCCAGGACACAGCTGAGGCCAAAGAACTGTTACAAGTTCAAGACTGAGATACAAAGTGTGTACCAGGCCAGCCAGGGCGACATAAAAACTCTGTCTCAAAAATCGTGTGTGTGTGTGTGTGTGTGAGAGAGAGAGAGAGAGAGAGAGAGAGAGAGATTTGGGAAAATGTCATAAAAGCATTTTTTTAGGGGACTGGAGAAATGCTTAGCAGATAAGAGTGCATATTACTTTTTATTTATTTATTTATTTATTTTTAAAACATTATCTTTTCTCATTTTTATGTACCAGTTCTGCTTCCCACTTCCTCTCCTCCTGCTCCCTCTCCACCTTCCCCAGGGCATGCTACTCTTACTAGGGACTGAATTTAAGTTCCCAGCACTAAAGCCAGGTGGCTCCCAAGTGCCTGTAATGGCAGTTGCGGTCCATGCAGCATCTCTGACCGCTAAGGACACCTGCCCTCGTGTATACATATCCCACCCAATGACCACGCATACACACAATTAAAAATAGTAAAAATAAATATTTCTAAAACATTTTTCATGGGAAAATAACTGAAAAGCAAACAAACGAACTCTACCACGGGGTTCCATCCTCAGCACTATGAAAATAAGGAGCATGTATAACCCTGGAACTGGGAGAGCAGCCAGGACCAGAGCATGTGCTTAGCATGCCCCAAAGCGAGGGGGAAAAAAGAATGGCAGAATGCACAGCCACCATAAGCTCGTGGAGGCGCTGAGACTGTGGTGTTTCTCTGCACAGGTCCCGCCCTCTCCTACAGGCTGGCTGAAGGCCCCTCCCAGGCCTCACCCTTCCTAGTTTTATTTTGTTGTGGTTGTATTTGTCTCATTATCTTTTCCGCGTACGTGTACCTGTGGAGTCCAGGCTTGGTGGCAGTGCCTTTGCTCTCTGCCCTGCTCACCTTTTCACTTGAGGGAGTCTCTCACCCTTCTCCTCCATGTCTTATTGCCTTTCTGTTGATAAGACTGGGATCCACAGTGGAGGATCCACAGCTAACGGTTGGCCCGTCATTTCATTGATAACAGAAATATGGCATTGGCTCCATTTTCTCAGAGCTACAGCGAGGCAAAGGTGGATGGGTCCCAACCCCACTCCCTAAAGGCCCTGCCGTGCAGTCCTCTGAGCCTTCTATACTGCCCCGAAGTTGGTTGTGTGGAGTGGGCTGAGCTGCCCATCTTGCTGGAACACTTGAGTGTTTATGGCACAGTTCAGGCGTCTACCAAGATAAATGGATTGTAGAATAATACCCAGGCCAACAAGAGCTCTGTGTAGTGGTCAAATTCTACTGACTATTAAACTCCCACATGTAATTCACTTTCCCAAGGAATGGCTGTAGTCTGCCTCCATTTAAGTCTTACTCAGGAAGCAGAACACCCTCACATTCTCTAGAAAGATGGAAAGTTCTGCACAGGAGTGCGTGCGTGCGTGAATGCATGTGTGTGCGTGAATGCATGTGTGTGCGTGTGTGTGTGTGTGTGTGTGTGTGTGTGTGTGTAGGGAATGAAGGCTGAAGCTAGATCTCAGCCCTCTCCCTTTTTTATACTGAGTCATGTGACTTGGGGCACAGTTCCTCCTCTGTGACGTGGGGATAAAGTGTCAAACCCATAACTATGAGTTTGAGGCCAGCCTGGTCTACAAAAGCTAGTGGAACCAAAAGCTACAGAGAAACCCTGTCTCAAAAAGAGAGAGAGAGAGGGCGACAGTGGAATCAAGGGCTCAAAGTGTCTCGACAAAACAAGTTGACATATCACAGAGATATTTGAACATCAATGTTTATTCACAGTAGTTAAATTATGGAACCAACGTAGGTGTCCGACAACAGGAACAGATAAGGGAATATGATGTATATACACAATCGAATTTCTTTCAGCAATAAAGAGGAGCAAATCATGTTATTTGCAGAAAAGTGGATGCAACTAGATTAAGCCAATCCCAGAAAGACAAATATGTTTTCTCTCATTTGTGCGTCATGAATTTCATATAAACATATAAAATCACACATGGATGTATGTATGTGATACATATGCATGTATCCAGAAGTACAAGTGTCTAGAATGAGACCACAGAGTGAGGGGGTGGAGGTATGAAAGGGGTGTGTTCAGTGTATCATATACACAGAGATGACAATTAATAATGACAACAGCAGCTGAAGCCTGTGACTCGAAACCGTTTTTTCTTCCAGGATGGCTTTGGGGATCTTTGCAAATTGTACGTTCTGCTTGAAAGTCAAACACTTACCTCGTCAAGAGAAGAAGAAGCTGCAGGCTGATATCAAGGAGAATGGAGGAAACTTTTCATTTTTATTAAATCCTCAGGTATTTACAAATCTTACCAATTACTTTCTGGTTAATACGAACTTTCAGGGAACACGGCTCTGGTTAGAGTAAGCAGAGAAGACTGGCAGCAGGCGACACTGGGGCGTGGTCCCCTGGGGGATGGGCCAGAAGAAGCAGGGGGTGCCAGAGGACTGAGCCCAGCCTTCTGCGCTGGGAGTTCCTACGTTGGGAATCTGATACCATTCGGGTTTAGGCAAAGACGTAAATAGAATTTCAGACCAGCCGTGCCTGTTTTTTAAAGAGGAGAGTCATAGTGTACCTGCTTGTGAAAGGCACGCTGTGTCACTGGCCAGGAGGGCAGCGCAGGGGCAGAAGCGCAATGTGAACTAGTCTTTCTGCAGTAGTTTACTTACCTCAGAAGAGCTGAAGGAAGCTGCTGCTTCTCATGAGATGAACTGTAGGCCTAAGAGTTTAGATACAGTTTCACAAGTGGAATGGAAGTCTCAAGGCAGTATGTCCCAGACCTGCTAGCCCTGTCTTTCCTCTCCCCTGTGTTGCTAGGTCTGACCCTGGTTGCCTCTCCCTGGGTCCATCCGGGTATTACCATAGAGAGCCTCATCATCTCTAAGAGGCCAGTTCAGCTCTAGCAGGGCACCACAAAGAGCAGTCCCCACTTGCCTCAGTCCGGGCAGAGATCTGCATGCACCCATCACATGGCTTCCTGAGTTCCCAGCCTCTGTTTTCATGGGTAGATAATAATCCACTGAGAAGTAATAAGTAAATCTGGTGGTGGTGGTGCACACCTTTAATCCCAGCACTCGGGAGGCAGAGGCAGGCGGGTCTCTGTCAGTTCGAGGCCAGCCTGGTCTACAGAGAGAGTTTCAGGGTAGCCAGGGCTACACAGAGAAACCCCATCTTGAAAAAGAAAAACAAAAAGAAGTAATAAGTAAGCTGTCTTCTGGGTAGAGACAAGGGTCTCCGTTGTTTGGGAAACTCTCACATACTGTGTGAGATCTTTTGAACTTTTGTTATTTATTTATTTTTGCCAATGTATGTAAGTGTTTGAAACATGCACAGCAGCAGTGATAAAGGAGACACAGAGCCAGGTAAGGTGGCTCACATCTGTAATCCCATCACTTGGAAGGCTGAGGTGTGAGGGTCAAGTTCCACACCAGGCTGGGCTGCAGGAGACTGTCTTAAAAGGAAAAATGCAGTCAGATGTAGCAATAGATAAACATCTGTATATACCTAATGATGAGGAATGAACTTGAAGATAAACTTTTTATAAGTGGAAAAGCAAGCTCAGATAGTATAAAAGTGTGCTACCCTCTGTGCGGTTATACCCGTTGCCTGTAGAGAAGAGCTCTAGAAAGATCTCTGAGGAGCAGCAGTGGGGGAGGGTCGGTGGATCCCTGTTATTACTTTATAGATATCTACAATATGCATGTGCTCTTTATTCACACTGTAGCAGGAAAAAACGGGAGGCTAGGGTGATGGTTCAGTGGGTAAAATGAAGATCTGAGTTTGGACCCCAGAAGCTATGCAAATGAAGAAATATGGTCTGTAATCCCTGAGCTCCTACAGTGAAACGGGAAGTAGAAACAGAAGTATGTATGTGTGGATACACACACATACGTGTATTATCTGCGGCAAAGAGATCCTGTCTCAAACAAGGTACACGAAGACTGGCATCCAGTGTTGTCGTCTGACCTTGATGTGCACGGTGTGGCTTATACATGCACCCACAGCACACAGACGAACAAACACATCACACAGAGACACATACGTGCAGTCCCAGTTTTTAAAAAAACCAAATAGAACTATAAAGTAACAAAATAAATACCTTTTGATACCTCCGTTTTCTTTTTCTTTCTTTTTCTTTTGTTTTCGTGTGTGTGTGTGTGTGTGTGTGTGTGTGTGTGTGTGTGTGTGTGTGTGTGTGTTTTCCTCTTGAGACAGGGTTTCTCTGTGTAACCAGTTTAGCTGTCCTGGAACTTGCTTTGTAGACCAGGCTGGTCTTGAACCTGCAGAGATCCTCCTGCCTCTGCCTCAAGAGATCATAGAAGAAGTACTAAAGATGTATGCATGAGTGCACTCCCAGCATGGAGCACTTAGAAGCTACCTGTGATGTAGCCCATCCATACCCACAGTGTGATCACTATTGGCTTAGGTCAGAGGATGGAGCTCAGTGGTGGGTGCTCTCCCAGCAGCAGATCCTGGCTCTAGGTTTGGTCTAGAACTGGGGCTGGGGTGGGGATCAGGGGGTGACAGCATGTTCATTTTTAAAGTTTTTCTAGAACTGTACATTGTGTTTTTCAAAATCTGAAAAAAAATCACTATGAACTTAAACACTTTTAAATAAAATAAGACCTTTAGGGTTAAATTTACTGTTGGTAAATATTGTTTTTGCTGCTGAATAATGAACGTACTGTTTTCCCTTAGTGCACACATGTGATCTTAGACAATGCTGACGTCCTGAGTCGGTATCAGCTGAACTCCATCCAGAAGAATGATGTCCAGATTGCAAGCCCAGATTTCATATGGGACTCCATCAAGCAGAGGAGACTCCTGGATGTGAAGAACTATGATCCCAAGTCACTGGCTGTCGTGTCCCCTCCAGATGACAAGAACTGTGTTGGTGAGGCTGTCATGTCCCCTCCAGATGACAAGAGCTGTGTTGGTGAGTGTGTCCTACCAAACCCTTAACGTGTGATCGATGCCGTGGTAGACATTTGGACATGTCACAGGTGTTGTGAGGGAAAACATTATCCAGGAATACTACTAAATAATTCATTTCACCTCAGACCCGGGAAACAAAATCCTGAAGGATAAAAGGCTGGCTTAGCTACAGATAGAGATTTTTCAATGTGTAAGTCTACTGAGGTTAGACTTAAAATGACTAGTAAACCCTGACTGCCTCAGAATATGTGATGTGTAATTTTTTTAAAAAACTGTTATATTTTAATGTATTTATTAAATAAATGCCCCATGGTGCACATGTGTTGTCCACCTCCTTTTGGATAGGGCCTCCCACTGGTGTGGAGCTCACCAATTGGTCTAAGATGGTCTGTGAGGGAACCCCAGCATCCTCCTGTTTCCTGCTGCCCAGCACTGGGGTTTCTAGATTGCCCTGCCATCCTCGGCCTTTTGCTTGGCTTCTGGGGCTGAAAATCAGCGCCTCACACATGCAAACTGCTTTACTATTGGTGCAATCCCCAGGCCCCATGTGTAAATTTAACTGGGGGTAGAATAATCCTTGGTGTTGAGAAAGTGATTGCTAGCCAGGTGGTGGTGGCACACACCTTTAATCCCAGTACTCAAGGAGGCAGAGGCAGATGGATCTCAGTGAGTTCGAGGCAGCCTGGTCTACATAGTGAGTTCCAGGACTGGCTCCATAGCTACTGAGAAACCCTGTCTTAAAAAACCAAGAAAGAAGAAAGTGATGGCTGGGCTGATGAGACGATACAGGAGGATCACTGGGGCCTAGGAGTTTGTGGCCAGCTTGGGAAACATGGTGAAACGCTCAACCAAACACATCCAAAAAAAACCAACTAAACAAAAACTTAACTGAGGCTGAGGGTATGCGATAGAATGCTTACCTGGCTTGCGTAAGGCCGAGTATGAGTCCCCAGAACACTGAATGGAGAGGGAATTATATCAAATTAATTATGATTATTAGCAAATAATCATATTTAAGAATCATAACAAGGTCAGGTGATGGTGGCGCATGCCTTTAATCCCAGCACTTGGGAGGCAGTGGCAGGTGAACCTCTGTGAGTTCAAGGCCAGCCTGGTCTACAGAGTAAATTCCAGTGACAGCTAAGGCTACACAAAGAAACCCTGACTAGGAAAAAGAAAACAAACAAACAAAAAAAAAATCATAGCAATTCTAGCAGTTGGGTTCACAGTTAATTGTAAATCTTTGAACAGCTAACAAGTTTTCCTTTTAATTCCAGAGGTGGAAACAGAAGATGTGTCTTTGGACAACGCACCAGAGAATGAAAACACTGACGTCACCCAGTAAGCCAAATACTTTGAAAACTTCAGTTGTGGTATTGAAAGTACAAATGGTGCTAAGGGGGGTGATGCGTGCCTGTAATCCCAGCACTTGGGGGCTGAGTCAGGACTGAGCTACCTATGGAGACCCTGCCTCACAAAACAAAGCCAACAAGCAAAGGACGGGTGATACTCTGGACTCCTTTATATTATAAAGGACTTATGGCTCAGAAAACCATTGCTTGGAGTCAGAGCAGCGACTGAACACGCTGGCCAGAGAAGGTGGCCCTGTCTTTTGTGTCTGCTTCTGTAGCCTGTCCTCACCTCCTGTGTACTAGGGTCTGGCTTTGGTGCTGGAAGTCCGGAAGAGGAGGATGGAGATTTCCCTGGTCAGCCCTCACAGATCGCACAGGTTAAATGATTATCACATTCCACCTTCAATGTAAAACCAGAAAATGATAACTAATCAATTTGTTATGCAGAGCTCCTTTTTCACAATTATTTAACCATTTCTAGACTACTTGAGGAGGCATCGAGAACTTACTCCATACATCATAAGGAATGGGGGATCCGTTGGGAGATTCTGTTTGGTTCAAAGCTCCCTTTTAGTCTTAAATGGTTAATTATATAATTTTCAGGGTTTCTGCGGAAAATGTCGAAATTCCTCATTTTCTTCAAGACTTTGAAGTTGTGAAGTATAACGTCTTGGAAAAAGTAAGAGTCTTTTTTTTTTTGGGGGGGGGGTTCGAGACAAGGTTTCTCTGTAGCTTTTGGTCCGTCCTGGAACTAGCTCTTGTAGACCAGACTGGCCTCGAACGCCCAGAGATCTGCCTGCCTCTGCCTCCCGAGTGCTGGGATTAAAGGCGTGCGCCACCACCGCCTGGCAAGAGTCTTATTTTTACTTAGAGAAAAGAAACTGATTAATTTCTGAAAGTGTTTCCTCTTTGGTGATTTCCTCATTGTTTTAAGAAGCTGTTCATATTCTGAACATCACATGTCCTTGTAACTCGAGTTGGCTGTTGGGCTCAGAAATTGTTTAAATTTTTGCCTATTGTAGTACTTCATGCCTATAATCCCAACACTTAGGAGGTTGAACCAAAGGGTTATGAGTTCAAAGACAACCGCAACTATACAATGAAACCCAAATAAACCCTCTCAAATAAAACCCAAAAACTAAATAAATTTTAAAGAAGAAAAAGAGATTCTTTTAGTGTTCTTAGTGGAAGTCATTCATGTTCATGCTATATTTGTTTTTGAGACAGGGTCTCGTGTATCCCAGGCTGGCCTTGAACTTGCTACATATTGGAAAATGGCTTTTAACTGATCCTTCTGCCTCCACCTCCCAAATGCTAGGGTTATAATTATGCACCATCCAGTTTGTCCAGTGCTTGTGGTCAAACCCAAGGCGTCAGGCTTGCTAATTACTCAACTAACTGAGCCAAATATTGAACAATCTAAAACATCAGTATGGCATTAGAAATAAATCTCTACTTTGTCATTAACTGTTTCTAATATTGGAAAAGATAGATTTGACACTAAACATTTATGCCATGTTGAAGTGTTCTTTTTGGATTAAAGGAAAACAGAAAATTTTATTGATAGAGTCACACAAATTAAAATCAACATTTGCTTTTGAAGTGATGTCCCACTTATATTTTTGGATATTTGAATAAAATATAAATTTAAAAAGGTATTTCCCTCTATAATAAAAAAAAGTGAAAGTCACATTATAAATACACAGAGGAAAAATTATACAAAAATATTGGTAGTGATTATATTACTCTGATAGGGTTTCGGGTGATTTTTACTCCCTTGATACTTCTGTGTTTTCTAAAATACATTGCTCCAGCATATTAGGCAGCCTTTTCTGATGTGGAGGGTGGCTAGTTTCCACAGCTCTGCTTCTAAAAGGTACCCTGTCTTGCAGGTGGGAGCGGACAGAGGCCAGGAGACTGTGGTAGTAGAGCTGCAGTCTTCCCAGGACCCCGGGGACTGCCCCTTTGTGATATCAGTGCACTTCCTCCTGGCTGACGGCGTGCAGGTGATGCCTTGAGTTATGTTCCTGTGTCTTTACTCCTCCTGTTGCTAGCTTGCTTAAAGGAATCAAGCCGCCTACCTACCTGCTAAGTGTTTTCGTGTCTGGGGGCATAGTCAGCTGGGATGCTGAAATGGATAGTATGGCTACTGGGTGGCTCAAGCAATAGAAGCTGTTTCCTCACTGTGCTGGATGCTGAAAGTCCAAGATCAAAAGGTAGCAGAGATCCTCTGCCACTATCTTTCCCTCCTCTTCCTCCATCTTTTCCTCCTCCTCACCCATCTTTCCCTCCTCCTCACCTATCTTCCCTCCTCCTCACCCATTTTTTCTTACTCCTCATCCATCTTTCCCACCTCTTCCTCCATCTTTTCCTTCTCCTCATCTTTTTCTCCTTTGTTCCTTTTCTTTCCCACCCTACCCCACCCCCATATCTTAAAGAGACATTCTTACTCTGTATTCCAGGCTTTCTTCAGACTTGGCACTCCTTCATTAGCCTCCATAGTGTTACCATTACGGGCATGAACCACACACCTGCCTCATAACAGAGTCTTCCCTGGGACTCACTGGGACAGTCCGGACTCTGTTGTGCATGTGAGGTGAAATTACCTGGAGCGGGTGAGAAGGAAGCATGAAACACACAACAAACCCATTTAAGAGTTTATTAGAGGAGACATGTATAGGCCTGGGGAAGCAGAAAGAGAGGGCTAAATATGGCTGCCTAGCTCATGCACACAGGGGGATGACGTAGCTACATCATACAGAGCTCACCCAGATGACGGAGCTCAGGCATGCACACAAGGGCATATGTAGCTGTGTCATATGTAGGTGACCCAACCATCCCACACGTGGGTCATGCTGGGCCTTTAATGTCCCTGGGGTATTTTTACTGAGGGCTTTGTCTTCACATGTGTGGCCCTGGAACCTGGAACTGCCAGCCATGCTGGTTGGCTAAAGTCATAACGTGAGATACTCGGGACTTAGGTCACAGAATGCTGGACATCACAAGGAAGGCTTCACAGAAGCCCAGTTCAGTGTCGAGTCAGGAGCCCAGCTGTTCTAAAACAATTCAGGAATAAAATCAGATCTAGAGCGAACCCCCAAAAATTAAATAAAGTGTGCACCAAGCATCGCCCACCAGGGAGTCTTCTCACGTAGATATCAGCCTTGCAGATCTACTGTGGCCGGAAACACAGCGGCTGGCAGGACACAGAGTCCATTCTTCAGTGAGAGAGGTCCTCACACAGGTCCACACAGGCTCTGGAAGCTTCTCATCTGGCCCCCAGCCCAGATGTCACCCAGGTGGAGAGGAAAGACACACACCTCAGATGGGACCATTCAGGAATCCCTGACCCTCAGGTGCTCATATGTCAGAGCATGGGTTCCAGGTGACGCTGGAGATGTATCGTGTCCTATGAATTGCTACTCGCAAGAAAGCCCAAAGCAGTGAAGTCCTAACCTTGGTGCGAGTTTACTGGAGGTGTCACTACAGGTTACAGCTGTTTTGGGAGGGGTGGAAGGTTGGAGACAGATCTCACTCTTGCCTCAACCTCTCAAATGTTGGGATTGCGAGCCTACTGCACCAGCCTCCTAGCTGACTTATCAGGTTTCCCTGGGGACAGAGTTAGAGCCTTAATCCAGGGTCAGATGTGTCCAGGTAGGAGATGTTTAACTTTCTATGTGGTTACTTGTTATTTGGATAAAAAGTAATTTTTTAAAAAAAAAAAGTCATGATGGGCTGTGTTATATCTTTAAGAAAGAAGAGAGTAACTCTGTGTAGATCATACTGTTTAGCTGGGGGCTTCACCCTAGCTCCTGGCCTATGCTCCTTCCCCAGGAAGGGTCAAAAAAGCCTGCCAAATGGTGACACCCCCCCCCACGAAGGTCAAGACCACTCCCACAGGCTATTTAAACTGCCCCCCAGAGAATGAACACATGGCCTCCCCATTTTTGTTTTTGGGTTATATATATTTTGTGTGTGTGTGTGTGTGTGTGTGTGTGTGTGTGTGTGTGGTCTTCCGTTCCAAGGGGCCACCCAGGAGTGATGATGGTAGCCATTAAACCTGGGTATCTTTTAATTTGGTCTGATCTGATCTGATTGGAATTACTGCGTTGTTGGCAGAGAGGTTTGTCACATAAGAAAAAATACTTAACACATACTAGTGTGCTTTGGCTACCCTCCATCCTTAGGAGGCTCAGATCCCAGCACTCCAGCAAGACTCCTGATGTCTGTGTGGGGGAACCCTGGCCACCTGCCAGGGGAAAACCTCACCTAAGCACTAGGAAGAGGCTTCTCCTGCTTGCCCTGTCACATGAAGCCATCTTAGCAGAAATCTCCATTGTTAGGATGCTCTCCACCACTTAACAAATTACCTGAAATAACTACCTTTAAGAAGGTTGGTGCTAGAGAGATGACTCAGAGGCCCAGTGCTTGCTTTGGCTCCCAGCACCCATTTTTAACAATTAAAAGAAAAGCTTTAAGGGCCGGACTGTTGCTCAGTGGTAGAAATCCTGCCTAGCAGGTATGAGGCCCCTGTGGTTCTCTTTGGCCCTGGTCCAGTTAAGATCCAAACTCTAGCATCTGTCTTTTAAATAGAGTGACTTGGGAATATACATCATTTCTACACGGTTCAGATGCCCCGACGCGAACAGTCCATGAGTGTGACATCTCCCTGTGGCCGTACACCTCAGAGTCAGGATTAGTCAACATCTAGGGGACACCAGGACTCCATCTTCCTCCATTGTCTGGGGTCAGTGTCCCGGGGCGGGTTTCTGGGAAGAGCAGAAAGTGCCTCCTGTGAGTGGTCTTGAGGGACCTGTGCCTTTCCCTTCATCTGCCTGAGCACAGAACTTTCCTGCGCTCTTCCTCCTGGGAGCTCCCTTTGTCCTGACTGATGCTGTCCCCAGCTGTACCATCCTCTTCAGGGATTTCTTCTCTTCTTCCCCACCCTTGATTGACTTTCTGCACTTCCAAAAAGAAGAGGAGTACCAGTCTTCCAAGTTCATTAAACCGTTGTACAAGGAGCCCACCAGCTCTGAAGAGTGCTTGAACGAATGCTTCCCCACCAGGAGTCTTTTCTGTGCTGCCCACTCGGGCTCCCCCCTCCCCCCACCTCACCTTTAAGGCTACCCTGGTGAAAACGGAACAGTTTAAGTGTTTCTTTTCTGTTGCTGTAATCAAAACACCAGGACCAGCGCAACTTAGAGATGGGAGGGTTTATGTGGACTTTCTGTTCCAAGGAAGTAAGACTCTTAACCATATCAGGGCAGGAAAGTGTGCCAGCCTGCCCTGCCACCCCCATGATGTTCTCCCAACCACCCATCCCCCACCGCAAGGCCATACCTCTAAGCCTTCTCAAAAATCACCTGCCAACTAGGGACCTAGCACTAAGGTCAGCCTGTGGGAGACATTTCCATTCACACCAACATGGTAATTCTTTTTTGTTGTTGTTTTTGTTTTGTTGTTTTTTTGTTTGTTTGATTTTTCAAGACAGGATTTCTCTGTGTAGCTTTGGAGCCTATTCTGAAACTAGCCCTTGTTTGTAGACCAGGCTGGCCTGCAACTCACAGAAATCCGCCTGCCTCTGCCTCCCAAGTGCTGGGACTAAAGGAGTGCACCACCACTGCCCAGCAACATGGCGATTCTTTAAGAAAAGTAGTGTTAAACCCCTTTATGGCAGGGTGTAGGTATTCACTGAGGATGAGCGTGTTCATAAGTACCTGTTCCTTTCTGTGTACTGTATTTCCCAGACGAGAAGAGAGAGCACTGGAAAGCAGACCTCTGAAGGCGCCAGTGAATATTATGACCGCTATATTGAAGACCTGAAGAGACAAGGATTTCTGCTCCAAGAGCGCTTCACAGCGGAAGCAACACAATTAGCATCTGAAAAGCTGCAAGCAGTAAGCCAGGATTGTGCTGCTTTGGTTGAGTGGGGAGGGGGTGTGTGTGGTTGTTGTTTGGTTTGGTTATTTTAGATACTCTCTCACTTTTTTTTTCTTTTTTCTTTTTTTTTTTTTTTTTTTTTTTTTTTGCATTTTCGAGACAGGGTTTCTCAGTAGCTTTTGGTTCCTGTCCTGGAACTAGCTCTTGTAGACCAGGCTGGCCTCGAACTCACAGAGATCCGCCTGCCTCTGCCTCCCGAGTGCTGGGGTTAAAGGCGTGCGACACCACCACCCAGCTACTCTCTCACTCTTTAGTCCAGGATGGTATCAAACTCAAACCCCCTGCCTCAGCCTTCTTGGTGCTGAGATTTTAGTGGGGTACCACCACACCCAGCTGATTTTCTTTTTAAAGCAGAGCCTTACCATGTAGCTGTCTGGTTTAGAACTTATTATGTAGATCAGGCTGGCTTTAAACTCACAGATTTATCTGCCTCTGCATCCAGCAATTTGAGTATGTATTTTTAGTTATTTTATGTGTATGATGTTTTGCCTGTGTGCCTGTCTGTATACTAAATGTACAGACGAGTGTTAGCATCCAGGCACACCTTAGCCTTGCCCCTTGGGAACCTGGCATGGCACAGTTCTGTGCATGGCAGACAGAACCCTGTCCCTTTAAGAGACAAACCCTGCCTACTCCCACTTCTCTGAGGAGGCAGCTCACTGTCTCTCTGTCTCTCTCTTTCTATCTCTCCCTCCCTCTCCTCTCTTCCTCCAATAAACTTTCCATGTGAGTCCTGCTTGGTGGCGTATTTGTCTTTTATGTGCCATGGGACCTCCTAAATGTCCCACCTTACTCTGTATTCATAACATTGAAAGACCCCAGTGCTGGGCAGTCTTTCAGGCTGAGGAGACCCTCCCAAGGAACAGCGAGTCACTCTTCGGATGCAAATAGCAAGAGGCTTTATTTAATACACAGGTACCTGGGGCGGCTTAGTCTCTCGGAAGACAAGCGCGCCTGCAGACTGGGGGAAGGTCTTTTTATAGGAAAGAGGGCAGCAGAAGCAGATTACAGAAGCAAATGCATCGTTAGTGGTCAGTTGGAATGGGGCAAGGGGCACAGGTGGTTTTTCCTCTCCCAGCACAGATGTATGGGAACAGACATCCTGTTAATTGATGTCCTGTCCTAATCTATGGATATAAAGATCCTGTTTTGCAGCCAGGGACCCTGACCTTACTCTGCACTTACAGTCGTTCGTCAAAAGCTTTGTGAAATGACGTTACAGCAGATAAGCTGGGATCTTTCATAGGGGGAGTTGTCTTCTTCTGTGAATTACTGACATTCTAAGTTGGGCACATGTGCTGACTATGCAAACGGGAGGTTCTCATTAGAGCAGGCCAGCTGCGGGTTCCTTATCGCTTGGGGCCAGGTGGCTGACCGGCTGACGGCAGATATCTCGCCTGGCTTCTCCACCCTTTTTCTCAAGTCGAACTTCCCTGCTCTAATTACTTGCGTTGCTCCAAAGTTTAAGCCTTGCAAAATGGCATTACTGCTGCTTAGTGAGTGGGGGTCTTTCATTCCCCCCCCTTTTTTTTTTTATCATGGATTTAATCATAAATTCATGTGTTTAAAGACCTCTACGTCATTCTGCTTTAATATCTGATATTGCTGGGAGAGTACCATGGTTTGGATAACTGAAAGTCTGTCTTTTATAAATTGCACCAGGCGATTTAAAATGTAAGGGCCGATTGTAAAGATAAGAAGTAAAATAAGTAGGGGCCCAGCTATAATGGAAATTAAGGCTTTTAACCATGGTGATTTATTAAACCATCCTTTAAAATATCCTTGTTGAGAAGATAGTAGAACATCTCTAGGGTTTGCAGAATAGCTCTTAGCAAAACTATCTGAATGAGGCTTGAAAGTAACTACATGGTAGACATTGTGAACCACTGTAGACCCGAGAATAGCACCCAACATTGTGGCAATAATAGTCTATTGACTACAAAGAGCTTAACTCAGCCCTAAGAAACACATGGATGCCTTCTCCTAAGAGGCAAGTTTAGTATTATGAAGACAAATCTCTTTTGCTGTAGACACCGGGAGTGTTGTTCCTCAGCTCCAGAGAATGTGCCGGAGAAGTCAGTTTCGGTCCAGCTGGCACCACATGGCATTTACGAGTTTCCATTGCATCCCGTAGCATCAGCTTTATCCAAATGTACAGGGTTGTGTCCATTGTGAGAACTTTAACAAACAATGAGAGAAAATGCAATACAGGATGACAAATGTTTAAAACAAAACAGAAAGCCCTAAAGCCAGAGGACAGCCAATGAGGACATAAATATCTTTTTGAGACTGACCTTACCCAGGCTTCACATTTGTAAGTACAGCATCAAAAAGTTTTAACATCCCATTGATATCTATTTTATTATATATTAAATTACATCTGTTTACCTTTTGAAAGTCATATCATTTTATAACCCCATAGATTAAAACAAGATTTTCCTGTAGAAAAACAAAACCTGTCAAGAGGTAAGGAGGCTTTAGGTGTGTTTGCTTCTCTCTGCAGTTATCTGCACAAAACGGTCTGATCTGGAAAAGTCTCAAACTGTACTAAATAATTCCTGTCAATAGGTCCCAGACACACAAAGGAGGAACAGAACAGAATTGTCTTTTGCTTCTGCTGTCTGATATTATGCTTCAAAAGACATTAAAAATGAGCAGAGCCCTGTGGGTTTCTGACTTTAGGAAAGAAGAGCCTTAAAGGTGATGTAAGCCCATCTTACAGCAGATGTGCCTGCCCTGTGCAAGCCTTGAGCTCAGGATTCCATCATCAAGGTCAACCATTGTCAGCAGATACATGAGCAGCAGCTAACTAGCCAGGCAACAGAGCTAGTGGCAACGATGCCGGGGTGTTTTGAACCCAGAACAGGACAGGAGGGAGGGAGGTCTGTCCAGTCATTTTTGCTGGTCTCCAGGGCCAATTATATCAATTTGTTTTTTTAGAATCTTACTTATCCTATCTATCTGACCTGAGCTTTGAGGTTGGTAAGCTTAAGTTCCAATTGATCCCCAATGTCTTGGCCACATCCTAACTTGCCTGGGCAACAAAGGCAGGCCTATTATGGGACATGATTATCTTGGCCATCCCAAACCTTAGGATGATTTTTTTTTTTTTTTTCTGATCTTCTTAGCCATTACATTGGGTGTCTCAATCTTGGTCAATGTATGATGGCTATCTTCTTTGGCAAATGCGTGGCCTCCTGGAGGCTCAAAATTTCCGCAGATGTCAACAGTCCTTTTTGTCTGTATATTGCTTTATATATATATATATATATAGGTGAGGGCAAAAGCATACCTGCTGTTAGTATAGACGTTTCCTCTGCCATCTGTAGAGCTTGTATCAAAGCCACAAGTTCAGCGTTCTGGTCGGGCCACCATCCCTGAAGGGAGGCTACTGGCCCAGATCATTTGCTTCCTGTCCACCAATGTTGCCCCCGCCTTCCGCTTACCTTCGGTCTTCTGTACCTGCTTAGCTCGGACCGCCAGCCTTGTACCCCTGGCAAGCTTCACCCTCATTTTCGGCTCTGCCTGGCACAGCTTAGCCTGCCATTTTGCCATTCGCCTGTCCTTTAGGCAGATGCTGGTAGGATCCATAGTCCATCGACGTCAGCCCAGCACAGGAGCAGTAGTCTGGCACAGGAGGGCACCTGTGGTAGCATGGTGACTGCTGTATCGCAGTCTGACATGGGTGAGGGGAGCAAGACTGTAGAGTGAGCAGTCAGGGCTCATGCAGGCTTTAGAGCAAGCACAGCATCAAGGCAGTTGCTAGGAGGTGAGGATTTCTTCAGCGGTGAAGGCAGGGAGAGGTGGTCATCCTGGTGAGGAGGGCGTGGTAGAGGCAGAGGCAGACAAGCAGCCTGTGTCTCCTGCAGAACTGAAAACAGCAGCGAAAGCAAAAGTCCCTCGTTTGGTCAACAAAAGGCTTTGGTCATACATTCAGAAGTGACCAGGGAGGAACGAGTCATTTATTTGTCTTTTTCCCAAATTTATAGTTCGTAAGGTGTCCAGTTTGTATTCTTTACTCAGTTCCAGTGTCCCTCTTTATCTGTCTTTGATCTTCTGTTGCCCAGGCTCCTAATCTGTCTGAGTCCTATCTTTCTTTTGCTTCCCGCCTCTCTCTCTCTCTCTCTCTCTCTCTCTTTTTTCTCTCTCTCTTTCTCTCTCTCTCTTTCTCTCTCTCTCTCTTTCTCTCTTTCTCTTTCTCTCTTTCTCTTTCTCTCTTTCTCTTTCTCTCTTTTGTGGCTACTGCTGTCTGCTGACCTTCAGAGGTTGGGTAAAATGCCTGTAAACTTTCATTAATCATTTAAGGAACACAGATTTTAACTGGCCCCTGGAGAACCTCTCTTATCTCAGCCGAATTAGTGGGGTGCCTTGCAGCCCCAGCCTGAGATTTGCCATGAGCCCAGCATTTTGACTGTCAGTTTCTCCCTTTAGAAGAATGAAGATAGATCCATATTTTTCTCTATGCACAAAACTGAAATCCAAACAAATTAAAGACCTTAACATAAAACCAACAATATTGAACCTTTTATAGAAGGAAAAAAGTTTAAAATTTATTTTAGCAAAGGATATAATCAACAGAACGTAATATCAACCTGTAGAATGGGGAGGTATCATGAGACATATAAGGAACTTAGGAACTTAATCCTCATAAAAACAAATATTTTAGTACAATTACGTCACAGACCAAAACTGTAAATTCTCAACAAATGAACTTGAAGTGACTGAAAGATATTTAAAATTTGTTTAAATGCAACATCCTTAATCATCAGGGAAATGCAAATTAAACAATTTTGAGGTTTTATCTTATTCTTGTAAAACTGACCAAGATTAAAAATATCATTTGACAATTTATGCTTACAGCTACTTTGAACATTAGCATGGTGGACTTTCAAAATTAGATAACATATTACCTTAAAAACTTAGCGACATCCTTTATATTATCATTGACAGAATCTGAAAACAACTCAAAATGCACCTTTTTTATATTAATAATAAATGAGAATCTTCGCCATGTTTTTTTTTTTTTTAATAGCCATAAACATTATAAAGAGTCAAAAGGACCATTTTAACTCAACCTCATCATTTAGTAACACCCCCTTTGCCATTGTAGTGGGGTGAGAGGCTTTAGCAGATCTTTGTCTTGTGGGGCAACTCAGGGCCCCCACCTTATCACAAGCATTGTGAGCAGACAAGTGTTAAATTCAGATCTAAACATGGGCTGGCTTAGAAGCTCAGCTGGGCTGTTCATATGGCCCCGGCCCTGTGCCAGGCCTTCTACAGCAATAGTTCTTGAAGACAGTGTAGTCCTGCATCCATCTAAACAGAACTGGGAATTTACTTTTCTTCTAGACACACTGCATAGTAGTTTTTTTTTTTTTCAAATAGCATATTATTTTAAAGTGACTTAATTTAATTTTCCCAATTTTTAAACCAGAGGCTTTTACCTGGATGCAGCACATGATGACTGGTATAGAGCATCCCCAGAAGACAGATGTTATTAGGGCTGGCAGGCCCTTTTAATGTCAGCTTATTCCATTAGCTACTACTCCTGAATCCACACTTATCATTTATCAACAGCCACAGGGAAATTTACTTGCAATCTCTTGCCCTACTGCCAAAATGGAAAGGTCCAGGTTCTTTAGGGGACCTTTGCTTTTTAATAGGGTATCCGACCCCAGAGAAATAGCCTACTGCAGGTTCCCAGGCTTAGTTCTGTGACCCTGGCGCTAGCACCAGCTATTTCCCCTGGGCAAGGGCCACAGATCTTTAGTACAAGGTTTTACATGGCATTTGCAGATGGGGGCTGCCATTCAGTCTCTAGCACCTTATTTTCTAAGGAAAACAAGCCTTCTCCACAGGGAACCCCACTGGGGATCCTCCCAGGACCTGGCTTCAGCCTCAGCTCTGTCCACAGTGAGCTCCTAGTTGTATAGCACAAGCTTCCCACATCCCATCTCTATACTCACAGCAATCTAGCAGCTTTTCTCTGAATGGGATTCCAGAGGCCCCAGGAGGTATTCCCTCCAGGGAACTTGTGAGGTCAGGATTGGTCCACTCAGTTCCTCTTAGCCCTCACACTGCCAGTAGCAGCTGGGAAGGCCTTTGCATTGGCTGTAGGGGGAGGGAACACCTTGGACTGTCTAAGGCAGCCCTCCTCCCCCAGTCCTCTCGTGCGGTGCTGGTGGACTTCAGGTCAGCAAGGGAGGACGTCATTTTCAGCACAGGGATTTCAGGGGGGCCACGGCTGCCCGCTTCTCTGACTCGGGCCAGGGTTGCTGCCATGCCCCGCCCTGCGTCCTGCTGAGAGGTTTGCTCAGAGCTGGAGCCAGTTGCCCCGCCTAGGCCTGGCTCCAGGCTGTGCCTCAGGAGATCACAGTCCTGTTCCCTCCCCCCTCGCGACAGCAAGCAGGGCAGTTCAGCAGCAGAGCCTAGAGAAGTAAAGGAAGGGCAGACTGTCTGCATTTCTTTTGGATTTTCCTAGAGTTAGGGTCAAAGAGATGGTTATTTACTGCCCCATGGTACCAGATTTAGACTCGAGTACAAACAGATATACAAAACAAAGAACATATTAAGCACAAAAATACACAGACAATACAGATGCGCGGGCGCGGTTTCGGCATAATGCCGAAAGCAAAATTTCAGACGGAGACTCTGAGGATCCGGATTCCTCGTCTCCCAGAAGAATCACGTACCCTTCGGACTGTGGGGGTGCCCCGAACAATCCTATTCGGTAAGGATTCACAGAGTTACCGATGGGCCAGGCACCACATCCGGCCCCCAGATGCCTCTGAGACGTCTCCCAGGGCTGCGGTCGGGAGTGAGAGCCCGTCGGCTCCTCCGCGGGTCCGCCCGATACAGATCTAGTCAGCCAACTAGTACAGATTCAGTCGCAGGCGCAAACACAGAAACACCGAAGCACAGACATTCACGGAAAACAATCGCTGGCCAGCTTACCTCCCGGTGGTGGGTCGGTGATCCCTGGGCAGGGGTCTCCAGATCTCGCTGGGGCCTCCAAATGAAAGACCCCAGTGCTGGGCAGTCTTTCAGGCTGAGGAGACCCTCCCAAGGAACAGCGAGTCACTCTTCGGATGCAAATAGCAAGAGGCTTTATTTAATACACAGGTACCTGGGGCGGCTTAGTCTCTCGGAAGACAAGCGCGCCTGCAGACTGGGGGAAGGTCTTTTTATAGGAAAGAGGGCAGCAGAAGCAGATTACAGAAGCAAATGCATCGTTAGTGGTCAGTTGGAATGGGGCAAGGGGCACAGGTGGTTTTTCCTCTCCCAGCACAGATGTATGGGAACAGACATCCTGTTAATTGATGTCCTGTCCTAATCTATGGATATAAAGATCCTGTTTTGCAGCCAGGGACCCTGACCTTACTCTGCACTTACAGTCGTTCGTCAAAAGCTTTGTGAAATGACGTTACAGCAGATAAGCTGGGATCTTTCATAGGGGGAGTTGTCTTCTTCTGTGAATTACTGACATTCTAAGTTGGGCACATGTGCTGACTATGCAAACGGGAGGTTCTCATTAGAGCAGGCCAGCTGCGGGTTCCTTATCGCTTGGGGCCAGGTGGCTGACCGGCTGACGGCAGATATCTCGCCTGGCTTCTCCACCCTTTTTCTCAAGTCGAACTTCCCTGCTCTAATTACTTGCGTTGCTCCAAAGTTTAAGCCTTGCAAAATGGCATTACTGCTGCTTAGTGAGTGGGGGTCTTTCAACATACAGTCCAGAAGAAGGCACCAAGTCCCATGGAACTGGAGTCACAGGTGGTTATAAGCCGACATGTAAACACTGATAATCAAACCCAGGCCCTTTGGAAGGGGAGCCATTGCGCTTAACCACTGACTCATCTCTCTACTTTTTTTTTAAAATATGTATTTATTTATTATGTATACAATATTCTGTCTGTGTGTATGCCTGCAGGCCAGAAGAGGGCACCAGACCCCTTTACAGATGGTTGTGAGCCACCATGTGGTTGCTGGGAATTGAACTCAGGACCTTTGGAAGAGCAGGCAATGCTCTTAACCTCTGAGCCATCTCTCTAGCCCCTCATCTCTCTACTTTTGACTTCATTTATTTTTCGTTTGTTTTTGTTTTTGAGACTGAGTTTCCCTGTGTAGCCCTGGCTGTTCTGGAAGTCACTCTCTAGACCAAGCTGACCTTGAACTCAGAGATCCACCTGCCTCTGCCTCCTGAGTGCTGTATTAAAGGTGTGCGCCATCTTGTCAGGTATGGCATCTCACACTTATAATCCAAGGCTGAATTGAGAAGATCCGAAGTTCATTTATCCAGAACTGCACAGTGGGTTTGAAGCCAGCTGTGATTTCCTGAAGGCCTGTCTCAAAGAAGGAAATAATGTCTTAAGTAAAAAAACAAAACAGGAACAAATCTGGCAGAGGAGAAGGGAAGCTACGAAAAACCATAAATTTAAAAGAAGAGATGAACACTGTTATTCTTAAAAACGATCCCTGTGCGGGCCATGAGAAAAGCGGCTACAGCTTCCCACCAGCGGGAGGGCATGCGGGCGGCAGGTAACAGACACCTAAACACAGGAAATAGCCATAAGTATTTATTAAGGAAGAGGGAGGTAGAAAGAGAGAGAGAAGAGATAAAAGGAGAGAAAAGAGATAAAAGGAGAGAGAGAGACAGAGAGAGACAGAGAGACAGAGAAAACGCATGCGCACGTCAAGGAAGCAGAAAAGGGAGGGCCCAAGATGGTGGTGGGCAGGTCAGAGGTAATGGGAGTGGGCGTGGCTTTCCCTTAAAGCGACAGGAAAGCACAACAAACACTGGCTAGGATGTGGGAGAAGCCACAAGATGTGTTGTGTATCTTAGCAACAAGCTCAGTCTTTGAAAGAATTCTCTGCAGTCGGGGCTATGACTCCAGGCTCCTTAACTCTTACTGCATGTGGTTTAATGCCACGGATAGGTCTACATCTTACAGAGTATAGGAAAAGGCAAGAGGAAGAATAAAATGGTAGAGAAGTGTTAGGAGTGGGGGCCTCCAGCAGGAGTATGTGCAGTGAGCGATGAGGAACAGGAACCCCAGTGGGGAAAGGAAGCCTGAGTTGCCAGTTACCCAGCATCCTAGTATGCACTCTGTTGCTGTCACAAGATACACGAGGCTAAAAACCTTACGAAGAAGTTTATTTGAGCCGGGCAGTGGTGGCGCACCCCTTTAATCCCAGCACTCAGGAGGCAGAGGCAGGTGGATCTCTGTGAGTTCGAGGCCAACCTGGTTCCAGCCTAGTTCCAGGACAGACTCCAAAGCTACAAAGAAACCCTGTCTCGAAAAAAACAAACAGCAATAATAACAACAAAAAATAAGTTTATTTGACTCACAATCTAGTGGCTTGAAGGTATAAGCCCCTTGACTCTGGCATCCTGTTGAAGACCACTTGTCTACATAATGACATGGAGAACATCCATCAAGAAAAGTGTCCATGCACACTGAGGCTCCGCCCTGTGTTCTGAGTACTCTCCACCAGTCTCTTCTTTCAGGGTCGACCACTGTGGGGTGTAGTGGGGATTACTACCCCACTGTTCCACCGTGGGGACCAGGCTGCCAGCATATGAACCCTGAGGGACAAATCAAGCCATTCCCTGCCGCAGTGTCTGGCTATGGGAGTGGGTGCCTCTCTTGGGCTCTGTTACGTTTTCTAATGCTTCCTTTCTGGATATATGCTGTTGTTTTGTTTGTGAGGCTGGACATGGAACCCAAGACAGGTGCTCAACTACTGACCCATATCCAGCCCCTGTGTCTGTTTTACAAAAAATGCTCATGAGGACTTTTTTTGGTGGTGATTCTTTGTGGTTTTGTTGTTTCAGTTGCTTTTGGAGGAGGTCATAAGTTCAGGCGCTTTGAGCCAGGAGGTGAACGCTTTGGTGGAGATGATCTGGGCAGAAGCTCTGGGGCACCTGGAGCACACACTTCTCAAGCCGGTGAACAGCATAAGCCTGAATGACGTAAGTCAAGCATGCCATTGAATCAACACAACGAAGCTACTTCCTGGTGGACTGGTGTACACGGTAGTGCTAACTGGTTGCTTTCCTCTGAAGTCCACCCCTCACTGTCCTCTCCTCATTCTCTGAAGAAAGGGAGCATCAAGAGAACCAGATGTTCCTATCACGTTGGTTCTCAGTGGTGGCCAATACAGGCCTAAGCGTTGGTACCAGGGGTGTTGTTGCCAAAAGACAGAGTGGTAGCGCCCCTCATCGATACCCAGATCCTGGCCTACTTCGAAACAACTCCTTCAGCCTCTCACCTTCTCAGTGTCTTAGGGAAGGCAGGCTTGCTTCTAGCACACCAGGACATGGTGTTCTCTTTTCTATTACGTATAATGGTGGCTGAAAGAACAAGTGATTGACAGAAGATATTCCCAGTGATGCAATGTTCATAATGTACTCGCATAATTAGGATTATGTCTCTGGTTTGATGCTGACATCGCTCTATGTTTCTCTATGAAAAGCAAGTCTTAGCTGGGCGGTGGTGGCGCACGCCTTTAATCCCAGCACTTGGGAGGCAGAGGCAGGCAGATCTGTGTGAGTTCAAGGCCAGCTTGGTCTACAAGAGCTAGTTCCAGGACAGGCTCCAAAGCTACAGAGAAATGCTGCCTTGAAAAACCAAAAAAAAAAAAAAAAAGAAAAGCAACAGTTGCATTTGTCTTCCTGTCTGTTCATGTGCACATATGTATAGTAGATGATACTGCGTCTTTCCTCAGTGGTGTAGCCACTCATAAGTTGCCATGATCCAGAGAATAACCCTGCACTTAGACAAATGCGAGCAACCCTCAGTAAACTCAGTGGGTTGTTTTTAGAAAGATGTTTGTGTAGCGGGGCACGTGTTGAGAAGAAGGATCCAGGAGGAGCAGGAGAGGGATGAGAGAAGGAGTGGGTCTGATCAAAATGCACGCATGTGTAAGACTACCAAAGAATAAATTAAAAATCGTTTTTAAAAAGACGCGAAGAGCCCCTAGATGTGTCCCCACAGTTGATCCGAGACCAGCTTTGCAAGCATCCTCCTTGCTGGCCTCACTCACAACTGAGCTGGACCTTAAGATCAGCGTTTGCTCTGGTGGCTGTGTGAGTCAGTTTTTAGTCACTATAAGGACACACCAGAGGCAATCCATTTCTACCGAGAAGATTTCTTATGACCCACAGTTGTAGATCTCAGGCTTTGATAGATTGGGCCTGTTGTTTGGGCTTCTGAGGAGGCAACGCACCCTATCAGGAGTGTATTGTGATGCAAAACTCACTCACTTCAAGGCCAAGAAGCAGAGGGAAAGAGAGGCTCTTCCTCCTAAAGGTCCCACCTCTTGCCTGAAGCACCTCCCTAGGGACTAAGCTTCAAAATCCGGACTTTAGGAACACAGTTAAGACCCACACCAACGGGATTGAAACTGTGAAAGATTTAATAAAAGATATTCTATTTTTTTAGAGGCCCAAACTGTAGCATAGTCAGCAGTCTACAGAAAACTCGTAGTTCCAATGTCCCCAGCAGCTATTTCAGATACTTTTATGCACATCTCTTCTATGATTGTCAGGATTTAAACTTTAAGAAGCATATTTGCTTTCCTGTCTCGTAGTTCCAATGTCCCCAGCAGCTATTTCAGATACTTTTATGCACGTCTCTTCTATGATTGTCAGGATTTAAACTTTAAGAAGCATATTTGCTTTCCTGTCTCGTAGTTCCAATGTCCCCAGCAGCTATTTCAGATACTTTTATGCACGTCTCTTCTATGATTGTCAGGATTTAAACTTTAAGAAGCATATTTGCTTTCCTGTTGGCAGGTGAGTAAAGCAGAGGGGGTTCTCCTTCTCGTAAAAACAGCACTGAAGAATGGAGAACCAGCAGAGCAACTGCAGAAGACAATGGCCGATTTCTACCGACTGATTCCTCACAAACACCCGGCATCTGAAGAAGTTAACCTGAGGTTGTTAGCTCAGAAAGAGGACCTTTGTCAGGTACGGCCCTGGAATAAAGAACTCGGTTTAAAATGTGTTGCACTGTTATGACTTTAAATTTTGGTGAATTGGGACTGAAGAGATGGCCCAGTGGTTAAGGGCACTGACCACTGTTGCAGAGCACTGAACTCAGTTCCCAGCACCCATGTGGTGGCCCACAGCCGTCTGTAACTACAGTTCTAGGGGACCCAGTGTCATCTTCTGGTATCTGTGGGCACCAGGCATGCATGTGGCATGCATAAATGCATGTGGGCAAAATACTCATACAGATAAAAATAAATAAGTTTTTAAAAAATGAAATAAAACTGGGCATGGTGGTACATGCCTTTAATCCCAGCACCTGGAAAGCAGAGACTGGCAGGCCTCTGTGAATTTGAAGCCACCCTGGTCTATATAGTGATTTCAAGGTTATCCAGGGCTCTGTAGAAAAGCTCTGTGTCAAAAACCCAATGAAAATATAATAATGATAATAATAATAATAATAATATCTATGTGGTGAATAAAGCCAGGCAGGGTGGTGCACACCTGTAATCCCAGCACTCAAGGGAGGCAGAAGGAGAAGGAGCAGGAGCTCAAGGGCAGTCTCAAGTACATAGCAAGTCTGAGACCAGCCTGTCTCAGGGGAGGGAGCGTGGTGATTAGGAGCTCTTGTTGCTCTTGCCAAAGATCTGGTTTCAGTTCCTAGCACCCACATGGTAGCTCACGGCCATCCACAATTCCATTTCCAGGGGACCCCATGTCCTCTTCTGACTTCCACCAGGCATATGCGTAGACACATCCATACAGGCAGGCAAAACATTTTTACATACAAAATAAAAGATAAATGAATCTTGTAAAGATGATGCGTGTGCCAGACAAGGTGGCCCACACTTTAATTCCAGCACTCAGGAGGCAGCGGCAGGTGGACATCTTTGAGTACCAGACCAACCCGGTCTACACAGTGAGTTCTGCGACAGCCAGGGCTGTGCAGAGAGACCCTGTCTCAAAAAAGAAACAAAGCAAAACGAACAAAAAAGTCATGTTTGTGGTGATTGTGTGTGTGTGCTCTTGGTGTCAGTTTGTGGTGATTGTGTGTGTGTGCTCTTGACGTTTGTGCTGATTGTGTGTGCTCTCGACATCAGTTTGTGCTGATTGTGTGTGCTCTCGACATCAGTTTGTGCTGATTGTGTGTGCTCTCGACATCAGTTTGTGCTGATTGTGTGTGCTCTCGACATCAGTTTGTGCTGATTGTGTGTGCTCTCGACGTCAGTTTGTGGTGATTGTGTGTGCTCCCGATGTCAGTTTGTGCTGATTGTGTGTGCTCTCGATGTCAGTTTGTGCTGATTGTGTGTGCTCTCGACGTCAGTTTGTGGTGATTGTGTGTGCTCTTGACGTCAGTTTGTTGGGATTTGGAATCCACCTCTCGACATTTCTGTGAGGATGTTTCTAGAGCTGTTTTACTGAGGAGAGACGATTCACCCTGAATGTGGGCAGCAGCATCCCATGGACTGGGGTCCAAGACTGAGTGCAAAGGAAGAAGTGAGCTGACAGCAGCATTTCATGTCTCGCTGCTTCTTGACTGCAGACAACATGACCAGCAGTCCCACGATCCTGCCACCAACTTTTCTCCACCATGGTGGGCTATCCTCCCTAAACCAAGAACCTAATCAATCCTTCCTTCCTTAAGTTGCCTTTGTCGGGCATTTTGACACAGTAGTGGGAAAAGTAGCTAATTTAAAGTATAATACTAATGCATACTTCCACTGTGGTATCAGTGAGGCAATTCTTTCTATGTCTGTCTGTCTGTCTGTCTGTCTTCGAGATGGGAGTTTCTGTTATGCATCCCAGACTAGCCTTCAACTCCTGGGCTCAAGTAATCCTGCCTCAGTCTCCCAAGTAGCCAGAAAAACTGGTATTGTACCAAGCCTTCTGATTTTTAGAAACTTTGTTTTTCCTTTTGAGAACAGTCTTGCACTGCAAGTTGGGCTGGCCTAGAATTTACTGTCTAACCTGGGCTGGCCTTGCACTCATAGCAGTCTTCCTGCCTTTCCCCAAGTGCTAAGGTTACAGATGTGAGCTGCCATGCCCAGATTTATTTAGTTTAGTATACTACCACCACCAAATTAGTCAAAAACCTTGTAGGAAAAACTAATTTTTCTCTTTTCAGAAAATATGAAGGTAATACACACATTCCCTTGGATGTGTGGTAGCTAACTTCTCTGTATCACTTCTACCCACAGCTAGTGAGAGACATGGTGAATGTTTGTGAAACTCATCTATCCAAACCCAACCCGTCGTCTCTTGCCAAGTACCGAGCCTTGAGATGCAAAATCGAACATGTTGAACAGAACACTGAGGAATTTTCCAGGGTTAGAAGAGAAGTGTTGCAGAGTAATCACAGGTAAGCACAAAGCAAGTCCCTTGGGCTCTGTAACAATGCTGCTCTTTGAGGTCCTGTTAAAAAGCCAATCGAGGTAATTAGAGAAAGTAATCCTCTACTTTCAAACAAGACACCTGGAGTTAGATGACAGAGAAGTGCTTTCTTCTGTGTTTACGGTATTATCTCGAGGGGCTGCCGAGATGGCGCAGTGGGTCGGAGCACTTGCTGCTAAACCCTATGACCTGAGTTTGATCCCCAGGACCCACGTGGTGGAAAAAGAGAAGCAGTCCCACAGGTTGTCCTCTGACCTTCATAGGAGTTCGGTGACACCCATGGGCATGGACGTGCGCCCCCCCCACACACACATACACACACACACACATACACGACAAATACAAGTAAAATTTAAAAAGAAAACTCAGTCTCATCCAGGGGCATATCCTGAACTAACAGGTTTTCCTCATTCTCCCACTCTGCTTTCTCGGTGACTCAAATTTTATTGCTATTATTATGGTGATTGTGTGCATATATGATGTGTGCTTGTGAGTGTAAGTGTACACCTATCACAGCACCCATGAAGGGGTCAGAGGACAACTTTCCAGGGTTGTCCCTCTTCCCTGTGGACGCTGGTTTACTCCACAAGCACTTTCCCCACTGGGCCATCTTGCCAGCCTGTGACCTAATCTTGTCGAAGGCTAGATTTAAACTTCCAGAGGACAAAGGTGGCACAGCTTCTTAGTGTGCATAAGGCCTTGGGCTCCGTCCCCAGTGTCACACCACCACATACACAGTGTTTCAGTTTCTCTTCTAGTTAAGAACATAGCGCAACGTAGGTGTGCATTCTTCTGACATGTCCATCTATGCATGAAAAGCTCAGGGAAAGTTTTATTATTACTGCATTTTATTTGAGTGGTATGGGGGTGTGCCGTGGCATATGTGTGGGGGTCATAGCACAACTCTGGGAGTCAAGTGTCTCCTTCTGCCCTCTGGGTCTCAGAGATAGCATTCAGATTGTCAGACTTGGTGCCTGCCAACGCTGGGCTGATTATTTTTTAATAGTCAACTTTATACAGCCGTCACCTGCGGGTGTGTCTGTAGGAGGCTGTCTTGATCGTTAACTGAGCTAGGAAGACTGGTCAGCACCACTCCATAGTTTGGAAAAGCTAGCTGGAAGAAAGAGCAAGCAAGCAGGGATCTATGCTTTTCCTCTTCCCTTGCTCTTGGTTGTGGGTGTGGTATGAGTAGCTGTTCTGAGTTCTGCCTGTACCCTTCGTCAGTAATAGACTATTATCTGGAGCTATAAACCAAATGAATCCCTGAGTTGCTTTCAGTCAGTGTACTTTAAAACAGAGCAGATGGCCCAGTCCACTGTGGACAGTGGCAGCCCTGAACATGTGCTCCTGAGATGTGTAAGAAAGCAGTTCAGGGCTGGAGAGACGGCTCAGAGGTTAAGAGCACTGGCTGCTCTTCCAGACGTCCCAAGTTCAATTCCCAGCAGCCACATGGTGGTTCACAACCATCTGTAATGAGATCTGGTGCCCTCTTCTGACCTGCAGATATACATGCAGGCAGAATACTGTATACATAATAAATAAATAAATTTAAAAAAGAAAAAGAAAGCAGATCAAGAGGAACCAGCCAGTAAGCAGCGTCTCTCTGTGGTCTCTGTTCAGTTCCTGCCCCCAGGTTTCCTGCTTGATGGACTGTAACCTATAATCCAAACAAAAACAAAAACTCTTTTCTCTTGCCTTTGGTCATGGTGTTTATCATAGCAGCAGGAAGCAGTGTGTATGTGTGTGTGTGAACAGATTAAGTAGATTCTTTCATATGTATGTGAATGAAATGATACATTCTCTGTAGTTGACAAAAATTTGGAATCATATTTTGCATAAACTTTTGTGGTATTTATTATTACATTTATTTAGAGAGAGAGAGAGAGAGAGAGAGAGTGAGTGTGTGTGTGTGTGTGTGTAAACGCATGCACTTGCCACAGCGTGCACATGAGGATCAGAGGACAGTTTGTCAGGGCCGGTTCTCTCCTTCCACTATGGGCTCTGGAGACCATCAGCTTACTGACAAGTGCCTTTGACTGCTGAACCACGGACATCTGAGTTTTCTGGAGTTTTCACTCATTAATGATTTTTATTTTTTTTCTAACTGTGAACTCAAGGTTTTCTTCTAATTCTTCCAATGAGAGTCCAGGAGATGTCTTGCAGATATTTAGAGTTGGCAGAGTGAACGAAGCCACAGAGTTTTTGAGCAAACTGGGCAACGTACGGTCCTTATTCCATGGATCTCCCGTACGGAACATTCTTGGAATCTTGTCCCGGTAAGATGCAGTATCTTTAACTTTTAGTTTTCAGACTCCTGAATGTGAAATGTTCCCTTTTCTTGTCTACTTTTGTCTAAGTTGTGTGTCTTTGATCCTAAACAATGCCAAAGTAAATAAACAAATCACATGGACTTTTCAGTTAAAAGCAGCAAATCTATTCATAGAGAAAATTATGTCACTTAAATTTTGTATTTGTAATTATGTATTATATATCTGTGTTGGTTTTTTTTTTTTTTAAGTGTTCCACATAGGTATGAGTTGCTCCTTTAGAGTTTGGGCATGGTGATGCCTATAATCCCAGTACTCAGCAGGCTGAGGCAGAACAAGTTGCATCTAGTGCAAGCCCAGCCTTGGCTATAGAATGAATTCAAGGCCAGCCAGGGCTGTATAGAAAGACCCTGACTCAAAAAAACAAAACTGCAAATGAACACACACATACACACACGCACGCGTGCATGTGCAAAGCCAGAACAATCAATTACTCTTTCTCAATGACCCCATATAAAAATGAGCTAGTCTACATTTCACAGTCAGTGTCCAGGGAGTGTGGGTTATTTACCCAAAGCACAGCCCTAGTTTTCTGATTGCTTTGGATAAATTCTCAATATTGGAGGAGAAGTTGAAGTTACAGGGTTAAGGAGAATTGTGAGTATATTTCTGTCCTTTAATCAAGCACTTAGGAAAATTGACAGGTACCATCTAGGTGTGACAGTGTAACTCTGGAGGTAGAGGCAGGAAGATCTCTGTGAGTTCAAAGCCAATTTGGTCTGCATAGCCAGGTCCAGGTCTCCTGAGGCTACATAGTGAGACTCTGTCTAAAAAGAAGAAAAGGAGGAAGAGGAGGAAGAAGAAGCTGAAACTTAAGGGCTGGGGATGTGGCTTGTAGTAGAATGTCCGCCTAGCATGAGTGAGGTCCTGGATTCACTCCCAAATTCTGAAAAACAAATTAATTGTATAGAAAAGTTCTTTCTGTATAGGACAAAACCCCAAAAGCCAGGGTTTCTCTGTATAGCATCCCCGACTGTCCTGGAACTCACTCTATAGACCATGCTGGCCTTGAACTCACAGAGATCCACCTGTCTCTGCCTCCTGAGTGCTGGGATTAAAGGTGTGTGCCACCACTGCCTGGTCTCAAAAGCCATTTTTCAAAATTAACTCAATCTTCTGGTGCAAAATTCAAACAATTGATATTTCTGTAATCCATAAGAGAAGCCTGCCTTGTCCTGTCTGTGTAGAGAATACCATGGTTTTTGTGTTGGGAGAGTTCTGTAGTGATGAATTTTTTTTTCTGAATATTTTGAATCCATGACTGGTTGACTGCAGGTATGAAAGGCCAGCTGAACTCTGACCTGAGGTTTGTAAAGACAGGCCAATCTGCTGTTGGTCACTGAGTTTCAAGGCTGTGTGGAAGAGTCCTTTCTTCTGGTAAATCATGGACCTGCCCTCTCTTTCAGAGGACTGCTTTTACCTAAAGTAGCCGAAGACCGTGGTGTGCAAAGAACAGACCCTGGAAATCTGGGAAGCGGCATTTACTTCAGTGACTCACTCAGGTTCGTGTGTTCTGTACCATCCCCCACCACTGAGTCCTCCTTGCAAACTTTTTTTTCTTTCTTTAGTGAGGGAGTCTCTCACCCATAAACATACCATTGAAAGTAGCCAGCTCCCTCAACATACAGTAGAAGCATGGCTTCTGTGGTGAATGTGTGGGGAAATTGTGTTATTTCCTTGCCAACAAACCAGGACGAGGAGCAGATAGGCCCTCTATTGTGGCATCTTGGAAAACCAGAAGGTGGAGTGTCCTAACTGCTGGACAGACCAAGTATCCTGAGTAGGAGCCTGCTTGAACATGGAGAGATGGTACCAGCATGGGTGTTCCAGCTGAGGGGGGTGGTGAGGATTACTGTGTGAGGTCCTGTCCACTGAGGTTCAAGAGACCTAAGAACTAGCTGTTTGAGGAGTACTCTGTGCCCTGGGGAGAGTGGAGAAGGTTCAGGGGCATTAGGGTCCACTGGTGTGGGGGCAGGGAGACAACTGTCAGCATGTGAATGGAGAAGGGACCTCAGAAGGAAGAAGTAGGGTAGATACCCCGCCAGTGGAGGAGTTTGGGCTGGGAGGTGATGAATAAGGAGAAAGGGTCTGCCATAAAGGACTTGAAAGGGCTCAGACCTGTGGGGGAACGTGGGGTGGCCCTGAGACGGGTAAGGGCAATGAGGAGAAGGGAGAGCCAAGATAACCTGAGTTCGCCAGGCGGTGGTGGCGCACGCCTTTAATCCGAGCACTCAGGAGGCAGAGGCAGGTGGATCTCTGTGAGTTCGAGACCAGACTGCTGGTCTACAAGAGCTAGTTCCAGGACAGGCTCCAAAGCTACAGAGAAACCCTGTCTTGGGGTGGGGGAGGGGGAACCTGAGTTCAATGGAGAACTTGATTAGCTGTTGATTGTTGAGTCCGTTGGCCTTTTCCACCTTTCCCAAGGATTTTGGGCGGCAGGGGATGTGGAATTTCCAGCGGTTGAGAGCTTCTGACACAAGCTCTGTGACCCTGGAAATGAAGGCTGGGCCATTGTCTGTGGTCCGTGGGACGCCAAACCGAGGAATGATGTGGTCCAGGAGTACCTGAGCCACCACATCTGCCGTTTATCTGGAGACCAGAAATGCTTCTGTCCACCCTGTAAAAGTGTCCACAAGTGTTCGGAGATAACTGAGCTTTTTATGAGTAGGCATATGGGTGAAACCAACCTGCCAATCTTGGCCCTGTTGGTGTTCACGAAGCTGATACAGAGACTGACATATATGGAGAGCCCCCTGTGAATTGGCCTGGGCACACGTCTGACAGGAGGAGTCAACCTGTGAAATATGATCTCAGAGATGGGTGGGGTCAAAGAGGGGCTCTAAGGAATGGAACAAAGCTTTTTTTTGTCCAGCAGTTAGGACCTTTACCCTATGTGGGGCCTATGTGTAAAGTCTGGTGGATGTCTGAAATGATCGACCATACCTGGTCTTGAAGAAGGATGAGACGGGGGCTGCAGATGGTTTCGTGGTTAAGAGCACTGCCTGTTTTTCCAGAGGTCCTGAGTTTATTTCCCAGCAACCACATGGTGGCTCCCCACCATCTACAGTGAGATCTGGTACCCTCTTCTGGCCTGCCAGTATACATGTAGGCAGAGCACTGTATACATAATAAATAAATACCCCCCCCCCAAAAAAAAAGAAGAAGAAGAAGAAGAAGGATAAGACGGTCTTTAAGGCGAAGTAGGACTGGCTGGTGGTGAGGAGCAACCTCAGGAGTGGAAGTGTCCCATACTTGGGGATATACTGGATCAGGGAGAGCAGGGACAGAACAGTCTGGGATAGGAACCTGAGAGGCTATTAAAGTGAGAAGAAAGTGTGACTCAAGAGAGGGTGTGGGGGCCAAAGTGAGTGTGGCCCTGAAGCAGCTGAGAATATCTCCACCCTGTAGAGGTACAGGGCAAGCAGGTGTGACTAGGAAGGAATGAGAAAAGAATCACCCTGCAAAAATGCAGGGCAGTGACAGAGTCTTAAGTAGGAAGGAACAGGTCCTGTCTACCCCCATGACTGAAATTGATGAGGGGAATGTAGGGCCCGGATGAGATGTTAAAACACAGTGGGTAGCTCCCGTGTCCAAAAGAAAAGTAATGGACTTACCTGCTACCTGCAGTGGTACCCTAGGCTCAGAGAGGGCAATTGGAGTCACCAAGTCTGGGCTGCATCAATCCTCTGCCAGGCTGAGTAGTTCAAAGGCTGGCACAGTCTCACTTGCCAGCATTGGTGAAGCTGGACCTCCATGATGTGGCATAGAGGACAAGCCCGTATGGGGGCATTGTGATTTCCAGTGTCCAGGCTGCTGGCAGATAGGGCATGGCCTCATAGGCAGCGGAGGTCCAGGGCAATACCTTGCCAAATGGCCATTTAGGCCACATTTGTAACAGGCTCCCAGCAAGATTGACTTAGGCTGAGCTCTGGTGGATGGGATAGAGCCTCATAGTCAACTTCCCTGTCCCCCTCCTGGGGGTCCTGGTGGCCTCAGGGCAGCTTCTAGGGCTTAGGCTTGGAGCATTGCTGCAGCCTCGTCTTTTGGGAGGACTCAGCTGCCTCTTCTCGGGGATTAAAAACTTTAAAGGCCATTTTTTACATGTATGGGGTTTGGAGACCTTTTTAAATTTTTTCTTTCTTTTTTGTTTTTTTTGTTTGTTTGTTTGTTTGTTTTGTTTTGTTTTTTGAGACAGGGTTTCTCTGTAGCTTTTGGAGCCTGTCCTGGAACTAGCTCTTGTAGACCAGGCTGGCCTCAAATTCACAGAGATCCACCTGCCTCTTCCTCCTGAGTGCTGGAATAAAAGGCATGCGCCACCACCGCCCAGCTTAATTTTTTTTTTCTAATATTTGGTGCTGACTGAGAAATGAAATGAGTAGCCAGGACCGTGGCTCCCACTGGGGAGGCTGGGTCCAGTCTAGTACATTGAACCATGGTCTCTTGTAATCGGTGTAAAAAAATGACTGGGTTTTTGTCAGTGTGATTTCCCAAAGATTATTGAAATTAACTATTTTTTTCTGAGACCATCTCTGTACCCTGAAGGAGACAGCGGACCATGATGTCCCACCTCTGTGGCCCATTTTGGCCTGGTTGATAATCCCAGTGTGGTTCTGTGGCTGGCAGGGCCACTTCCCCCACAGGGACTATGCTATCCACTAGGTGGGTCTCATCTGCATACTGTCTAGCTGCTGCCTGAATTCTACTTGGCTCTTCAGAAGTGAGAGTAGAGGCCTGGATGACAGAAATCATGCCAGGTTAAATCGTAGGTCTGGGACAAATAGCGAAACTCCTTAATATAAACAGAAGGATTAGCAGAGAAAGAACCCAACCGCTTTTCTGTCCTCTCGGGAGGTAGCAGGAGCTGATGGCATCATTAAAGTCCATGTTCCCTTCTCTTTTCCGGACCTCTCTCTGACAGAAAACATCTAATTCCTCAGAACATCACTGTGCAAAGTCGGGCAGGTGCACATCTCTTGCCCAACTTTTCACAGTGATGATCTAACTTGTATCTTTGGAGATGCCACAATGGTGGTAAACTTTGGAAGGTTCTCCCTGGGAAGTCTTTTGACAATACAGGCTTGAGTATCCCTTGTCTGAGGAATTAGACATTTCTTTCAGATTTGTTGTCTGGGTTTCTGTCCTGCCTGGTTCCCACAATCGTTAAGTCCCAAAGAAATTGCACAGAGGTCTACATTAGTTATAAACTGATTGGCCCATTAGCTCAGGCTTCTTATTAACTCTTATAACTTATATTAGCCCATTATTCTTGTCTATGCTAGCAACATGGCTTGGCACCTTATTCAGCAGGGCAGTCACATCTTGTTTCTTCTGTGGCTGGGTCAGGACTGCAGACTAGGACTTCCTTCTTCCCAGAATTCTCCTGTTCTCGTTGACCCATCTCTACTTCCTATCTGGTTGTCCCGCCTATACTTCCTGCCTGGCTACTGGCCAATGAGTTTATAACTAATGTAGACCTCTGTGTGATTTCTTTGGGGCTAAACAGCTGTGGGAATCGGGTAGGACAGAAAACCCCCACCAACACAGATTTGAGATTTTGTGTATACACGATGACATAATCTTTGGGAACACCCAAATCCACATGTGACATTCATTCATGCTTCATCTACACCTGATCAATGTAGCCTGCTGGTGATTTTATAGACTGTGTTTAGTGCGCCCACCCTCAGACTGCAACCATCACAAGGTTAGGGCAGAATTTTCCATCTGTAGCGTCACACCAGGGCTCAGCCTTTTCCATTTCAGAGTTGTTTCAGTCCTTGAGTCACAGTTTTGGATTTGAGACTCCCAACCTGTTTCTTACGCAATGAAGGTAGCGGGTGATAACCTCTGCTTCTTTCCTTCTCCGTGCAGTACAAGCATTAAGTACTCACACGCGGGAGAGACAGACGGCTCCAGACTCCTGGTTGTCTGTGATGTTGCCCTGGGAAAGTGTATGGACTTATTCAAGAAGGACTTTTCTTTAACCGAGGCACCTCCGGGCTATGACAGTGTGCATGGAGTTTCGAAAACAGCCTCTGTCCCCACAGACTTTGAGGTATTTTATTTCGGGAAACATGCAGACCTGGGGTTATGGGTCAGTAGCTAAGCCCTTGTGGAGCACTTAAGAATAAATCGAACAATCGGGCAAACAAACAACAAAAAAAAAGCCAAAACAGACAAAATGGGCCCCAATGTGCAACCACCAGCCCCAGAGGGTTGTTTCTATTTTTATTAAATATGTTTTCATTGAAGTCATGCCTATCTATCTGCCACCCCAATTCAGTCTTTGCTAAGTTAACAAATACGAGATTCTGCCTCTCTGTGAACCTCTGGCTGCTCTTTTCTTCTTCACCTCCTGTCAATTCCCATTTGCTCTAGGATGACGAATTTGTTGTTTATAAAACCAGTCAAGTGAAAATGAAATACATTGTTAAATTTCACATTCCTGGAGACCGAATAAAGGACTTCCATCCTGATAAAAATACTGAATTAGAGGAATACAGAGTTGAGCCTTCAAATGTTTCAAAGGTTGAAGGTAAGACAAATTTCTTGAGTGCTATTTTGTGAGATAATATAAAATGGAAATTTTTTTTCAAAAGTATTTATATTCATGTTTGGTAAGCAGCACCCATGATCTCCTATTTCATTTTATCTTTTATCTTGAACATATAAAAGATGAAGTGATCTCAGAATCCCCCACTTTGTCACTAGCATGCCTAAATTTGGGGATTGTGGTGACTCCCCTGCAGGCTTTATATCAGGCAGGGAAAAGGGCATCCATGAAGAGACAAGAAGGAAACTCGGCTCAGCCCGATTTTATTGTAACTAGTGCTGGATAACTACTTCTAGAGTCTGGCCCAGATCATTTTACTTTAGCCATATTTAAGGCCAGCACAATTTTGGAAAAGAGTATTCAGATAACAATTAACTCAGCCCCAAGTGTGCATTTTTTTTTTTTTTTGATTTTTTCGAGATAGGGTTTCTCCGTAGCCTTTTTGGTTCCTGTCCTGGAACTAGCTCTTGTAGACCAGGCTGGCCTCGAACTCACAGAGATCCGCCTGCCTCTGCCTCCCGAGTGCTGGGATTTAAGGCGTGCGCCACCACCGCCTGGCTCCAAGTGTGCAATTTAAAACATGTTTGCATTGAGATTCCTGACAAAGTACAGCTGACTTCTTTCACAAGGATGGGGACTGTTGACTCAGAGATGGTGCCCAGGATTTAGGGTCTATGGAGCTTTACTGAGGTTAACATAATTCCTGTGGTGTTGGAATTGGCCTGGCCCTATGATAACATAGAAGTCACTGTTAGCTTGGGCTTCCCACAGGTCAGGGAACCCTGATTGCTCTTCGAGCAGATGAGGGAAGGGGACTTGATCGGGGGAGGGGGAGGGAAATGGGAAGCGGTTGCGGGGAGGAGGCAAAAATCCTTAATAAATAAATAAATTAAAAAAAAAAGAAGTCACTGTTAGGTATATTTCTTAAGACCAGCCTCTCCGTTGACACAAATAATTCCAATCAGACCAAATTGACCAAATAAAGATGCCCATGTTTAATGCAGTGGTCCCGGGTGGTCTGGGAAAGCATGGTGAGGGGAAGAGAGCAGGGGAGACCACGCAAAACCTGGAGACCACATGTTCCTTTTCTGGGGGGCAGCCTAAATAGCCTGTGGGAGTGGTCCTGACCCTCCTTGGGGAGGGGTAACTGCTTGGTTGGCTTTCCCAGAGGTGGAGTCTGGACCAAGGTGACTCCCAGGGGAGGGGGCTTGAAATGGAGCTTCCTGCCAAGGATGGGTGCCAGGGGCTGGGGTGATACTTCTAACCCAAACATCCCAGAGTCCTTGGACATAGGGGTGTCGAGGCTGGGGTCTCACTTTGGACCAAACAGTCACTTAGGCTGTTGTGAAGCATGAATGACCTCACTCATAAGAGTGGGTTTATGGTTTAAAATCAATGCTCAAGATGTAGGGGAAAAGGCCTTGAATAAGTAAAAACATAAGTTCTGGGAGATGCGGGCAGAGCCTGTCTCATCAGACAGCAAAGGATCACCAGGTTGTAAACGACATCATTCTTAGCCTTCCAGGAAGTGCAGCTTCACACCTCATTCCCTTGAAGAGGTAAACTGTGTTAAACTTTCCCGGCTTCTCCAGTGTTTATCTGTGTGCACAAGGCTCTTCGTTCTCTACAGGGGATGACTTAATAATATAATTCATTTTGGGGGTCTCTTTTTTTGTTGCAATAACAAAATACTGTGTCCTTTTTTTTTTTTTTTTTGGTTTTTTGAGACAGGGTTTCTCTGTGGTTTTGGAGCCTATCCTGGAACTAGCTCTTGTAGACCAGGCTGGTCTCGAACTCACAGAGATCCGCCTGCCTCTGCCTCCCGAGTGCTGGGATTAAAGGCGTGTGCCACCACCGCCCGGCTGTGTCCTTTTTTGTTAATGAGATATTTAATCGCTGCACCATTCGTTACTTCGTCATACAGATCTGCTTAAATTATATATCTGCTCTTGGTTTAAATTTGGTCTATCAGGCCAGGCGGTGGTGGCACACACCTTTACTACTGGCACTTGGGAGGCAGAAGCAGGCAGATCTCAGTGAGTTTGAGGCCAACCTGGTCTACAAAGCGAATTCCAGGACAGCCAGGGCTGTTACACAAAGAATCCCTGTCTTGAAAAACCAAAATTAAAAAAAAAGAAAGGAAAAAAGAAATCAGTCAGTCAGGAGCTGGAAAGATGGTTGAGGGGTTAAGAGCACCAGCACCAGAGGGCCCAGGTTCTATTCCAAACACCCACATAGCAACTCACAAGTAACTCTAGTCCCAGAGGATACAATGCCCTCTCTGGCCTCCACAGACCAGGGACACACATGGTACACAGACAGGCATACAGGCAAAACACCCACACTTTGAAGATAAAAATGTCTTAAAAGTTTGGTAGATTATATACATCTAAAAATTCATCCAATTCTTTTAGATTTTTCAAATTTAATGACAAGTATTTCTTTCTTTCTTTTCTTTTTTTTTTTTTGTTTTTTGTTTTTGTTTTTTCAAGAGAGGGTTTCTCTGTAGCTTTGGAGCCTGTCCTAGAGCTAGATCTTGTAGATCAGGCTGGCTTCAAACTCACAAAGATACACCTTCCTCTGCCTCCTGAGAGCTGAGATAAAAGGCGTGGGCCACCACCACCCAGCTGGCATGAATTTTTTAACTTATATCGTAGTGACTTTGAATTCCATTAGTAACTATCTTTCATCACTAATTTTATTAATTTGAGTTTTTCTGTCTTTCTTCTAGTTAGTTTATCTATCTTAACGAATATCAGAAAAATTAAAGGATTCCTTGTGTTCTACTTTACCACAGTGGGATAGAACTGTATCAGAGGGGCTGCTGAGATGGTTTAGCAGTTAAGAGCATTGACTGTTCTTCCAGAGGACCTGGGTTCAGTTCCCAGCACCCACGTGGCAGCTCACAGCTGTCTGCAGTTCCAGTTTCAGGGGAGTTGATGCCTTCATGCACATAAAATAAAGTTAAATAAATTATTTTTTTAAAAAAAGAACTGTATCAGAGGGCTGGATGGACGACTTAGTACTTAAGAACCCTGCCTGCTCCTCAAAGGGTCTGGATCCAACTCCAGTGTCCACATGGCAGCTCACAGCCATCTGTAACTCCAGTTTCAGGGGACCCTACACCCTCTTCTGACCTCTGTGGGCATCAGGCACCCACTTGGTACATAGACATACCCGGAGGAAAAACACCCATATACATAAAATTTTAAAATGTAAATAATTTAAAAATAGAAACAGACAGAAAGTGATACAAAGAATCAATGAAACGAAGAGTTGGTTCTTTGGAAAGAAGAGCAAGTTAGGTCCTATTTTGGTCTCCAACACAAATAAATAAGTACTTTAAAAAAATTATTAATGTGTGTGTGCATGTGTGTGTACATGTTTCAGTACATGTGCACGTGTGGAGATCAGAAGACAATCTATGGTGAGTCGTCCTTTCCTTCCTGTGTGGGCAGAAGGGATCAACTTCAAGTTGTCGAGTTGGGAGCAAGTGCCTTTACTCAATGAGCGTGCTCACTAGCCCAGTACAGTACTTCTTTAACGAAACAGGAAAGTAGAAATGCGTTTGAGAATGCTGTCCACACTGGGTTTGTGTTTCCTAACTGAGTATTAAAAACAGTAGTGGCTTTGAGTGTAGCTCATTTGGTAGAGAGCTTACTTCACATGAATGAAGCCCAGGGCTCACTCCTGAGCACTGCCACCACAAAAGCAAAAAGACAAACAAGGAGACTGGGGAAATGGCTCAGAGGCTAAGAGCCCTGACTGCTCTTTCATAGGACCCAGGTTCAATTCCCAGCACCTACATGGCAGCTCACAACTGACTGTAACTCCAGGATCCAACACCCTCCCTCATACAGGCAAAACATCAATAAAATAAAAATAAATTAATTTGTTAAAAAAAAATCAGTCACTCAGGGCTGGAGAGATAGCTCAGAGGTTAAGAGTACTAACTGTTCTTCTAGAGGTCCTGAGTTCAATTCCCAGCAACCACATGGTGGCTCACAGCCATCTGTAATAAGGTCTGGTGCCCTCTTCTGGCCAGCAAGCATACAGACAGACAGAACACTGTATATATAATAAATAAATAAATCTTTAAAAAAAAAAAGATCAGTCACTCATAGTGATATTTAAAAAAAAAAAAGACAAAACAAAACCCAAATAGAGTAGCAGCTGGATGTGGTGGCACATTCCTATAATCCCAGCACTTGTGAGGCTGGGGCAGGCAGCTTTCCAGTTTGAGAGTAGACTAGGCTAGCAACATAGGAAGATCTTATCTTAAACAAAAACTCATAGAATACTATGAATATAATAGTATTTTCCATCTTCCCCTAACTGTAATGTCTAAACAATGGAGTGAGTCATGGGGATGAAGGTGATAACAACAGAGCCGTGCCTGCTTTCAGGCTGACATTGTGTTTATAACCTGCAGATTTCCAGTTACCAGACGTCAAGCCCCTCACCAACGTCAAAGCTGGCCTTCAGGACAAATCTGCGAACTCTGTCCCTCTTGACAGTGTTCACATCAGGGGAAGAATAATAGACTTTGTAGCCCAGGTATGCGTTTTGTGGTTTTATGACATGGAATTAAATGAATATAAGTCACAAATAAGAATGTGGTTGCAACCAGGTGGTCGTGGTGCTTGCCTTTAATCCCAACACTCAGGAGGGAGAGGCAGGCGGACCTCTGCGAGTTTAAGGTCAGCCTGGTCTACAAAGGGAGTTTCAGGACAGCCAGGACTACACAGAGAACCGTATCTCAGAAAGAAAAAAAGAATTTGGTTACAACTGGGTGTAAAAGGTGGCACACGCCTTTGATCCCAACACACAGGAGGCAGAGGCAGGTGGATCTCTCTGATTTCAAAGCCAGGGAGGTCTACAGAGTGAGTTCTAGGACAGCCAGGTCTACACAGAGAAACCCTGTCTTGAAAAACAAAAATAAAGCAAAACAAACAAGGTCTGGAGAGATGGCTCAGAGGTTAAGAGCATTGCCTGCTCTTCCAAAGGTCCTGAGTTCAATTCCCAGCAACCACATGGTGGCTCACAACCATCTGTAATGGGGTCTGATGTCCTCTTCTGGCCTGCAGGCATATACACAGACAGAATGTTGTATACATAATAAATAAATAAATAAAATTTTTTTAAAAAACAAGCAAACAAAGAATTTAGTTGAGGTTATATAAACTAAATGAAATACATATGTCACTTGTTTAAGGAATAATGGAAAGGAAATTTTTTTTAATTAAGTACTTAATACATACTTTTTTTTCAAATATTCTATCTATAGTTGGTTGAACCCATCATGGAATTAGCATCCACGGATATAGAAGACCAATTATATATTATTATAAAATCTACTCATCGAATGCATTTCCCACTTAGGTTTTTAGTTTATCATGGATTTATTAGAACACGGCCCCCATCGTAGGGCCAGAACTGTCTGTACTCCAGAAGTTCCCAGACACATGACACTTGGGAGGCAGCAAAATTCTTAGCACGAGAGGGGCTTTTTTACTTCTACTGCTTGGTCACATATAACTGCCTAAATACGCAGCTGGTGTACCTTGCCAGTGGCGTGAACAGGTCCGCTGTGGGGTAGAAAGCATCGAGCCTGGAAACCAGGCTTGTGAATTTGGGAGGCCTGTTGAAAAGTTAAGGGGTTTAAACTGTGCTCAGTGGGGACACCTGTAATGCCAGTGTCGGAGCCTCCTCCAACAAAATCAGCTGGGGTATCTGGTAGGGGCACAGGGATTTAGGAAATGACAATTGAAAGAAATTGATATGGAAACCATGGGATAGATTTGGAGGACTGCCAACTTACTCTGGACAGCCTCGAGTTTATTTTTCAGCCCTCTCTCTCTCTCTCTCTCTCTATATATATATATATATATATATATATGTGTGTGTGTGTGTGTGTGTGTGTATGTATATATATATATACAGGCAAAGCAGAACAAAGAACAGCAGAATCAGTTGACCCCTTCCCTGCACTGACTTTGAGAGACAAGTAGCCTCATTACCTACCCCACGAGTCCTGCTAGCAGCAAACAATCTCTGTTTTTTAACTGGATGTACCTGTGGCTGGCATTCAACAGTCTGTATCTTAAGAGATAACGTGTTCTCTCACGTGGGCAAAAGTGCTCTTTCCCATGGGCTTGATCAGAACTTTCTCACAACCCTCAAGGATACCGGAGCAAGCGGAGCAGACTAGCTTGAGCTCAAATGACTGTTAAGTCAGAATGGACGTCAGGTGGAAACTGAGTCACTTATGGGCTACCACAGCCTAGTACTTGGTAGGAGAAGAAGAAAGGCAGGACAGTCCCAGGTTCAAGGTCAGCTCCAGGTACAAGTTCATGGCCTCCCTGGGCTGCAGGCGACCCTGTCTCAAAAAAAAAAAAAAAAAGCAAAACAAAAAACATAAAAAAAAAAATCATTTAGGAAATGAGTATGTGTAATTATTTTCATTAGTTGTTTTTGTAAATGTTCCATGTGATTTTATCGATTATGTAAAAACAAATTTTCCCTCCTCTTTCAGATCATTATTTTTCAGACGTACACAAATCAAAGTCCCGTGCCTATCGAGGCAAAATATATCTTCCCTTTGGATGATAAGGCAGCTGTGTGTGGCTTCGAGGCATTCATCAATGGGAAGCACATAGTTGGAGAGGTAAGGAGAGAAGGCACACTGAGTCCCACATTCCCAAATTGTCCTCGTCTGAGTACCCATGGCAGCGAGGTGGGAAATAGCAGCATTAAAGCCGGAACTACGAGCCGGGCAGTGATGGCGCCCACCTTTAATCCCAGCACTTAGGAGGCAGAGACAAGTGGATCTCAGTGAGTTTGAGGCCAGCCTGGTCTACAAAGTGAGTTCTGGGACAGCCAGGGCTGTCACACAGAGAAACCCTGTCTCGAAAAACAAAACAAACAAGCAAACAAAAAAGCTCATACTTAGAGGTTTTGTTATTGTTGTTTTGTTTTTTAGGTTTTTGTTTTAGGTTTGTTTGTTTATTTGGTTTTTTTGTTGTTGTTGTTGTTTGGTTTTCGAGACAAGGTTTCTCTATGTAGCCCTGGTTATCTTGAAACTCTGTAGACCAGGCTGGCCTCAAATTCACAGAGATCTTCCCACCTCTGCCTCCAAATGCTGGGATTAAAGGCAGGTGCTACCACCACCTGGCATACATATAGGTTTTTTAAGATTTCATTGTACAGTTTTCATTGTGTAGCCCAGGCCACCTCACACTCACTCTGGAGACCTGGCTAACTTTGAACTTAAAATATTTCTTCCCGAGCCGGGCGATGGTGGCGCACGCCTTTAATCCCAGCACTCGGGAGGCAGAGGCAGGTGGATCTCTGTGAGTTCGAGACCAGCCTGGTCTATAGTTCCAGGACAGGCTCCAAAGCCACAGAGAAACCCTGCCTCGAAAAACCAAAAAAAAATATATATATATATTTCTTCCCCAGTCTCTGAATGTTGGGATTAAAGGGGTGCACTATCACATAACTTCATAGCTCTTATATAAGTAAGCAAAATGAATCCTGCTGAACTGAAGTGAGCATTCAGATAGATAGATAGATAGATAGATAGATAGATAGATAGATAGACTGTACCCCAAAAAAGTAACAGAAGCTAGGTATATAGATATAGTATCTAGGTGGAGCACTTGCTTAGCATACACAGGCCCTGGCTCTGTTCTAAAGACTAACCAACAGTTGCAATTATAACCCATGACTTACTAAATTTAAAATAGACTTTGGGGATGAGGACTGGTTCTGTGGTTAGAAGCATCTGCTGCTCTTGCAGAGGACCCTGGTTTAGTTCCCAGCACCCATATGGCAGCTCACAACTGTAACTCCCGTCCAGGAGATCCAACTTCCTCTTCTGGCATGGGAAGCAAGTGCATATATAATAATACATAGTCACACATGCAGGCAAAATACTCATATCAAATAGAAATTAATATTTTAAAAGAAATTGCAGTTTAATAAATAAATGGGTTGTAAACGGTAATAAAAAGCTGATATAGTGGTGCACACCTTTAATCCCAGCACTCAGGAGGCAGAGGCAGGTGGATCTCTGATGGAGGAAGGTCATTGGCTAATAAAGGAACTGCCCTGGCCCATTTTATTGGTTAGGACATAGGTAGGTGGAGTAAACAGATCAGAATACTGGGAGGAAGAGGAAGTGAGCTCAGAGACTCCACAGCTCTCTCGGGAGCAGACGCCTCAGAGAGAGACGCCATGCCCCGCTCCCGGGATGAAGCTCCGACCCAGGATGGACTAGGCTAGAATCTTCCCGGTAAGACCGGTTCACACAGATTATTAGAGATGGGTTGATCGGGATAACAGAATTAGCCTGTAAGTGCTAGAGCTAAAGGGCCAAGCGGTGTCTAAAAGAATACAGTGTCTGTGTAATTATTTTGGGGCAGCGCTGCCGCCCCATATTACTACATTATGGCGCCCACGTGGACAACTGCTTCCACATAAAGCCTGAGACAGCTTGGGAAATAATTCTAGAACAAAATGAAAGCATTGTGCCTGGTTTCTTGGTAGCAACAATTTCTCGGTTCTACTCTGGCAAGCAAGCGCCTCATCTAAGAGAGGCTTCCTGACTCAGCTTTAGCTGCAAAGCCTGAAGCTCATTAAGAGGTCCTGCCACGAAACACTTAAACGGTGTTGACGAAAAGCTGAACGCATGCTTTTCGGTTTTCAGCCGTAGCAGGAAAAAAGCTGCGCTGTTTAAAAATGCCGGCTTTCTGGGCCATCCTGCCAGGGCAAACTCTGACTGTTTGAGGCAGGAGGGCCTGCTACCGAGAGGAATTGAGTGTTGTCTGTTGTAGCTCACTTGCTGGCAGGGACCTTGAAATGCCATACAGTTGTTGCAGTAAACATGGCTACAGCCAGTACCTCAGCCATGAGGCTGGAAAGCTAAGGAATGGACTGGATCTAGCTGGCAAAGCCACGCCTTTAATCCTACTGACATCGCTTGGTAAATTAAAGACTCACGTGGTCAGAAAAAGAGAGATATACAGTAAAGAGAGATTCAAAGACAGAGAAAATTTCTGAATGGTTTAAAGTGTGTTAAAAATATATGCAGACTAAAAGTTGAAGTTCTTAAAGTAAAAAACATAAAAAAAAGGAAGAGAGTTGTTGTGTGTGGTAGCACACGCCTTTAATCCCAGTGCCTAGAAGGCAGAGACAAACAGATCTCTGTGAGTTCAAGGTGTGGTAGTGTACACCTTTAATCCCAAATGCCTGGGAGGCAGAGACAGGCGGATCTTTGAGAGTTCAAAGACAGCCTGGTCTACAGAGTTACTTCAGGTCAAAGATACAGAGAACCTGTCTCAAAAAGCAAAGAGTTAAAAGTAAAAAGAAACAAAATAGAGGTTAAAACAAAGCTGCACAAAGATGGAAAATAAACAGAGAATTTTGATACTGTATGCTATTATGCTCTCTTTGAATTGTTTGAATGCTGAGGAAGGAGCAACAGCTGCTAAAAGATATTTATTTATAAATGCTGCTGAACTAATCCGACATAGATATTTTGATGCCTTGACTTTGAAATTTGGATCTAAGGACATGATACTTTGGAAAGGAGTTTCTTATTTTGTTTTCACAGAGGATGAGACGCTGTTCTTTTCTTCTATTCCGATTTGGTATGATGGACCACGCCCTCCTGAAGGGTTGGTGTGAACACCTTCAGAAAATTGCTTTGCTCAACTGCCAACTGAGATGAAACTAGCACACAGGTTATACCATGAAAGACCTAATTAACGACGCCCCCATTCAGCAGGAAGCAGTTTGGAGAGAAATAACTGCGCCCATATTCCCTAAAAATGTTTATAAATGTTCTTTTACATTTAAAGGGGGATATGATATAGATATGAATAATTTGCATTAGTATAGATTTTGCTTTATTGATAGAGATTTAAGGTCAATTTTGTTATATGTATAAGTGTTTCTGATTTTGATTAAGGTATTGTGATTGTGTAGTTCATTTAAATATGTACTATATAATTAAGAAATATAGGTTGTTAATGGATAATCATCGATAATAGTAAAGCTTGTAGTCATGTTAGTTAGATTTTCTAGATATATAGAGATATATTTTAGATAGACATTCTTCATGTCTTTCAAAGATTACAGAATAGGACATTTAATGTTTTAATAACTGAGGACTTTTCATGACAATGAGACACTCTGCTCCTGGCAGCACCAATGTACTTCAAGAGGAAGATGGGCATCGAAGAGGCACCTTATGGAGTTTGATAGCCATTTGGGCAAGAAACTGCTCTTGCCTGGACTATTGCATAAACTGGACACAGAGAACCCGCAGAGAGAGGACTACTGAACTTGCCTAAGGAGAGATGATCTTTCGGGGTTCCTGATTCATGAAAGAGTCTGCGAGACATTCTGCAGGACACAACAGATAGTGACTGAACTGACTTTGAATTTTCCTGCTTTATGGAAATGTCTGCTGGATACCATGGGCCTGAAGGCTGAAGATGGATGCCCCAACGGTACAGAGGAACTTTGGGTGACTGTCCAGGCAGCGAGATGTCTCTGTCATTTCTAGAGTTTTAAAAGTTGTTTTTTTCTTGTTTGCTTAGGTAGTATTCTATCTTTCTGGAGTCTTTGACGGAGTTAAGAATAGTTAGTTATAGTTATAGTTTTCCTTAGTTATGATAAAGATTATTGTAACTTTTACTTGATAACTGTTTTGTTATATGTAATTTTGCTATGTTAAAGTTAAAGCCTTTTTTTTTGTTTAAACCGAAAAAGGGGAAATGATGGAGGAAGGTCATTGGCTAATAAAGGAACTGCCCTGGCCCATTTTATTGGTTAGGACATAGGTAGGTGGAGTAAACAGATCAGAATACTGGGAGGAAGAGGAAGTGAGCTCAGAGACTCCACAGCTCTCTCGGGAGCAGACGCCTCAGAGAGAGACGCCATGCCCCGCTCCCGGGATGAAGCTCCGACCCAGGATGGACTAGGCTAGAATCTTCCCGGTAAGACCGGTTCACACAGATTATTAGAGATGGGTTGATCGGGATAACAGAATTAGCCTGTAAGTGCTAGAGCTAAAGGGCCAAGCGGTGTCTAAAAGAATACAGTGTCTGTGTAATTATTTTTTGGGCATAAGCTAGCCGGGCAGGCGGCCAGGGGTGCTGAGAACGCAGCCCTGCCGCCCCTATTACTTCAGATCTCTGTGAGTTTGAGTCCAGCCTGGTCTACAGAGTGAGTTCCAGGTCAGCCAACGGCTACATAGTGAGACCCTGTCTTTACAAGAGAGAGAGAGAGAGAGAGAGTAATAATTTTAAAAATCACTAAATTAAAAAAAATAAATAAATAAAATAAACTTTTTGTTGTGTCTGACAAAAGTTCCAAACTTTAATTTTCAACTACTGGCTGGAGTTTGGTCCTAACTTAGGATTCTCTTTAATCGGCCTTTTCTAGTTCAGACTCTTGTTGGGCGGTGCACCCTTGCTTATCCAATTATGTAAGTTTTCATGCATCCGAGACTTAGTTTCCTGGCTTTCTCTAGGCTTTAATAAACATTGGCGTCATTTTCCTATGAAAGCCTAAAGTCACTCTTCCTATAATGAACATTTTAAAAGTCTTTCTCGAAGTTGGGCATGGCGCCTCACACCTGTGGTCTCAGCAGAGGCAGGAGGATTGTTGCAACTTCAAGGCCAGTCTGGGGTACATGGTGAACTGCAGGCTAGTCTAATATAGAGTGAGAGCTTGTCTAAAAAATCAAAATGAACAAAAGTATTATAATAGTTGTCTTTTCCAGATAAAAGAGAAGGAAGAAGCCCAGCAGAAATACCGAGAGGCTGTCAGCCAAGGCCATGGTGCTTACTTGATGGACCAGGACACTCCGGTACAGCTCGTTACTCACCCAGTAGCCAGCGTGTTGTGGGAAATAGTTTGAAATAGGAATCCATAATAGAAACCAAGATCATTTACAGTACTCTAGGCTCATAAGATCTCTTGTGTATACTGCACGTGGTGCCGTGCACCATAATCTCAGCACTTGAGAGGTGGAGGCAGGAGAATTGCTGCAAGTTCAAGGCCCACCTTTTCTACATAGGGAACTCTAGGCTGTGCAGAGCAACCTGGCAAGACCTTGTCTCAAACACACTCACAAAAATCCCTTAGAAAAAAAGGGGGCTAAGCCAGGCCTAACCATGGGAGTTGTCTAACGGGGAAATGAAGTCGGTGCTCTAGGAAACAGGAAGAGCTGGTGCTGCTGCTGGGCACTGGGTTGCCAGAACCAATGGCACACATTTGAAGTACACAATTTTCATCCCAACTGTAAAATGTAATAGAAATGTTTTTCCCAGAACTAAACTCACTTACCCACATGTCCAGTTTTCACCAAGCTATAACCCAGAAGGCATTCCTGTAAGCGCTTTTAGAAATTTAATGTTTGGTTGAGGGAAGAACACACTAAGGGTTAATACAGATCTAAGAGATAAGCCGCTTTAATTTTTTTACGTTCATTCGTGTATGTGCGCACACTTAGACCACAGCGTGCAGAAGTCAAAGGACACCTTTCTGGAGTTGGTTCTCACCTCCTACCGCATAGGTCCAGGAGACTGAACTCAGGTCGTCAGCTTGGTGGTTCGTGCCTTTATTCTTTAATTCCCTGTCGTTGCTTTAGCTCTTTCCTACAGATGGATGTGCTTAATGTCAAAAGCAGAGATTTAGGGCTACTGAGATGGCCTAGCAGGTAGAAGGGCTCGCCGCGCAAGCTTGACACCCTGAGCTGGATCCCCAGAACCCACGTAAAGGCAGATGAGAACGTGGATTTCCTTTGTTACTTTGTCCAAATGTGTTAAATTTTTATCATAGCGATAAAATGGCAACTGTACTGAAAGATGTTGAGATGAGCCCCTTAGATACCAGGAAAAAAGGTCTGTCCAGAACTGGGCACATTGACACAGAATTACGATCTGTCCAGAACTGGGCACATTGACACAGAATTACGATGCCTGCCCAGTGAGAAGCCAGCAGTTAGAGGTGAATAAGAAAGAGGTCCTCACTGAGAGTGCATGACCGTTCTGGCCGATGCACCAAAGAGAACCAGCCCTGAGCAGAAACCCGCATCCCCCGCGTGACTACAGTGGGGAGCCCTCGAGCCCTTCCCCAGTGGCCGTCCTCCCCTCTGTCTCCCACAGATGTCTCCCCATCACTAGTGAACTGCTCCGGAGCTCCCCCTGATGCTAGCCGTCATCTATCACCATATTCTGGGGAGGAGCTTGACTGAGTGTCATTGACGTCACTCTAGCGCTACGAGGAACAAACTACAGGGTGGATCTGCTTCTGAGTAGCTCTTTGTATTTTAGGATGTTTTCACTGTCAGCGTTGGAAACCTTCCCCCTCGGGCTAAGGTCCTCATCAAAATCACCTACATCACAGAACTCACCTTCGAAAGCCCTGTGGCTGTCTTCTTCATGCCTGCCACCGTAGCACCCTGGCAACAGGACAAGGCTTTGAATGAGAACCTTCAGGTGGGTGTGCTTAATATGCGATCTGATGGAAGCCAGTTATAGCATGCTTTAATCCCAGCACTTGGGAGGCGGAGGTGGGCAGACCTCTGTGAGTTCAAAGCCAGCCTGATATACATAGGGCCAGAGCACCATAGTGAGACTCAGTCTCAAAAAGCCAATATATACACACAATATATAACACATACATATATATACATACACACACACATATATAGTAGGGGCGCACAGGAGAAATGGCTCAGTGGTTTAAGAGCACTTACTGTTATTGCAGAAAACCTGGGTTCAAATCCCAGCACCCTCATGACAGCTGTCTCTAACTCCAGTACCAGAGGATTTAGCGCCCTCTTCTGGCCGTCTCAGGCACTGCGCCCATTCACCTAGTACACATATAGTATGCAAACAAAACACCTACACATAATAAAATTTAAAAAAATGTTGTGGTAACTGTCAGAGGTGTTCCTGACATCAGCTGAATGTCAGAAGTTAATGTCATCTCCTGACCCTATGCTGTGTGTCACTACTTGGAAATGAGACTGTCTCTCTTGACATTGTCAACTGTGCCTGGCTGAGATCACCTTAGTATTCTAAAAGCTTACTGGAAATTCTATTATTCACATATACTTTTCCTCTAACAGGATACAGTGGAGAAGGTCTGTATAAAGGAAATAGGAAAGAAGCAAAGGTTAGTACCTAAAATATAAATCGGGTGATTAACTCATTCAGTGGGCATTGGCTTTATGGTTAAATCTCATTTACAATTTTTGGAAAGTATGGGAGATGAAGTTCATTGCTAGAGGGCTTGCTCACCTGCGGGAAGCCCTGGCTTTGATTCCAGTGCTGCATAAAGAACCCCTTGAGACAGCTGTGAGTGGGCACCTAAGATCTTGAATTAATATGGTCTCTTCGTTTTCGGTAGCTTCTCCCTGGCTATGTCCATCGAGATGCCCTACAAGATTGAACTCATCTCCAGTGACACACACGAACTGAGACAGAAGGTCAGTGAATCCTTCCTTGGTTTCTGAAGAACTTAGTTTCCCGTTAATTTTATCATATCAAAAGTATATGTATGTGGTATAAAAGTGAACCAACGCGACACCCACCGGCTTCCACAAGCGGCAGTCATGCCCCATGATGCCCGCAGATTGGCATCCAGCTGTCTCTTTAGATGTTCGAGCTGTTTCTCTGCTGTTGCCTTGGGGCTTTAAGTAATCATTTTCACCGTTTTGCCTTGATTCATCTGCTCCATCAAGGACTGGGATGTGGCTCAGTGTGTAGTGTTGGCCCAACACTCATGAACCCTGGCTTTGATCCTCACTATTGGGGGTGAGGGGAAAGTTGCCGTTTGACATCCTGTTTTGATAGGAGTATGTAAACAATGTTTACGATTGAGCCAGTAAATATTATGATGACATTTTTTATATAATTTTTTTATTTTCTGTGATGATTATCTACCTGTGTGCATGTATGTGTGCCACCAGAGTGCCTGGTATCCACTCTGGCCAGAAAACAGCATTGGATCTCCTGGAACTGGCGTTACAGACCATTGTGAGCCTCCACGTGGGTGCTAGAAACCAAACTCCAAAGTGTGATCCCAAGGTGTCTGGAGAACGTTATTTAGTCGTTCCAGGTTCTGATTGTGTGGTCTGCTTTCTGCTAGGTCCCGATAGACATACACATCTGTGATCTGTAGATACAGAATGAATTGTCTCCGACTTAACTAGATTTGACTGTACAGAGTTTCAGGACCTTAACCAGTCTGTTAGTGGATTCATAACTTTGTATCACTGTAGTGTTGATTCATAATGGAGTTATGTAAATACTGCAGGTACTTACTGGTGGCAGGCAGGTTAGTACAGACAGGCAGGATGCTGTCATTCCTTTCTTTACTTTGTGTGTGTTTGTTTTCTTTTGTAGAGCACCGATTGCAAAGCTGTGATTAGCACTGAGGAAGGCTGCTCCTTAGACAGCTTTGGATTTTCTCTCCACATTGTTCTGCGTGATGCGTATCTCCCAAGAATGTGGGTTGAAAAACATCCAGAAAAAGAAAGTGAGGTATGTTCCTTCTTACTCGGGAGAAGAAACAGTGCCAGATGTGGTAGTTCATTTAGAAAAGCTGAGGCAGGAGAATTACCACTAGTTCAAAATGTGCCTTGACTATATAGCAAGAAAACATCAACATACATACATACATACATGCATGCATAAATGAGGTAACTGAGCACAGTGCTTCATGCCTATTAATCCAGTGCTTGAGAAGTAGAGTCAAGGAGAAATCGGGAGTTTGATGTTATCCTTACATACAAAATTTAAGACTATATTTTGTGCTATATGAGACCCTGTCTCAAAAATATAGTAATAATAATGATGACAATGATGATAGCAATAGAAGTAGGAGGTACCATCTTTTGGGGGAAAATGTATGACTAAATATGCTACTGAAGTTGGAATTGGTTTTTTGAAACAGGGTCTTTCTATATAGTTTAGGTTGGTCTTGAACTCCTTTGTCTTTCAGACTGGCCTTGAACTTATGATCCTCCTGATTTAGTTCCCCAAGTGCTAGAAGTACAGGCATGGCCAGCCCATCCAGTGTTAGCGGGGTGAGGGGAGCGCTTGGTCCTTGTCTCCTTAAAGGAAAGAAGACAGTCTAGAGGCATAGACAGTTTAACCAATTTAGCAAAGCTAAGCAAAGAAAACATTCAAGAGGCTGAAGTAGGCTGCCCCAGAGGCAAGCAGCCCAGTGCCCTTTTCCATGGATTTCTAACAAGTTTCATGAACATTTACAACTCGGGTGGTTTATTCATGGGACGAGGTAACCCTTTCCCTCCCAAGTCATGGTGGATCAGAACTTCCTCTTAGGGCATTTCTTCCTATGATCTTCTAGAAAAGCCCGCAGGGTGAGTGGTACAGAATCACGGTAAGGGTGGCAGGTCTTTTGAGGATGCAGACTCTACCTTAGTGCGCGTGAAATGCCTGGCGCCTTTGCTTCTGATGTAGCAGGAGCCACCTAACTATAGTCTCACGGCTGTTTCACCGCATGAGGCATTTTATACGCCAGGAGGCACAGCTACCAAGAGACAGCTGATATTCTCAGTTACCTGGAACCCATACAAGTTGTCCTCTGATCTCCACATGAGAACATGTCATGTGTGCGGGGGCAGACGTGCACATGTGTGCACACACAGAGATATATGTAAATATAAAAAATGATACTAGAGCCGGGCGGTGGTGGCGCATGCCTTTAATCCCAACACTCGGGAGGCGGAGGCAGGTGGATCTCTGAGTTTGAGGCCAGCCTAGTTTACAGAGAAAGTTCTAGGACAGGCAGAGATGCACAAAGAAACCCTGTCTTGAAAAACCAAATATATGCCGGGTGGTGGTGGCGCACGCCTTTAATCCCAGCACTTGGGAGGCAGAGGCAGGCGGATCTCTGTGAGTTCAAGACCAGCCAGGTCTACAAGAGTTAGTTCTAGGACAGGCACCAAAGCTACAGAGAAACCCTGTCTCGAAAAACCAAATATATATACTTTTATGTAAATATAAAATTACTTATGGCCATGATACAATTGTGTACATTTGTAACAAAGAATTATTATTTTGATTAAAATTCAGACAGACTTGGGGCTGAGAAGTAAGTCTGAAGACTGAGTTTGATTTCACAAACCCACTTGGTAGAAGAAGAGAACAGGCCATCCCAACAGGTCCCCACAAATTGTCCTCTCACTTCCACATCCATGTGCCCATACATACATGCACACTAAATAAACAAATAAAGTAATTTAGAATTATAGAAATAAGGAAAATTATAATGAAATAACTTAAAGGGCTGGAGAGATGACTCAGTGGTTCAGAGCTCTGGCTGCTCTTCAGAGGGCCCAGGTTTGATTCACAGCACCCGCGTGGTGGCTCACAACCGCCTGAAACTCTGGCTCAAGGGATCCAACATGTTCTTTTTGGTTACAGGGACACCCGTATCCACATAGATAATCATGCAGACAAACACCCATGTACATAAAAAATAAAATTAAAACACAGCTTAAAGCTGAAGCTTAAAGATAGTAGGACTAGTTTACGTACTGATTAATAAGAGGTCTGTGCACGTATTTTAGCAATCACTACGACATCTGTATTCCTTTATAATAGTGTGGGTGAGAGACATGTAGTCCTTCATTATTTGTACAAGGTCAAATCCTGTGGGGTTTGTTTTGTTTTGTTTTAGGTAGTCTGTATTTGAGGTACCAGAGTATTGTGTAGCCCAGGCTGGCCTGAAAGTCATTAAACTTCAAATCCCCCTGCCTCTACTGCCCATGGATAGGAATTGTAGGGAACTACCACATCCGTTTATGCAGTGCTAGAGATCAGACTGTGTGTAACTCAGCCAAGTCTCTACAAATGAGCTGCATCCCCAGACCCCAGTGCGGACTCTTGGTTTCTCCGGTGCTTTTGTCTCCATCTGTAACATTTACATCTCCATCTCTAACATTCTGGTTTTTATTTGAATGCCTGGGATACTATTCCCTTCCCCTTAACACTTGTAGATCATTTTATTATTGGAAAAATAATAGCTGGGAGTGGTGATAGATTCCTGTAATCTTAGCACTCTGGATGAACAGGTTAGAGAATCTTAAAGGTTCAAGGTCACCCTTGACTATATAGCAATTTTAGGCTAGCTAGCTTTTGTTACATGATGGAGACCCTACCTCAAAAGAATAAAAGAGAAATGGTATCTGTTTTATTTTGGTAGTGTTAGTTTACTAAAAGGTTTTCTTTTTTTTGGGGGGGGGGGGTTTCGAGGCAGGGTTTCTCGGTGGCTTTGGAGCCTGTCCTAGAACTAGCTCACAGAGATCCGCCTGCCTCTGCCCCCCGAGTGCTGGGATTAAAGGGTTTTAATGTGTGTGTGTTATGTATGTGTGTGTGTGTGTGTTATAAACATGTGCACAGAAAGCCTATACAGGGCAGAAGAAAGCTTTGAGCATGTTCTTTATTTCCCAGTGGCTTCTGGGTTGAGGTCAGGTCACCAGGCTTGAACAAAAAACATTTTTACCGGTGGGCTGGAGAAATGGCTCAGCGGTTAAGAGCACTGGCTGCTCTTCCAGAGGTACTGAGTTCAATTCCCAGCCACCACATGGTGGCTCACAACCATCTGTACTGAGATCTGGCGCCCTCTGGCGTGTGGGCATACATTGAGGCAGAATGATGTATACATAATAAATAAATAAATCTTTAAAAAAAAAAAAAACAGGGAGCTGGAGAGATGGCTCAGTGGTTAAAAGCATTGCCTGCTCTTCCAAAGGTCCTGAGTTCAATTCCCAGCAACCACATGGTGGCTCACAACCATCTGTAAAGAGGTCTGGCGCCCTCTTCTGGCCTTCAGGCATACACGCAGACAGAATATTGTATACATAATAAATAAATATTTAAAAAAAAAAAAAAAAAACATTTTTACCTGCTGAGGACCCATCTCACAGTTCCTAGAAGCTTTCAGACTGTAGGTGTTCCCCATTTAAGACCAGGTGTCTTTTTCTCCTTCCAGGCTTGCATGCTTGTCTTTCAGCCGGATGTGGCGGCCACCCTTCCTGACCTCCGCGCAGAGAATGAAGTGATTATTTGTCTCGACTGTTCCAATTCCATGGAGGGTGTGACATTCATGCAAGCCAAGCAAGTTGCCCTGTACGCTCTGTCTCTGGTGGGTGAGAAGCAAAAAGTGAACATTATGCAGTTTGGCACAGGTTGGTGCACTGTCCCCAGCCCTTCGTGTATCTCTTCTCTAACATGAATGTGTGCAGACTGTTGGGGCCCGGCTGGCCTCGTCTGTGCAGTGGGAGACAGCTTAGTCCAGAACGCTGAAGTCAGTGCTTCTTGGTGAAGATTTTGTCTCCCTCTCCTGATCGTTTTTCTCATCTGCATGATGGGCAAAAAGTCTTGTAAGGGTGGAGCTAACATAGACCGAGGATTTTCAGCTTTGCTATATAGTGAGTAACACACAAATGTGGCCAATGTAATCAACTAAGCAAAACACAGGAACCTCGGTTTATTTAATAGGAAGGCTCCAAGAGTCAGGACCAACATTTGCTGCCAGCACGCTCATAGATACTGTGTTAGAAATGGGCTCAGGCAGCACCAGGCCAGCACTCTTACTAGGCCAGTGTCACCCTCCAGGAGGGAGAGCAGGGACAACTCAACAATATGACAGGGCAGAGCTAAGAGTGGTGGCTCAAATCCACGGTCAGTTTAATGGCTTAACCACCAAATAGGAATTATTTAAGATGGCTGGAACCACAGTTATTTGGCCGTGAATCCTAGTTGGTTATGGTTAAAGTGCCTTTGAGCTGGGCGTGCTGGCTTATTCCTGTAACCCTCAGCACTCCAGACTGAGGCGGTAGGACTGACAAGAGTTCAAGGCTAGCCTGGCCCACATTGCGAATTCCAGGCTAGCCTGAGCTACAGAACAAGACCCAGTCTCCAATGAATGGATAGATAGATAGATAGATAGATAGATAGATAGATAGATAGATAGATAGATAGATATAGATAAATCGATAGATTGATAGAGATAGATAAATGATGGATGAATAGATAGATAGATTGATAGAGATAGATTGATTGATTGGTTGATAGATTGATACAGAGAGATAGATAGATAGATAGATAGATAGATAGATAGATAGATAGACAGACAGACGAGGCATCTCGGAGATGAAAGAAGGAGCATGGAGTAGGATCAGGGCACAGTCCTGTCCTGTTAAATCCCATCTTGCCATCCACCTAGCTTTTTTCACAGTGAAGCTAAGGTTATTCTGCCGTAACATAGATCATACAGGGACGGCGAGCACTTTGCTGGATACTCTGCTCTGCCAGGGCTGAGCAGCCCATGCCACTGAAGTGTCCCACATTTGAGGACTCTGCACAGAGCTTGACTCGGAACATTTTAGGTAGCACGGCTTATAAAATATGCTTCAAACATGAGTGTATGTCAAGTGTTTGTACACCATTCTCTGAAAAGGAAACACGCATGTAAACATCCAGTGTTCTTTATGGTAGAAGCAGTGGTATAAAGTAGCGCTGATTTTATTAGTGGTCAGTCTGGTGAGTGTTTAATGGTAATGTGTCACACCTTCTTATTACACAGGTTACAAGGAGCTATTTTCCTATCCTAAGTACATTACAGACAATAAAGTGGCCACAGAGTTCGTTACGGTAAGAACGGTCTTCCCCTCCTGAATCTTTGTCTGCGAAGCTTGAGTGATGCTGTCCAGGACTTAATCCTGGGCATTGCACATTGGTGGATGTGAGTTAGCTTTTTCTCCCACTGCATGCGATAAACTGATTTATAAGGAAGGAGGTTTCTTTAGTTCACACTTGTAGACGGTTCAGTCTGCGCTTGCTTGGCCTTCTGGCTTTGGTGGCAGCACAGCTTATTACAGCAGAGGAAGGACGTTCATTCACCTGAGGGCCCAGGAGCAAAGAAAGGCAGGGGCCGGGTCCCAGTATCCCCTTCTATCAGGGCATACACCCCAATCTGAATCCTGGTACACTAGGTCCCACCAACTCCAATAGCACCACAGGCAGATAACAAAACCTTTGTGGGCTGGGAGATGCCAGTTGCCCATCCCACAGCAGTGGCCCCTGGTGATAGTGACCATGATGGTGAGGATGGCATGACCTTTCTTTAATGGGAATTTAGCAAGAGTCAAAAGAGAAAAGTCAAACTTGTAATCCTAGCACTCGACAGCCAGAGGCAGGAAGGTCAGGAGTTCAAAACTAGGAGGTAGCTACCTAGTAAGCTTGAGGCCAGCCTGAACTATGCCTGTCTCCAACACCTAAGAAAGGGGCTGGTGAGATGCAGGGTGGGTAAAGACAGTGGATGAGGTCCACCCTGGACCCACATGTTAGAAGGATTGGCCTACACAAGTTTCTGTATGACCCCTACATGTGCACCATGGCGCCCGTGAGCCCCACACACCATACACAAATTAGAAAATATCAGAGCCTGGAGAGATGGCTCAGTGGTTAAGAGCACTGACTGCTCTTCCAGAGGATCCAGGTTTGATTCCCTGCACCACTGTGGCAGCTCACAGTCATCTGTAACTCCAGTTCCAGGGATATTGTCTGCCCTCTTCCAGCTTCAGAAATGCATGTAGTACGTAGAAATACATGCAGGCAGAACATCCAATTAAAATAATAAAATATAAAATAATAATAATGAAAAAATTAAACAATCAAGAAGAGAAACTGCCTACATTCCTACTGCCCAATGTGGCCCCATAAGCATTTTGGAAGTTTTTCTTCTGCCCACTGTCTTAAAATGAGCAAAGTCAAGGGTGCGTCGACAGCGTGTTCCTTCGCACAGATGCTCAGTCCTTTGAAAACTAGCCTTCGGATGTTCAGTGGTAATACTATCGTTACTGTGGGGATATAGGTATCTTTGTTCCACGTGTGTATAATTTCTGTATGACACTGTGTCCCCAGGTTCTGACCTGCTTGCTTCAGTGAATGAGGCATACAGATGGCCTTGATGGGGAGGCTGGAAGGAATAAACTGATCTTATAAAGGATTCATCAGGAAACTTGCTTAGGAAATACTAAGTTATACAAAAGTAGAATTTAGCTAAAGGAGCACGGCCTCAAATATGACTGGGAGATAAGTAATGCAGTAACCAGGCTTCCTAGGAACTACAGAAAGAAGAAAGAAGTAGAGCTGACCTCTAATGTAAGGGCTGGGGGTTTCCAAGCCTGTGTTTCTCGTAAGCTTTGCTCACCAAGACTGCCAAGCAGGCAGGAGAACCTGGGTCAACAACCACCCAAGAAGAGCAACACTGCTCTGATTCAGATTAACTGGGACAATATTTTTTTTTTTTAAGATTTATTTATTTATTATATATACAGTGTTCTGCTTGCATGTATGCCTTCAGGCCAGAAGAGGGCACCAGATCTCATTACAGATGGTTGTGAGCCACCATGTGGTTGCTGGGAATTGAACTCAGGACCTCTGGAAGAGCAGTCAGCGCTCTTAACCTCTGAGCCATCTCTCCAGCCCTGGGACAATATTTTTACTGTGTAAATCTCGCATTTGTTCAAAACGGCCAAGCATGTAGTTTCTGCCTCTGTAAAACATGTTTAATTGTTCAAAGTGTAACTTGGATCTGGGACCTGTAAGAGATGTAGTATGAACGGCGGGCTATGTTCCTGGCGCCTGGCCGCCCGCAGCTAGCTTTATACCCTAAATAATTACACGGAAACTGTATTCTTTTAAACACTGCTTGGCCCATTAGCTCTAGCCTCTTATTGGCAAATTCTCACATCTTGATTAACCCATTTCTAATAATCTGTGTAGCACCACGATTACCAGGGAGATTCTTAACCTGCATCTGTGTCGGGTGGGAGAATCATGGCAACTGCCTGACTCAGCTTCTTTCTCCCAGCATTCTGCTGTTTACTCCACCTACCTAATTTTCTGTCCTATCAAAGGCCAAGCAGTTTCTTTATTAATTAACCAATGAAAGCAACAGATAGACAAATGACCCTCCTCCATCAAAGAGATTTACAGGTGACAGCATATGTGGAATGCTATAGCTCAAAATCTATCCAAAGCTGGGCTGTGGTGGCGCACGCCTTTAATCCCAGCACTCGGGAGGCAGAGGCAGGCGGATCTCTGAGTTTGAGGCCAGCCTGATCTACAAAGTGAGTTCCAGGACAGGCTCCAGAGCTACAGAGAAACCCAGTCTCAAAGAACAAGAAACAAAAAACAAAAACAAAAACAAAAAAGTCTATCCAAACTGTAAAGTATTTCTGTTTGGGACCAGTTTCCTTTTGGATATTTGCCAGAACCAGACATGCGCTTCTCCTTCCTTTAGCGTCCCCTGGTGTTTGCAGTGAATCCTCACTGGGGGGCTGGAAGAAGCCTTAATCTGTCATAGCACCCAGAGTGTAGTGGTTTCCATGTTCGCCCCACAGTTAGTGATGAATGTGCCTTCAGCTGTGACGCTTCCTCCCCTGCAGTCTGCAGCATCCGCCATGGGGAACACAGACTTCTGGAAAGTTCTCCGCTATTTAAGTCTACTGTACCCTTCTGAAGGGTTACGGAACATTCTTCTCATATCTGACGGGCACCTCCAGAGTGAAAGCCTGACATTGCAGCTTGTGAAGAGGAACATCCATCACACCAGGCTGTTCACCTGTGCTGTCGGGTGAGTCACCACGGTGGCAGAGGCAGCTAGCGGACAAGTCATTAGTTGGCCTGTCTGGGGGTTTTGCAAGCTTGAAAGTCGATATGAGTATACGAAATCTGTATGTTGCAGAGGAGTCGAGCTCTTGGCTTGGGACCACGCTGCCAGGGTCTCACAGCTGCAGGGACCTTGGGCAGGCTGTCTCATTTGTAAAATGAAGGCGAAAATGAAATACCTACCTCATGGGACTATTATTTTGCATAAGAGTTCATGGAACCAGCTTGTCCTTAGCGGCCTGGCCCAGCTCCCTGGGGCTGGTTGGGCATGCTTGGCAATGCCTGCACTTGGGACCACCCCTGCCTTCTCCCTTTCTGCGCTACAGGTTTCCTACATTTGCACTGAAACCCTGAGTCAGTCTTTCCACAGATTGTTGGAATTACTCTTGCCAATTGTAGTTAGCATCTGTGTAAGGAGGGGGGGCTCCTGCTGTTTGTGAAGGGCCCCCAACCATTGTCTTCCCCTAAGCTACTGGGTTCTTCCTGTACAGCTCCCACCCCAGGACACCAGGTGTCCCTGTTCTGAGGCAGGGGACTAGTGAAGTGATACATAGACCACTGTGTTGTCCTCACGAGTGAGCTCTGACGACAAGAAGACCCCGTTTTCTGGGGTCCGGGACATCCATGTACCTTCCCAGCATTTCATTCCTGGGGTTTCATAGCCTCTGAAGGTGCTCTACAGCTATTGGTGACTAAAAACAGCTCTTGCTGTCCCCACTCACTCCAGGCCCCTGCTCACTATATGTTCCCTTTGTATCAATTGTTTCGTTTTATGACAAGGTCTCACTCAATAGCCCAGGCCAGCCAGGAAATTACTGTGAAGACCAGGCTGGCTGGAACTTGTGACCCCGTCCCCTCAGACAGTCGAATGCTGAGATTACAGGCATATGCCACCATGCCGTCTAGGCTGATCTGTTTTGTTTTGTGGCAGGGTCTCATGTAGCCCAGGCTGTCATGAACTCTCAAAATAACAGAGGCAGACCTTGAACTCGGATCCTCTTACCTTTGCCTCCCAAGTGTGGCATCACCGATGTGTTCTGGCACACCTAGTGTGTTCAGTACTGGGGATTGAATCCAGTGCCTTGTGTGTGCCAGGCAAAAGCTCTACAATACTCTACAGCCCAGCTCTTCAGGATGCTGTCTGCATCAAGTGTCATTCTGTTAGCGGTTGAGGTTTTTTTATCTTTGTTTACAGTTTGTATTGTTTACGAAAGGTCTCTGTGTGGCTCAGGTTAGCCTCAGAATGTAACCAAGGATACCCTTGGGCTCCTGATCGTCCTGCCTCCCTCTCCCAAGTATGACATCATGCCCAGTACCCTTTGGGGTTGTTGTCGTTGTTAGTTTTTAAGTATGGAAGTATTAGATTTTATTTATTTATTGCTTATCATCTTTGCTGTGGAGGTTTCTGCTAACATACCATGACCTGCATAGTGTCAACACATGAAGCAGGAAGAAAGTGTGGTTCAGCATGACTTAGGAGCCGAAATCGGTTCGGACTTCTGAGTCTGACACGAGGCAGTTTATTCTAGGCATATTTAAGTACAGTACAACGTGGAAAAAAGTTTCATGGTGTAACACAATCTTGTGTGCACAATAAAGCTTAAGACATAATTACATCAAAATCTTTTCTGGTTTTTTGTTTTTTTTTTTTGATTTTTTCGAGACAAGGTTTCTATGTGGTTTTGGAGCCTGTCCTGGAACTAGCTCTTGTAGACCAGGCTGGTCTCGAACTCACAGAGATCCGCCTGCCTCTGCCTCCCGAGTGCTGGGACTAAAGGCGTGCGCCACCACCGCCCGGCAACATCAAAATCTTTTCAAAGGATTGTCACCTCTTCCGTGTTATGTTAAAGGCTTGGAGAAGGATCAGGTGTGGCCTTGGTCATACAGGTAGTGCAGAAGTCACCTAGGCTGTTATCCACCTCTGGTCCAGTTTACTGAGTCCAGAGGGGACAGGTGTGGCCTCAGTCACGTGGATAGTGCAGGGTTCTCCAGGCTGCTAACCGTGTCCATTCCCAGCCTTCCAGGTATAAAACAGATTACCCATCTGTGCCTTTGAAGAGACAGCCCTGCCGGGCAATGGTGGCGCACGCCTTTAATCCCAGTACTCGGGAGGCAGAGGCAGGCGGATCTCTGTGAGTTCGAGACCAGCCTGGTCTACAAGAGCTAGTTCCAGGACAGGCTCCAAAGTCACAGAGAAACCCTGTCTCGAAAAACCAAAAAAAAAAAAAAAAAAAAAAAAAAAAAAAGAAGAGACAGCCCTGCAGTTTAACATTCCTAGTCCCCTACCTTTTGCCAATGCTGTATTGATTAAGTGCCTCCCTTGCCTTGGGTGCGCTCTCCCATGGAGCTACACCCTAGCCCCATTTTATCTGTTTAACTCAGCAGTGGAAAAGTGACTTCTTCATGAGTCTTTCTCAACATTGGTAGCGTGTATTTTTATAATTGTGTCTAAAATGTCTTGAAAATTGCTGGGTGTAGATCTGTAATCTCAGCCTTTGTCAGGCTGAAGCAAGAGGGTTGAAAGTTCAAGGCCAGTGCAGGCTACTTAGTAAGACCTGTCAAAAATAATAATATAATAAAATAAAAACAACTAAATAGCACTGAGCCTGACATGACGGTACATACTAAGAGGTGGAAGGACTAACCCAAGTTTAAGTAGGTGTGGTGGCATTTTTGTTTGTTTGGTGGTTGTTGTTGTTTGTTTGTTTTCCGGGACAGGGTTCCTCTTTAGCTTTGGAGACTGTCCTGGAACTAGCTCTTATAAACCAGGCTGGCCTCGAACTCACCGAGATCTGTCTGCCTCTGCCTCCCGAGTGCTAGGATTAAAGGTGTGCACTACCACTACCACCGCCTAGAGGCAAACAGCTTTAATCCCAGCACTCAGGTCCAGCCTCAGTTTGGGTCCAGATCCTGAGGCAGGAAAGGGGCATAGTGCCAGGAAAACTTCTGGCCACCAAGTGGATTGCATTCAAGTGGCCCCGAATAACTCGAGCCATCTTTATACCTACTGTTTTCTTACCATACGTGAACAGCTTTATTATTGGCTCCTGTTTTTGACCTTTAAGAAATATATAATATTTTAAGGATTACATGGTAGTCATAATGAAAGCCCCCATTGTTTCCCTTTATGCTTCCCCAAATAGACCTTCCCACCCCCTACATGACCTTATTCTAGACATAGAGTTCAGCATTTTTGCAGGCCTAACTAAATATCTAGCCAGATACATCCTGCTCTGGGAGAACTTATGTCAGCTGGCAGCTACTTGCGGTTACAAAGTTAAAAAAAATAATAGATATGGGCACCATGCTCTAAGGACAACAATATTCAAACCCAGACAATTCTTTCATGTCTGCAAGACATGTTTTTATGCAGTTCCCTCTTCTACAAGAGTGTCCCATGCCTCAGTCTCTCTGTAAAGGCAGACTTTGATAAGGCGCTCTTTCCCATCCCACACTTCTCCCACCAATATAAACTCCTGTGTGTGGTAAAGTTGGATCTTTCCATACCATATTTTACATTGTATTTTCCCCATTGGTGCATACCAGATCCTGTCGTTGGTTTCATATGTGTGGTGTCGAGGGCATTTACTCTCAAGAGTTAGCACTGTGAGTATTCCTGAGGCTCTTTCCCTATTCTGTGTGTGCGTACCCTACTCCCCTTTCCAGAACCGTGAGACATGGTCTGTGCTCCAAGTGTTGTTTCCTCATATGTACCTAACAGTCTCTATTGAGTGAGGAAAGCTCCCAAGATGGGGAGTTGTAGTTAGTAATTCCAGATAAGAGATTTGAGAGGCATTAGACCCCTGTTGAATCTCGGGGAAATATTCAAGAAAGAACAGAATATCCAGGGGAAATTACAGCTGTTGCATGCATGACTGACAAAGTAAACCTAAAACCTGCCCAAAGAATCACCAATGTAAGGAGAGAGGAAAAAAGCCTGCAGGCTGCACAAATTTTGCAAATCCCCTCGCTGTCCATGGACTCTCACTGTGAGGGTCTGTTTCCACAGGTGCTTTGCCGCAAGGAAATCGAGGAAATCGTCGCACAGGTAGTCACAGGGAGAGACTAGGGAGGCAGAGGCAGGTGGATCTCTGAGTTCAAGGCCAAGCTGGTCCACAGAATGAGTTCCAGGACAGCCAGGACAGTAGCACAAGAGAAACCCTGTCTCGAAAAACGAAAACAAATAAACAACAACAATAAATAAAATGTGTGAAATGTGATCAGTTCTACAGCAAATCGTCACATCTTAAGGACCTTGTCTCAGTGTGGTGCTGGAGTATTTGAATATTTTAACTCAAAATCCAAGCAGAGTTGGAAAAAACAGGTATGTGGGGGTATTTTTTAACATCTTATCTGTACTCCTGTTTTTACATGTACAAATTTTACCTTCTTGCAAGTCTGATAGTAACTTTCATCTCTTTGTGAACGGACAAGACTTACAAGAAGGCCAAAGCTTTTAAAAACATTTTCTTAAATAATAAGAAGGGCCAAGCCAGACATGGTGGGTCATGCTTTTAATTAAGCCTCCCTCTCTCTTCTGCCCCACAGAGCTGGTGCTTCAGAGGTGACCACACCCAGGGGTTAGTTTTTCACTGTGATAAAATACATACAGGATTTACAAGTCTGTTTCACTGGTGTGAGTTCATTCACAGTGTTGTGTGGAACCAGCATTACCAGCTATTTCCAGAACTTCGCCACCGTCCCTGACGAAAGTCTGTAACAGGAAGCTAAATAATAACTCTGTGTTGCCTCCTGCCTGTAGCTCCTGAAAATGTCTATTCTGCTTCCGGTCTTTATGAACTTGCCTTTCCAGATGCTTTAGATGCAGAGGCATAGCATGCTTGTTCTTTTGTGTCTGGCTTATCTACCTTAGCATAATGTCCATGAGAACCATCTGTATTGTGTTTTTAAACAGGATTTCTTTTCATTTGAAGGTCAAATATTTCATTATTTTTTTATTGGGTTTTGAAAAAGGGGTCTCATGTAACTCAGCTTGAGCCGCGGCTGGGCTTGAACTCCTGACCCTGCTGCCTTCGTTACGCTAGTGTTGAGATTTCAGAATGCCCATTTTAAAGATGAGTAGCAGCCTGTAAAATATGCATATAAAATAATTCATCATAGATAGATAATAGATAAATACATTGGTAGATAGGTAGATGATAGATAGATAAATACATAGATAGGTAGATAGATGATAGAGAGACTAGGTAGATAGATAGATAGATAGATAGATAGATAGATAGATAGAAGACAGATAGGTAGATATGCATACACATTCATTTCATTGGTTAACTTTTCTTTTTTTTTTTTTGTTTTGTTTTGTTGTTGCTTGTTTTTCGAGACAGGGTTTCTCTGTGGTTTTGGAACCTGTCCTGGAACTAGCTCTTGTAGACCAGGCTGGTCTCGAACTCACAAAGATCCGCCTGTCTCTGCCTCCCGAGTGCTGGGTTTAAAGGCGTGCGCCACCACCGCCCAGCCATTGGTTAACTTTTCAACGGACACAGCTTATTTCCACTTTATGCTGCTGTGAATGGCCCTAATGTAACTCTGGTGCACGATATCTGTCTGAGCCCTTCCAATTGTTCAATTCTTTTTTTTTTAATTAATTAATTTATTATGTATACAATGTTCTGTCTGCATGTATGCCTACCTGCCAGAAGAGGGCACCAGATATCATAGATGGTTGTCAGACATCATGTGGTTGCTGGGAATTGAACTCAGGACCTCTGGAAGAGCAGCCAGTGCTCTTAACCTCTGAGCCATCTCTCCAGCCCCCCAGTTGTTCAATTCTGGGTTTGTACTTAGAAGTGAAATTACTGACTCGTGTCGTAACTGTTAGGATTTGCTGCTCTTTTTTCTGCAGCAGCTACACACTTCACATTCCCACTGGCAATATTCCAGAGGCATGTGCGGCAAGTACCTCCACTGGTTGAGCCATTGCCACAAACTGAAATAGAAAAACTTAAAGTATATATTTAAACTGCTGGCACCTTTAGTTCCAGCACTCAGGTGGCAGGAGCAAGTGGATCGCTGTGAGTTCGAGGTCAGCCAGGGCTCTATAGTAAGACCCTGTCTCGATCCTTTTTCCATTTTGGAAAAGTACCCCATCACAGGAAGTAAATGAGAACCAAACAAGCTATAAAATCCCCAAAGACAGAATTAAGTTTTCAAGTGTTAAGTAGCGTGTAGCAATTTTAGCGTACTGGGGACTGAAACCGCCCAATCATCCGTACCAGGCCGGCACTCTACCAACTGAGATGTACCTCCAGACGTTTCATCAGATGCTAGCATTGACGGAGGAGCATTTTCTCTTTTATTATAGATAGAAGCCCAAATGACCAGGATGCGTTCCCCGAGCTGCCACTCTGTCTCTGTCAAGTGGCAGCAGCTCAGCAGAGATGCCCCTGAGCCTCTGCAGGCTCCAGCCCGGGTGCCCTCCTTGTTTCACAACGACAGACTCCTTGTCTACGGATTCATTCCCCACTGTACCCAGGTAGGAAGATGCACAGTTCCTTACACCGTGGGAAAGACAATGAATGTCGATGCTGCTCCTCTCCCCGCTCCACCGCTTGGCCTCTTGTTGGCACTATGGTCCCCACCACCCCGAGTACCTAGCCGGAGAAGCTCTTGATTTCTCTTGAGAGGGGAGTATGTTACCAGAAGGGCTGCTGTTCCACTGTTCCACTTGCTGGGAGTAGAAAAGTTAACGAAACACTCGTGTTTCTCCTATTTCAGGCAACTCTGTGTGCACTCATCCAAGAGAAGGAATTTCATACAATGGTGTCAACTACCGAGCTTCAGAAGACAACTGGGACTGTGAGTCAAACCTTCAGTACTGGGCTCTGGGTAGAACTCAGCAGGAGAACACCAGCCAAGCAGGCGGAAGGCTCTCTTCCGCTTCCCATACACACTCAAGCTGGGGACAGTCAAGATTTTCAGCTCTCACATATAAGCTCCATGTACTTCCTTTTTGTGCTGATGTGTCAGCATACATGAAGGGAGGTCAGGGGTTCTCTGTGCAGTCGGGATGGGGACGCATCCCTTTGATGGGTCTTCATCTGGGATTCTTGGATCTGGGTGTGTCTCTACAGGGTTCCATGGGTGTGAGTAACTGCAAGTAAACATGAGATTTTTCGCCAGGTTAAACTGTGTTTACACACTTACACCTCCAGCACTTGGGACATAGAGGCATTAGGACTGGGAATTTGAGGTCTTCCTTGGATACAAAACAAGTATGAGGCCAGCCTTGGCTACATGAGACCCTTTCTCAGAACAAAACGTGATTATCCATTTTGGTTTTGTTTGAGATACTGCCATTCAAGGTGACCTTGAAGATGAAGCACTTCTCCTGCCTCAGCCTCTTGAGTGCTGGTATTCCATTCGTGCACCACCACACTCTGACAGTGTCTAGCAAAGGTTGTCACGACCCTGTGGGTAAGGACGCGCCCCACAAAACTCCCCAGTTCAGATGCCAGTCGCAAGTCTTTGTCTCACGTTTCCTGCTTGTCCAGCTTGCCCAGCTTGCCAAAGTTGGATAGGAGTTGGAGGTCCCCTCAGTCCTTTCTCAGAACTTAGGAGAACAGTTCATTTACTGTTGCTGATTATTACAGTGAAGGCCCAGATCTTTTCTTTAATCTTTTTTTTAACAGTGTTTTTAATTTTTTATTCTTTTGAGAATTTCATACATGGGTACTGCATTTAGATCTCTCCTTCCCTCTCCAATTCCTCCTGTGTCAACTCCCCACTCTCAAGTTCATGACCTTTTCTTCTATGATTATCCTCTCTCTCTCTTTCTCTTTCACACACACACACACACACACACACACAAATAAACAAACAAACAAATAAAACCTATTGAGTTCAGTGTTTCTCTATATACACATGCCTAGGGCTGGCCACTTGGAGCTGAATAATCTGTCAGGGGGCTCGTGCTTAAAGACGACTGATTGTCCCTTTCTTAGAAGCTTCTAATTACCCACAGGTGGTTCATCTAGGTGGAAGGTGGAGGGACGGGAGACCCTCCAGAAGGCTGCTGAGCAGCAGAGACTCAGTCTTAGAGTCAAAAGGAAGAAGTGGTGTCGGAAGACTGCTGTGACCTCCACACATACTCTTGTCTTCAGTTCGCCATACACATGCGCGAACACGCCTGTAAAACCATTTTAATCATTTTCTCCCCTCGATGCTTACACACAGATGATTCATAAGCTGGCAGCTCGAGCACTGATCAGAGATTATGAGGACGGTATTCTCCATGACAACGAAACCAACCACGAGGTTTGTTCTCCTAGTAAACGCCACGAAGCATTGTTCTATGTCATTCTTAAATTGATTTGCTCATAGCAATACAAAGTGGGGGTGGATGAATAAAGAAGAATGTGATTTCCAGGGCAGACATCAACATCTATGATGTCAGTCCTGGGGTGCGGGTGACTGCTGAACTCAGTAACGAAAGAGTTAATGCCAGTGACTTTCTGAGACTTCTGTGATTTTTCTCCCCGTGAGGAATAGTCTGGAGGGGTGCTCAGGAGATGTCTGTGAGTGCCTGGGATAGCCCTCCTCTCTCCTCTGCTGAGCTGTAGCCTCGGGACACTAGGCAGAGTCACACTCACCTTGCTCCCTCCTTGATGGACAGAGGAGGGTTCTGGCAGAGGGGCCCCTTAGACAGCTACTGTAACAGTCAAACTGTACTGTTAAGTGAGGTTTGAACATTGGTGTTCAATGGCATTCCTAAAAAGGTATCCATACCATGTAGGGACCACTGACCATCACAGTGTTTCTCCTGGCAGCCCTAAGCAGGGGTTGAAGTGGGGCTTAGAAGCCCAAAAGCCACAAACACCTGCTGCTGAGTCACGGTTACAATTTTCCACCAATCCGGAGTCAGAGATTAGGGGCTTTCCTTATGTGTTCCATCACTGTCAATCAACACAGAATGTAAGCCTTTCAGTCCAACCAACCAGATTCATTTGGTCTTTTGGCTGTTGGGTACAGTCATAATGTTTCTAGAGAACTAAAGATGCATAACAGCTGTGTCAAGGAGGAGGTGGGTCAGCTGTTGGAAGGCCCCTTGCTCTCCTATTCCCCGGGAACCTGAACTTTGTTTCACCTCCAAGTGGAGTCTGAAGTCGAAATGGCAGTACTTAAGTCAAGGAGCTTTCAGTGACCGCTTGGATTAGCACTCTCTTTGTTCTCTTTGACTTAAGGCCCATTTGTCTCTGAGTGCATCTGGCTAGCTTTGCCTTGAATAACCCCAATCAAGTAATGATACCTATACAATACTTCAGCTCTATAGTGGGAGGCGCAGCGTGTGAGAGAGCTCGGAAAGCTGGGGAGGGAGGACTGTGTAAGTTTCTTCAGTGACTCAACTGAGTCAACCGTCTCAAGTCACCTCCCTAAGATACTTAGACAGGACCCCTGACTCAGCATCTGATTTGAAGTACTAATTATAAAGGCATTTACGTAGGGCAGGAGATATAGCTCAGTTGGTAGAGAACCTACCCAGCTTTCACAAGACTCTGAATCCACTATCCAGCACTGCACAAACCCAGCCTGATGGTGCACACCTACAATTCCAGCACTGCACAAACCCAGTCTGATGGTGCACACCTAGAATTCCAGCACTGCACAAACCCAGCCTGATGGTGCACACCTAGAATTCCAGCCTTAAACCCAGTCTGATGGTGCACACCTATAATTAAGTCCAGCCCTTGGGAAATAGAAGCAGAAAGTTCTGAAGTTCAAAGTCAGCAGCAGCAACATAGTTGAGTTCCAGGCCAGCCTAAGATACATGAGACGCTGTCTCAAAAGAAATAGATGAGCCAGGAATGTTGGCCTGGTGCATGCCTTTAATCCCAGCACTCAAGAGGTAGAGGCAGCTGGATCTCTGTGAGTTCAAGACCAGCCTTGTCTATAGAGCAAGTTCTGGGAGTACATAGTAAAATTGTCCCAAGAAGAGAAAAAAAATTAAGGAAATAAGAAAAGGAAGGGAATGTATATATTAAATGATGTATTTGTCACAGAAAAACACTGAGATTATTTTATGCTTTTTCAAAATCAGCCTACATAAACTAACACAGTTTCATTCTCTCCTAGATGAAGAAAAAAACCATGAAGTCTCTGATTATTGAACTCAGTAAAGAAAATTCTCTAATTACACAATTTACAAGCTTTGTGGCAGTTGAGAAAAGGGTATGTATTATTATTAATTTAAAATTAAACTGGGCTGGAGATATGACTCAGCTAGAAACCAAATCCAGTTTCCAGCACCCACAGACCCACAGATGGCTTGCAATAGCGACTCTAACTCCAAAGAATCTGGCATCCTCTTCTCTCTTCTGGCTTCTGGAGGCACCACACACAATTTAAAAAAATGTTTTTTGTTTCTTTCCTTTTTTGGTTTTTCGAGACAGGGTTTCTCTGTGGCTTTGGAGCCTGTCCTGGAACTAGCTCTGTAGACCAGGCTGGTCTCGAACTCACAGAGATCCGCCTGCCTCTGCCTCCCGAGTGCCAGGCTGTTTTGTTTTTTTTTTGTTGTTGTTGAGGTAGTGTTTTAATGTGTAGCTCAGGCTGGTCTAGAACTCACCAGCCTGGCTGCAAACTCAGAAATCCACTTATACCTATTTCTGCTTCCTGGGTAGTAGGAGTAAAGGTATGTACCACCACATCCAGCTGAAAATACTTTAAAAAGAAATCATTAGCCGGGTGGTGGTGGTGCACGCCTTTAATCCCAGCACTCGGGAAGCAGAGGCAGGTGGATTTCTGTGAGCTTGAGTCCAGCCTGGTTTACAGAGTGAGTTCCAGGACAATCAGGACTGTTTCACAGAGAAACCCTGTCTCGGAAAGAGGGGGGGGGGACAAAGGAGGAGGAAAAAGAAGATCATTGCCAAAAGTCGTGGTGCAGGCATTTAACTCCAGCACTGAGGCAAAGGCAGGCGGATGTCTTTGAGTTCCAGGACAACCAGGGTTACATAGTGAGACCCTGTCTCAAAACAAAACAAAAATAAGTAAATATATAAAAAGAAATGTAAAAAATAGTAAGCTTTTCTTTGGATGTGGAGGCATACCTGCAACCCTAGCACTTAGGAAACAGAGGCAGGAGGAAACTGAGTTCAGCCTAGGCTACATGGGGAAATTCTGTGTCAAAAACAGCAACAGCCTGCTGGGTGGTGGTGGCGCACACCTTTAATCCCAGAACTCAGGAGGCAGAGGCAGGTGGATCTCTGTGAATTTGAGGCCAGCCTGATCTAACAAAGCAAGTTCCAGGACATCCAACACTGGTATACAGAGAAACCCTGTCTCAAAAAAAAAAAAAAAATGAGATGAGTGGGCAGTGGTGACACATGACTTTAATCCCAGCTCTTGGGAGGCAAAAGCAGGTGGCTCTCTGTGAGTTTGAGGCCAGCCTGGTTTCCAAAGGGAGTTCCAGGATAGCCAGTTACGTGGAGAAACCCTGTCTTGAAAAAAACAAAACCAAAAAAGAAAGTTTTGATTATTTACTAGCACTCTCTATATAAATGTACATTGTTTTGTTTTTCAAGACAGGGTTTCCCAGTAGCTATGGAGCCAGTTCTGGAACTCACTCTGTAGACCAGGCTGTCCTTGAATTCACAGAGATCCCTGTCTCTGCCTCCTTAGTGCTGGGATTAAAGGCATGCGCTGTCACCACCTGGTGCTGTATGTATATTTTAAGACATCTATGTCTATAGAAGCCAGGCGGTAGTGGCACATGCCTTTAATCCCAGCACTCAGGTTGATCTCTGAATTGGAGGTCAGCCTGGTCTGCAGAGTGAGTTCCAGAATAGTAAGGACTGCAGAGAGAAACCCTGTCTTGAAAAGAAAAAAAAAAAATCTATAGTAGTTTGGAGCTAGGATGTGGTGCCACAATGTAGTTAAGCCCCACCCAATACACAAACTTGCACAAAAAAGACATACTATAATTTTTGTTGTTGTTGTTTTGTTCTTTTTGGGTTTTTTTTTTGTTTTTGTTTTTCAAGACAGGGTTTCTCTGTGTAACAACCCTGTCTATCCTGAAACTAGCTCTGTAGACCAGGCTAGCCTTGAACGCACAGAAATCTACCTGCCTATACCTCCAAGTACTGGGATTAAAAGCATGTTCCACCACCGCCCGGCTTTATTTCTTGATTTATTTTTCAGATTGGCCTTTAGGCAAGTCTATGGGGTGTTTTCTTGGTTGATGATAGATATGGAAAGGCCCTCAATAGCAAGGGGCATATATAATCCAAGTAAATGCCCAGATATTCTAAGATATTCTAAACCTAACATCCATAAGTCTTTAGAATGTGTTAATTATTTAATTCAATATCAAAATTATTTAATTTTGATAATATTTCAAAATTATAATTCCATTGTGATTCTATATAGGACGCTAGTGATATTCCTTTTGATAATGCCCCAAATATTTTGGAACTTGTTGCCAAAGAAGATGTAGACTTTCTACCATACGTGAGTTGGCAGGAAAAGTACCCAGAGCCCTTCATAACACTGGTAAGTACAATCATCAAATTCAGTCATCCATTGCTTAACGATGGGGATGTGTTCTGAGAAGTGTATCGGAAGAGAGTTCATGACTGTGTGAGCATCCTAGAGTGAACTCACCCAGGCCTAGTGGTCCAGGACGATTACTGAGTATGTGCCCTTCATGAAATCAAGAAACACAGTAAACAGAAAACATATGGAGAAAACTGCCAATTCAAATTAACCTTGTTTGAATTAAATAGAAAGCATGCATTCTTCTTGGAGGGGTGGGGAGTGAGGACAGCGTCTCTACATCACCCTGCTATCCTGGATGGAACTTGCTATGTAGACCAGGCTGTCCTGGAACTCACAGAAATTGGCCTGCCTCTGTCTTCCAAATGCTAAGATAAAGGTGTGTGACATTACACCAGGCCACAGGAGGAATACACTCTTAAAAGACAGTTTATAAGAGAATCTTGGAGCTAAGTGCAGTACTAAGGGTCATCCTTAGCTACATGGAAAGTTCTAGACCAGCTTGGGATATGTTAGATTCTGTCTCAAAGGAACTAAAAAGATAACCATTTAAACTTTTTTTAGACTTATTTTTTATATGTATGGCTTTCTTGCATGTATATGTTTAGGACACTGTGTCCACATCTGTGTGACAGTCAAGTGTGAGATGACCCTTCGTGTACAGTAAAGACTCCCTGAGGTGGAGTGAGCAAGAGAAGCAAGAACATTGTGAGGATAGTTTCCATGGTTTCCACTATTTCTTTAAGAACAGAACATAAATGTATTTTCTTAGCTTGTTTGCCTGCTCTTGCTTTTATTTACTGTATATATTCCCTTTCTGGAGATGCTGGGAATTGAATCCAGCACCTTGCATATGCTAAGCAAGGACTATACTGCCCCTTAACCCTGACGTGCATTCATCTCCCAGGAGGTCAGCTAGGTGGCGTGGGGTGGGGGAAAGGAATGTTCAAGGATACCTGCTTTGCTATAACATATCCGTTTGCATATTGTTACTTTTGTACCATAGGCAGAGTCTGAGTGTTCGGGACTAGAGCAGGATGACGTCACCAACGGCAGCAGACCGCTACAGGTATACCATTAAACAGAACTGTGCATGGTGAATTTCCAGGTTGGTTTTACACTCGTGCTAGGTTGGCTGGCTCCTAGGCCTTTAGCTTCCTTCCTCGCCTCTTTAGTACTGTGTTTGCATTTTAATTTCCATCTCATTGAAATTTATCCTAGTGTAAGATAAAAGTGTAAAACCAACCTAATCTCCAAAGCACTTGACTTACTGTCTACTCTGCGATAACAATCTAATTATTACTATGTTACCAAAGGCTTTAATATATGAGAAGTCTGCCAGGCAGTGGTGGCTCACACCTTTAAACCCAGCACTCAAGAGGCAGAGGCAGGCGGATCTCTGTGAGTTCAAGGCCAACCTGGTCTACAGAGCAAGTTCCAGGACAGGCACCAAAGCTACAGAGAAACCTTGTCTTGAAAAACAAAACACACACACACAAAACTTCATCTTTTTGTTGTTGTTGTTGTTGTTTTGGTTTTTCAAGGCAGGGTTTCTTTGTGTTGCTTTGTTGCCTTTCCTGGAACTAGCTCTTGTAGACCAGGCTGGCCTCGAACTCACAAAGATCTGCCTGCCTCTGCCTCCTTAGTGCTGGGATTAAAGGAGTGCGCCACCACTGCCCAGCTAACTTCATTTTTCTTAATATTCCAGTTTCTCAGCAGGCATGATGGCCCAGGCATATAATCCCTGCTACTGAAGAGGAATATCACAACAAGTTTGTGGCCAGCCTAGGCTACAGAGCAAGTTAAAGGCCAGCCTGGGCAACTTAGTGAGAATGTTCCAAAAAAACAAAACACAATACAAAAAAAATTAAAAGCCATACATCGTGGTACAATGCCTTTAATCCTAACACTTGGGAGGCAGAAGCATGCAGCTTACAGAGTTTGGGGCCTTTGTGGTCTACATAGTGAGTTCCAGGCCATCCTGGGCTACACAGTGAGACCCTGTCTTATTCTGTTGTGGTAAAATACCTTGACAAACACAGCTTATGGGAGAGAGGATTTATTTTGGTTCACAGTTCTAGAGGAAACACAGTTCACTGTGGTAGGGAAGGCATGGGGCGTGGGGACGGCCTCACAGACTGCATTAGCAGTCTGGAAGCTGAAAGAGAATGGGAAATGTCCAGAAACCCTCAAGGCCCACCCTAGTGCCACACCACCTCCACCAAGGCTCCACTTCATAAAATCCCATGATCTTCCCAACAGTGCCACAACTGGGGACCATAGGAGTTCAAACACATTATTCCGTGGGAGGCATTTCATGTTCAAACCATAGCACTAGGCATACAAGGTTCATGCCTGTAATCCTAACTCAGGAGATTAAGGCAAGACCAGCTAGGCTGACCTATGCGGCTTTATGTCTGCTGTGATTACAACCTTGGCAGGAGACAAATATGCCATGCAGTCAGAGCTTGAGTGTGGAGGTTATTGAGAGAAGGATAAAAAGGAGGGGAGAGAAGGAAAGGGAGAAGGAAGGAGAAGGAGGAGGAGGTAAAGACCTGCTTGCCTCTTCAGAACAACATCCTAAAGAGAGCTGGAGTGGGCGGAGCAGAGACACAGCAGCCATAGAACCATTGGCTGGCTAGGGTATGCCTGGGTTCCTTCCTCTTGGTGACAGGGACAGCATAATGCCTGAATCCTAGCGATGTCATTCTGGGCTACAGAGTAAGACAATGTCTCGACAGGTCAAAGTGCTTGCCGGACCAGCTTGATTTGATCTTTAGAATCCACAGTAGAAAGAGAGAGCCAATTCCCAAATGTCCTCCTGCTTCCACACATGCACATGGCACTCATATGCACGCGCACACACACACATACACACACACACAATAACAAATGACACAGAATTTCAAAGGTCTTGTCTCAAAGAGGCTAGAGTGTAGCTCATCAATAGCAGGCTTCCCTGTGAGAAGTCCTGGGTTCTATTCCTAGAGTCCTAAATAAAATATGAGAATCCCTCCCCCCTTCTCTTTGTTGTTGTTCTTTGAGATAGCATCTCAGTGTAATCCAGGATGACCAGAAATTCCTATGTAGCCCAGGCTAGCTTCAAACTCAAGATCGCCCTGCCTCAGTATCCCAATTGCTGTTATTATAGGGCTGTTACCAGGTGTTTCCAGGTTTAAGAGTTGACAATAAGGACTTATGTAAGATGTGCAATGTGAATAAGATATTTTTATTCACATATTTTAGTTTTAATTATGGATATGTGTGTGTATTTCTCTGCAGGAGCCTGAAATAAACATCAGACACTTTGCAGCCGGCGCTCCATTAGGCAAGTTTGCCTCACCTGAGGTAGGTGCTGGGTCCTCTGGAAGGGCAGCTTCACAGTAGTTTAAAGCAGAGCAGTATAGTCAGGCATAGTGGTGCACGCCTTTAATCCCAGCATTCAGGAGGCAGAGACAGGCAGACCTCTGTGAGTTTGAGTCCAGCCTGCTCTGTGTAGCAAGTTCCAGGCTGGTCAGGGCTACAGGGTGAGAGCCTACCTCAAAGTAATAAACAAACAAATAAATAAATAAAACCAAACAGACAGAGCAGTAGAATAGGTCAGAATACACTTTGCGGGAATAGCAGTTCACATAAGCAAAGATGCTTAAGGGCCCAGATTATTATCCGGGGCATCCTTCTAGAGAAAAGGGGATTTGCTATTTCAGGTGGTTTAGGTGGTTCTCTAATCATTTTCCTACTGCACATACCCCTTCTGATTTTAATCATAAACCTAGCCGGCTGTGCACAGGCATAAGCTAGTAAATTGAGGGTTCTCCCTGCGAGTTCACTTTGAGGACACTATCAGCCTTACCACCCATGCAGCTAAAACCAGTTCAGGCAAGATTAACCTTTCTGGTCTCTTATCCAGATACATTAGGAATACTTTGAACAAAAGGTATCTAAATTTGATTGTTGTTAGTGAAGGAGAAACTTTCTGTTACCCAGAAAGGGGTGTGTATAGGCCAGTGCAGGTGGGGATGGAAAAGTTCTGAGGTGGCTGGGTGCCTTGTTCAGAAACGACTGCGTGTGTGTGTGTGTGTGTGTGTGTGTGTGTGTGTGTGTGTGTGCGCGCGCGCCCCCGCGGGCCTGTGTGCACACGTGTGTGTGTGTGCGCACGCGTGTGTGTGCGCGTGCGGGCCTGTGTGCACACGTATGTGTGTGTGCGCACGTGTGTGTGTGCGGGCCTGTGTGCACGTGTGTGTGTATGTGTGTGTGTGCGTGTGGGCCTGTGTGCACACGTGTGTGTATGTGTGTGTGTGCGTGCGGGCCTGTGTGCACACGTATGTGTGTGTGTGTGTGCGGGCCTGTGTGCACGTGTGTGTGTATGTGTGTGTGTGTGTGCGGGCCTGTGTGCACACGTGTGTGTGTATGTGTGTGTGTGTGCGCACGTGTGTGTGTGTGCGGGCCTGTGTGCACACACATGTCACATGCAGGTGACGGAATTCAACTTCCAAGAATATTATTACAAATAGAGTTGGGGATGTAGGATCCCAGACTACTAACTTACCCTGTCATTCCTTTCCTGGGGCCAGTACCCATGGCTCTGGTGTTCTTCAAATCTTACAAATGTTTTGCCTTTTACCCTTGGTCTTTGTGTATTAGCTTATTATAAAACTTTTAGCCAGAAGTGGTATGGTGGCTCACACCTGTAATCTCACCTCAGAAGGCTGAAGTAAGAGGATTGACAGGAGTTGACGGCCAACCTGGGTTGCGTCATAAGACCATGCCTCAAAAAAGTAAAAGTAACTAAATATTAAGGTTTTTTTCCCCCTTGGGCCCGGTAAGCCTCTCTACCGATGAAATAATCCAAATTGGACCAAATCAGACCGAATTAGGAGAAGCCCAGGTTTAATGAACGCCGAGCCCCCTCCCCCACCCCAGGAAAACACAGAAACGGAGAGGGGAATGGAAAACCAAAAGACCACTGACTCTCCCCGGGGAGGGGTCATCGTTTGGCGGGCTTTCTTGGAAGTGGGCTCTGGACTGTGGCCACTCCCACAGGAGGGGACTTTGACCCCCTGCCAAATATTTCAGACTCCTTGTATATATGGATGCCAGGGGCCTGTGGTGCCGCTTCCAACCAAACACCAGATACATTTAGGCCTTGGATATAGATGAGTGGTAGGACAGTTGATCAGAAATAAATAAACGGGAAACCAGATACGCATTATGATCTTTTTATAATGTTTATTTGTCTGTTTGTTTATTGCCATGCTGGGGGAGGTACAGTGGATTGGATGCATGGAGGTCTGAGGATACCTTGTGCTAACTGGTTCTCTCCTTCTATCATGGGTGTCTCTGAAATTGAGTTTAGGCTTAGCCACAGTGTCTCTGGCTGTCAAGCCATCTCTCCAGCCCACATATTGTTTTTTATTGATTTCTTTTTCTTATTCCTTTGGTGGTGTTTATGAATGAACTCAGATTCATTCATAAATCTAGGGAAATTCCCCACCACTGAGCATTATCCCCACTCCTCTTTCCATTTTGTTTTTGTTTAAAGTTTTGTTTGTTTGTTTGTTTTATTTGTTTTGTTTTTTGTTTTTCGAGACAGGGTTTCTCTGTAGCTTTGGAGCCTGTCGTGGAACTAGCTCTTGTAAACCAGGCTGGCCTCGAACTCACAGAGATCCGCCTGCCTCTGCCTCCCAAGTGCTGGGATTAAAGGCCTGCACCACCACTGCCCAGCCTATCCCCAGTCCTCTTGTATTTTTTTTATTTTTAATTTTTTTTTATTTTTTATTTATTTATTTATTTATTTATTTGAGACAGTGTTTCTCTGGGTAGTTCTGGCTGTCCTGGAACTTCATCTGTAGACCAGGCTGGCCTTGAGCTCAGAGATCCACCTGCCTCGGTCTCCCCAGTGCTGGGATAAGAGGTGTGAGCTACCGCTGTTGGATTAATTTTTTATTTTGAAATGGTGTCTCACTATTGCCCAGACTGGCCTTGAAATTCAAGATCTTCTTGCCTGGGCCTCTTGAATGCAAGATTAGAGGTGTGAGCCAATACACCACACCTGGCTAAAAGCCCTTCTCCCTGGACCTACTTACCTGTCAGAGTTGATTTTTGGGTTGAGGGATCCCTAACAACCCAGTCATTCAGCTACTTGGGAGAATGTTTGCTAATTTATTTTGTTCTGCTTTCTCTTCACACGCACAACTTTGTCACCTGGGCAGCCCTTCTCGATCTCCTCTGAAGGGAAGGAGAAACAGCCCCAGCTACATTGGACTAAAAAACAAAAAAAAAAGCTAAGGAGAAGTTTTCACGAAGTTTCTGAAGATTTTGAATGCGTGACCTCAGAGCCACAGTCTCGTGCAGCAGCAGAGTCTCTCAAGGTCCACTCACAATCGGAAGGTGTGGGCCGGCCATTGGGTGTGAATCATCTGGCGTCAAAGAAAAGAGAGGGGGGATTTAAAAGTATGTTGGCGACTAAAGCAACATGCGGGGCTGCTCCCATGGATTTGTCTGCTGCTGCAGATCTGTTTTCTTTCCTTTCTCCCTGCAGCTCCCAGTCCGCTTTGTTCTCTCCTCTCAGCGACATTCCCAGTGCTCTTCCTCCTGCTGCCCCTCTCCCTGGTGGCACCCACTTTCCTCTCTCTCCCTCTCTCCCTGGTGCCAGTCTTCGTCTCCCTCCCTCTCCCCCGGGTGCCCCCTGTCATCTTCCTTTCCCTCCCTCACCCCCTAGTGCCCCCTGTCTTCCTCCCGCTCCCCCTCCCTCCGGTGTTGCTAGTCTTCCTCCTCCTACCCCTCTCCTTGTTGGCAGCCATTTTCCTCCTCCTCACAGAAAATTCATCCCAGACAACTCACCTGTGTTTGGCCAAAGCCTTAAGCCTGTAGGAGGTACCAACATCTTCCATGATTCGGGGTCTCCTCCCGGGCATCTTTTCTCGGGCTTTGGCAGTGTTACTGCTTTCTCAGGTGGTTTCTCCAGTTCAAAGAAAGTTTCCCAAAGGCCCGACAAGGCACCTTATCTAAAGTCTAAGGCAATTCTTGGCCTTCCTCCTCTCTCCAGAGTTCTTAGCTCTGGGCATCCGCGGAGGCCTTCACAAAGTGCCTCCCTCCCTCGGGGACCTGATGACAGAATTGCAGATACCAAAATGGATTCAGGTGAATCGGCTTTCTCCTTTGAGTCTCTCTTAAATCGTTCTGCCAGCGCTGCGCCATCAGATGGCTTAGAAGGCCTGGGTTTTCAAGACATGGTTTTGCCTGCCTCATTCGAAGCAAAAATGGATGAAGCAATGGGATATGATGCATGCAAGATAGAGACTTATGCAACAAACGACGCTTGTGCAGAGGAAGATGAGGAATGTGTGACCGTTGGAAGCTTTTCTGCAACAAACGATGCTTGTGCAGAGGAAGATGAGGAATGGATGTTCTGCGAAAGCGCTTCCGCGGAAGAAGATGAGGGATGTGTGGTCTCTGAAAGCTTTTCTGCACCGTGGACTTCGCTCTTTGCCCTACAAACTGAGGTATTCGTCTTATCTCTTCAGTTAGCTTCACGGCTTACAACAGTGCATCTGAGAGCAGTTGCTCACAGAACAGCGTATTGCCAGTCCTTAGTGGTTCAGGGTGTGTGTCAGCATGGGAGAAAATGTCTCTCAGTGAGTAGTCAGCTGAGCTAAAACTCTGCGTGGTGGTGGATGCTGTTTGTCATTCATCGTTAGCGACTGTTAATATTTGTCAGTTGAAAATTAGCATCCTGGGGGCTGGAGAGATGGCTCAGTGATTAAGAGCACTGGCTGCTCTCCTAGAGGACCTGTGTTCAGTTCCCACCACCCACATGGCAGTTTACAACTGTCTGTAATTCCAGTTCCAGAGGGATCTGACACCTTCACACCAATGCACATAACATAAATTTAAATAAATAAATAAATAAATAAATAAATAAATAAAAGAAGAAAGAAAGAAAATTAGCATCCTTGAAGAGGTCATGGATTTACTCCCTAAGTTCTAGTGCCAGGAATTGAAGTTGACAGAAATTTCCTACTGCCTAGTAAACATAGGTGCAATGAGTATTCTGAATATTTTCCTCTATTAGTGTGTGAACTACTATTACTGTAGTAGCGTGGAGGGCCACAGCTCTCCATTCGTCAAGCCAGTCAATACCCTGTAACTCTAGCTTCAGCACTGGCTCTGAGATCCAGGCTCACATATGTAATTGTTTTGGTGGGAAAGCATTTAGTGAAGCAAAGAGGACTTCCTTCAGTGTCAGAGTAAATCCTGGCATTACCACGTTGTGTTTGTGGGCTCCAGTTGTTTCAACAGCATAGCAGGGATACTAGCAATATTTACCACACACAGTGGGGGCTTTTAAAAGGCACTTAAGCATATTTATAAAATTTTTTTTTTTTTTTGGTTTTTCGAGACAAAATTTCCCTGTGTAACAGCCTACCTGTCCTGGAACTAGCTTTTGTAGACCAGGATAGCCTCAAAATTCAGAGATCTGCCTGCCTCTGCCTCCCGAGTGCTGGGATTAAAGGTTTAATAAAAATTAAAAATAATGGAGACCAGCCTGGTCTACAGAGTGAGTTCCAGAACAGGCTCCAAAGCTAGACAGAGAAACCCTGTCTCGAAAAACAAACAAAAAGTAAAAACAGTGAAATGTGGTGGAGGGCTGGCAAGAAGGCTCATTAGGGAAAGTGCTCGCCACACAAACCTGATGGCCTGGGTTTGATCTCTGGAACCCACATAAAGGTAGTTTTATATGTATAGCATGTTTTGCCTGCATTAGTTTATGTATACCATGTACATGCAGATGTCTGTACAGGACAGAAGGCATTGGACCCTGGAACTGTATTTACAGGTGGCTGTGAACAGCGTGATGCAACTTCTGGGAACTGTACCTGGGTCCTCTGCAAGAACAGTAAATGCTCTTAACCACTGAGCCATCTCTCCAGCTCCAGTTTTAATGTTTTTGAAGCAGAGTCTTGCAATATAGCCCAGGCTGACTTGGAACGTTCTGTGTGGTCCAGTTAGACTAGAAGTTAAGACACACCTGCCTCTGCCTGCCAAGTACCTTATTATTGGCATGCAGCTTTATAATGGTAAAAATAAAACAATGCTGTTCCCCGAGGGGTGGCAGTGGGTCCCAGGCAGGGAGCTGCTCGGTGGGTCAGCCGGTCCCATGAGGAGCCTCAGTGGGTGAGAGACAGAGACAGACAGGCATGCTATGCAGAGTGAGGTTGGATATTTATTTAGTGGGTTATGGAAGGGAAGAGGAAAGGGGAGAGAGAGGGAGAAGGTGGGACAAAGAGAGAGTGGCAGAGAGAGAGAGACAGAGACAGAGAGAGAGAGACAGAGGGGGAGGAGAGGAGAAGAGAAGCTACCTCTTCGGGAGAGAGGCAGAAAAGAGAGAGCTCAGGCTGGAGGAGGTAGGATGTCCACTTCCCTCGGCAGAAGGGAGGGGTTGGGAGAGGGCAGGGCTTGTCTCTTAAAGGGACAGGACAGACCCTTATAATCTTCATTTTCATTTTTAAAATATGTATATATATATATATTTTTTTTTTTAATTAGGATCTTTTTTGTTTTTTTTTTTGTTTTGGTTTTTCAAGATGGGGTTTCTCTGTGTGACAACCCTAGCTATCCTGGAACTCAGTTTGTTTGAGGCTGGCCTCGAACTCACAGAGATCCACCTGCTTCTTCCTCCTGAGTGCAGGGATTAAAGGCGTGTGCCACCACTGCCCAGCTGGAAATAGGATCTTATCGTGTATCCAGGTTGGTCTAGAACCCCCTACGTAGCTCAGGCTGGGTTCAGACTTGCAGTTGTCCTCTTGCTTCAGTGTCCCAAGTGCTGGGTTACAAATCCAAGATGCCGTGCTTGATGTATTCTTGGTTTTTGTTTTCTGGCACTGATATTGAATATGGACATCACACATGTAGGCAAACATTCTGTCCCAGAGCTGTAACCGTAGTCCTTTTCATTTCCTTTTATTTTTGTTATTTGTGTGTGTGGTGTGTGTATGTACCCGAGTTTGTGTGTGCAAGTGTTCTTGCGGATGTGAATATAACTGTGTACACGTGCACATAGCGGCCAGAGGTCAATGGTGAATGTCTTCCTCAGTTGCTTTCCACTGTGGTACATGCCTTTAATCCCAGCACTCAGGAGGCAGAGACAGGCACATGATCTCTGTGAGTTTGAGGCCAGCCTGGTCTACAGAGAAAGTTCCAGGACTGGCTCCATAGCTACTGAGAACCCCTGTCTTGAAAAACCAAATAATAATAATAATAATAATAATAATAATAATAATAATAATAATAAATAATTACAACAACAGGGGCTGGAGAAATAGTTCAGAGGTTGAGAGTACAGGCTGCCTTTCCTGATGTCCTGAGTTCAATTCCTAGCAACCATATGGTGGCTCACAACCATCTCTAATGAGATTGGGCGCCCTCTTCTGGCCTGAAGGCATAATTGCAGGCAGAACACTGTATACATAATAAATCTTTTTTAAAAAAAGCGATAATAATAAGCCTTCACACCGTGCTTGGTTAAGAAAGTAGGTAGCTGGGCATGGTGGTGCACTTTTAACCCTGCACTAGGCAGGCAGAGGCAGGTGGAACTCTGTAAATTCAAGGCCAACCTAATCTATTGTAAGTTCTAAGACAGCCAGGGGTATATAGAGAAACCCTGTCTCAAAAAACAAACAAAAATACAAACAAAGTACTGGATGAAACAGAAGAAGGAAAATAGATTTTTTGGGATTTGGGGGACTTATTTTTATCTCTGTGTATGATGCTTATGGGGGCGGGGTGTGTCCTGGAGTACAGAAGAGTATGTTTGATCCCCTGGAGATAGGGCTACAGATACTGATGAGTAGCCCAACATGGATACTGGGAACTGAACTCAGGGCTTCTGGAAGAGCAGGAGTGCTCCCAACCAGAGAGCATCTCTCCACCGACTGGGATTTGTTGTTCTTGTTCTTTGTTTTGTTGAGATAGAGTCTCAGGCCTAAGAGCATCTTCAGTCGATCAGTTTTAGGAGCCAGTGAGCATGCTCTCCCACATATTCCCCTATACTGTATGCATGCCTGCATAGTCTCTCCCTCCCTCAAACACACACTAATTAATAACATTTTTAAATGATTTATGTGCATGCCTGATGCCTGAGGATGACAGAAGAGGACATTGGATCGCCTGGAACTGGAGTTGTAGATGGTTGTGAGCTGCCATGTGGATGCTGGGAATTGAACCCAGGTCCTCTGGGAAAACAGCCAGTGCTCCTGACTGCTGAGCCATCTCTCCAGCCCCATTTGTGTTGTTTTTGAGACAAGGTCTCATATTGTATCTCTGTCTGGTTTAGAACATTAGAACACACTATGTAGACAAGGATGGCCTTGAACTCACAGGTATCCACCTGCCTCTGCACCACCACACCTGGCTATAATAAGTAAAACTAAGAATATTTAAAAGGCCAGAGAGAGATCCTCACAGGTAAAGGCTACAAGGCTGACAGCCTGAGTTTGAGCAGTGAACAGATATTTAAGGAGGAAAGAGAGAACTGAGTCCCCAGCAGTTGTCCTCTGGCCTCCACAGGCATGCTCTGTGTCCTGCTGATGGTCACTATCACTGTGATGAAACACCATGACCAAAAGCAAGCTGGGGAGGAAAGGGTTATTTTGCTTACACCTTCAGAGCACTGCTCATCACTGAAGGAATTAGGACAGGAACTCAAACAGGGTAGGAACCTGGAGAAGGGAGCTGATGCAAAGGCCGTGGAAGGGTGCTGTTTTTTTCTTTGTTTGGTTTTTTGTTTTGTTTTGTTTTTGGTTTTTTGTTTTGTTTTGTTTTTGGGTTTTTTTTTTTTTTTTTTTTTTGAGACTGGGTTTCTCTGTAGCTTTGGAGCCTGTCCTGAAACTAGCTCTTGTAGACCAGGTTGGTCTCGAACTCACAGAGATTTGCCTGTCTCTGCCTCCTGAGTGCTGGGATTAAAGGCATGCACCACTGCCGCCCGGCTCAGATACAGGTTTAAGCCAACTGAAAGTCTTTATTAGCTTGTTGGTAGCTATACTGAGGGTTCAAGCTCAGTTTAACATCACTCCTTTCTCAGAGTGAGCTTTTAGGCAAAAAAAAAAAAAAAAATGTCTGGTTGAAACATTTCAGTTAACAAGGACAGTTAGCCAGAAGCAGAACTACAGAAGCCAAAAAAACAAGGTTGGTGCATTAGAGACTTTCCCAGAACTATGCACTTTGATGGATTTGGCCTTTGTTTTGGTTTTGGAAGGTGATGCTGTCTACATGCTAAGTTTTACAGCCTGATGGTAATTCCATCATGGAGTCAGTTGTGCTAAGGCCTGGGCCCTGGTACACTTGGTCTGATGGTATATATTTAATACTGAAAAGGGAATTATGCTAGAAAAATACTATATGACATAGAATCTACGATTATCAATATAATTTTTTTCTTAATTTTACAGGATGGTTTCTGGAAACTGACACCATCACTAGGATTTATACTAAAACTTAATGTAAATATTCTACACAATTTTCTTGAAGAAAAAGGCATTCGATCTCTAGGTAAGCCACTGTTTTTCAATTAAGTAAGTCACTGTGTTCCTTCACTTTTCCACTTGCTTACAGGCAAACCCCTAATTGTAATAAATTATTTTGTAAACTAGTGCATTCATTTAATAGTTTTGGAAGTTCCATATGAATAGAATTAATTGTCTTTTTTGACACAGGGTCTCACTATGTAGCCCTGACTAGCCTGGAACTCTCTGTGTAGACCAGGCTGGCTTTGAACTCTCGGAGATCTGCATGTCTCTGCTTCCCAAGTGCTGGAATCAAAGGTGTGTGCCACCATGCTCAGTTACTAGAATCAGATTTATTAACAGTCATGACTTTACCAATGATGGGAGTATTTTATTAGCAATTTGATTAGAGTGTGTGGCACCAACTACTGCAGAAGAACAACCCCGAATCTGGGAATAGTGACACACACCTGTAATCCTGCCGTTTGGTAGCCTAACCAGGTGGAGCGTGAGTTTGAGAATAGTTGGGCTACATAATGAGACCATGCCAATGATAACACTATTCAGTGCTCAATAGTACCACAAGGACATATGCTCAACTATGTTCATAGCAGCATCCTTTGTCATAGCCAGAACCTGGAAACAACCTAGATGCCCCTCGACCAAAGAATGGATAAAGAAAATGTGGTACATTTACACAATGGAGTACTACACAGTAGAAAAAAAACGACAGCTTGAATTTTGCAGGCAAATGGATGGAGCTAGAAAACATCATATTGAGTGAGATAACCCAGACCCAGAAAGACAATTATCACATGTACTCACTCAAAAGTGGCTTTTAGAATAAAGCAAAGAAAAACCAGCCCACAGTTCACAGTCCCAGAGAACCTAGACAACAAAGAGAACCATAAGACATACGTGGATCCAATCTACATGGGAAGTAGAAAAAGACAAGATCTCCTGAGTAAATTGGAACTGTGGGGATCATGGAAGAGGGTAGGAAGGGAGGGGAGCAGAGAAAAATACATAGTTCAATAAAAACAATTAAAAAAACACTATCCAAAAGCTCAGTTTAACACACTCAATAATTACATTCTTGGCCACAACATATGTACCTATTGGCCAACAGGGACATTCTCTTCCACTTAGCGATTTACTTTGAGACCTTGGCACTTTCCAGATTGTGGCTCTTCCATCACATGGAAAGATAAATCAGACTACATTTTTTTACCTCACTCCATCAGAAACAATGGCTGTAGAGATGGTTCAAGAGTTAAAAGGACAAACCGCTCTTGCAGCACCCTTGTCAACTGGCTGGCGACTACCTTTACCTTCAGTTCTTTATTTCATTGTTTCGGGTTTTGAGACAAGCTCTCCATTGTAATCCTGGCTACCCTGGAACTCACTGTATAAACAAGGTTGGCCTCAAACTCACAGAGATCCACCCGAGTGCTGGGTTAAAGGTGTGTGCCACCACTTCTGACTCTAACTCTAGTTCTAAGGGATCCAGCATCCTCTTCTGGCCTCTGAGGGCACCAGCGTTCATATGCATAAACCCACACACATATATACACATGATTTAAATAAATATTTTTTAAAGGAAATAAGAAAACAACAAATACTGAGGATGGAAGCAGGCCAAACCTTCATATTCTGTTGGTGAATCACTGTCAAAATCAATATGATGGTTCCTCAAAAACCTTAAAGTGCAATTACTATATAATCCAGTTATACCACTCCTGGACATACGTCTGAAGGAAGCTAAGTCAGCATATCACAGAGACACTTTCCTGTCCTTGTTTATTGTGACACAGTTCATAATATCTGAGATATGAAATTAATCTAGATGCCCATCAACATAGGAGGAAGGAATTCAGTCAGGCAGTGTTGTCACACACCTTTAGTCCCAGCACTTGGGAGGCAGAGGCAGGAGGATCTGAATTTGAACCCAGACTAGTCTACAGAGTGAGTTCTAGGATAGCCAAGACTACACAGAGAAACCCTGTCATAAAAAAATCAAAAAAAGGAAAAAGAAAATTTGAAACTATCCACAGTGAAATTTTATTCAGAGATAAAAAAGAGTGAACTAGGCATGGTGGCTCATGCCTGTATCCCAGCACTTGGGGAGGTTGAGGCAGGAGGATTGCCATGAGTTAGAGACAGCCTGAGCTGCAGAATAAGACCCTATTAAAGCAAGGGAGAGGGGGCCCAGCAGTTAGAAGCACTAGTAGCTGCTGTTGCCAAGGACCTGGGTTTTTTCCCAGCAGCCAAACAGCATCTCACACCTGTCTGTAACTCTAGCTCCAGGGGAATAACCTCTTCTGGCCTCCAAAAACATTTCACACATGTAACACACATATATACATGCAGGCAAAATATTCATACACATAAAATAGAAATAAGTAAATCTTTAAAAGGCAACACTAGTATATAGATTGTGACATACCTCCCACTGTCCCCTGATAAAGCCCTAAAGACCACACAGGAGTAGCCCTTATCAGCTTTCCTTCTTTGTTGTTTCTGTTTTGATTTTCTCATTGTTTTTTCTTGCGTCGTTTCCCAGGATACTAAAAATATGCTTTACCCATCACTGTGGTTTGTTGAGTCTAACAGCCAAACCAGACTCCAAGAATGAGTCTGCCTCTGTGGTGTAGCTTAAGATAATCAAATGGATTCTATGAAGGTAAAGTCACACTTGCTCGGTGCTGTAACGACACTTCTCCTTCTGACCCAAGCTGGGAAATCCAGCAATGAATTACAGTCTCTGCAGCTTGGACCTGTCTGCCTTTCTTTGGTTTCATGTACCTTGAGGCCAGTCCTCATACACTGGTCTGAGAAGGTCCGGATCAACCGAGTTACATGTGTACACACACTTGTGTGTGTTTATGTATGTATATAGTGTATATTAAAGCAGATGGGGGTTTATTAAACATTCTTTTTTTTTGAGCTAGAGTCTTATTATATTCCCAGGCTGGCTACTTAGAATCTACAACTGAAGCCTCCTACATGTAGGGATTATAGGTGTACACCACCACAATTGACTAAATCTAATTTTGTTTTAGTTTGTTTCCTTTAAAGTACTGGAGATTGAATCTAGGGTCTCATGTAGGGCAGCCAAGCTCTACCACCTAAGTTGTAAATGAGCCCTAAAATGAGATGAGCTTGCATTTTCATTTTGTTTTGATTTTGTTTTTCCGAGACAGGGTTTCTCTGCAGCTTTGGAGCCTGTTCTGGAACTAGCTCTTGTGGACCAGGATGATCTCGAACTCACAGAGATCCGCCTGCCTCTGCCTCCCTAGTGCTGGGATTAAACATGTGCACCACCACTACCGCTCTGGCAAAATGAGTATTCTTTTTTTTTAATATTTATTTAACTTTATTTGATATGAATGTGTTAGATTCCTTGGAACTGGAGTTACAGACAGTTGTGAGCTGCCATATGGGTACTAGGAATTGAACCTGGGTCCTCTGAGAGAGCAGCCAGTGCTCTTAACCCCTGAGCCATCTCTCCAGCCCCAAAATGAGTATTCTTTAATGAGTGTTCTGAAAATGATTCTCAAAATGTAACACATGGGCTGGCAAGATGGCTCAGTAGCTAACGGGGTTTCATGCTCAAGCGTGGCATGCTTCCTGGAGCCTGTGTGATACAGGTGGAAGGAAATGACTCCATAAAAGTTGACCTCTGACCTCCAAATGCACATAGTGGCATACATGTGACCCTCCCCACACACTGCATATACACAATTAAAAAATAAGTGAATGGACAGGGGGTGGAGAACTGCAAATGGAATGTAAAATAAAGTTAAAATTAAAATAAAAACACGTGAACAGAGCTGAAGAGATGGGTCTCCAGCTAGGCGTATTAAGAGTGTTTACTACTCTTACAGTAAGTTCAGGTCCGTGAATTCAGTTCCCAGCATCCACATGGTAGCCCACAACTGCTTGTATCCCCTGCTCAGGGACCAGTAGCACCTACGCCTAACTTTTTTTTTTTTTTTTTTTTTTTGCCAGGCGGCCCTGTTGGAAAGGTGCTGTATAGTGGGAACAGTCTAAGTGTCTGTTCCAGCTAATTGGCATAATGATCATTTATAGTTGGAACAATCTTTTTTCTCTTTCTCAAATCTTTTTTTTAATTGATATTTATTGAGCACTACATTTTTCTCTGCTCCCCTCCCTGCCTCTCCCCTCCCTCCTTCAATCCTCCCCCAAGGTCCCCATGCTCCCAATTTACTCAGGAGATCTTGTCTTTTTATACTTTCTACTTCTCATGTAGATTAGATCTATGTAAGTCTCTCTTAGTGTCCTCATTGTTGTCTAACTTCTCTGGGATTGTGGTTTTATAGGTGGTTAAAAACCACCTCTGAGTGAGTACATGTGATAATTGTCTTTCTGTGTCTGGGTTACCTCACTCAAAATAATGTTTTCTAGCTCCATCCATTTTCCTGCAAAATTCAAGCTGTCATTATTTTTTTCTGCTGTGTAGTACTCCATTGTGTAAATGTACCACATTTTTCATATCCATTCTTCGATTGAGGGGCATTTAGGTTGTTTCCAGGTTCTGGCTATGACAAAGGATGCTGCTATGAACATAGTTGAGCACATGTCCTTGTGGCACAATTGAGCATCTTTTGGATATATACCCAAAAGTGGTATTACTGGGTCTTGAGGAAGGTTGTTTCCTAATTTTCTGAGAAATTGCCACACTGACATCCAAAGGGGTTGTACCAGCTTGCACGCCCACCAGCAACGTTCCCTTTTCCCCACATCCTCTCCAGCATAAGTTGTCATTGGTGTTTTTGATTTTGGCCATTCTTACAGGTGTAAGATAGAATCTCAGAGTTGTTTTGTTTTGCATTTCTCTGATGACTAAGGATGTTGAACATTTTCTTAAGTGTCTTTCAGCCATTTTAGATTCCTCTGTTGAGAGTTCTCTGTTTCGGTCTATACTCCCTTTTTGTTTTATTGGATTATGTGATCTTTTGGTGTCCAATTTCTTGAGTTCTTTGTATATTCTGGAGATCAGACCTCTGTCTGATGTGGGGTTAGTGAAGATCTTTTCCCATTCTGTAGGCTGTCGTTTTGTCTTGTTGACAGTGTCCTTTGCTTTACAGAAGCTTTTCAGTTTCAGGAGATCCCATTTATTAATTGTTTCTCTCAGTGTCTGTGTTGTTGGGGTTCTATTTAGGAAGTGGTTCCCTGTGCCAATGCGTTCAAGTGTACTTCCCACTTTCTTTTCTATAAGGTTCAGTGTGGCTGGCTTTATGTTGAGGTCTTTGATCCATTTGGACTTGAGTTTGTACATAGTAATAGATATGGGTCTATTTTTATTCTTCTACATGTTGTATCCAGTTATGCCAGCACTACTTGTTAAATATGCTTTCTTTTTTCCATTTGATATTTTTTGCTTCTTTATCAAAGATCAGGTGTTCAAAGATGTGTGGATTGATATCCGGGTCTTCTATTCGGTTCCATTGGTCCTCCTGTCTGTTCTTATGCCATACATCTAACTTATAATATGGTTTAGGTTTGTCTTATACTGATAGCCACAATGAGTTGGCTGACATGGGTATAGTCAGAAATTTCTGCTGTTTATCTGCTGTGTGTTTAGGTTTCCTTCAAGATATTTATAGCAAGAACCTAAAGTTCTTCATAATACTCCATGTCTCTCTACTTATTGAAGGCAGCAAGTGGTGGAGTTGGAGACTCTGGGGACAGCTCAGTGTCCAAGAACCATCAGGATAACGTGATAGACATATGTGTTCTGATTGGTCACAAGGACCTTTAGAACATATGGAGTTGGTTTTATTGGCTTGCACAACCTAAATGTATTGTCTCATAATTCTGGAATATCAAATTTGATAATTTGTTAATGTAGTATGATTCAACTGTAGTATAAGTCTGTTGTTCTAGAAAGTACAATTTATTCAGGCTGGCCTTGAACTCATGGTAATCCTCCTGCCTTAGCATCCCGGGTGTTGGAATTATAGGCATGAGCAAGCACATCCAGTTTAATAGACATGTAATTTTTATTTATTTATTTATTTATTTTTTTTGGACATGTAATTTTTAGCCAGGCGTTGGTTGTGCATGCCTTTAATCCTAGCATTCAGGAAGCAGAGGCAGAGAGATCTTTGTGAGTTCAAGGCCAGCCTGGTCTACAGAGTAAGTGCCAGGACAACCAGGGCTACACAGAGAAACCCTGTCTCAAGAAAAAAAAAAGTAAAAGCAAACAAAAATAGTGAATGAATGAGGACAACACAAACTTTGTGGGTTTATCTTGGCTCATGGTCTAGAGTGTTAGACCCTCCAGGAAGACCCCTTGTCCTAAACCATCCCAAACCTCCCAAACAGCAGCGCCACCTGAGGGTCAAGTGCTCAAACACATGAGTGAGCCTGGGGGGACATTTCTCATTCAGAACACCACATGAAGTAAAGGAGATCTTTGCTTTTTTAGGTACAAAAGGAAGAGACTGTCTCCTGGACCTAATTGCCACCTTGCTGGTACTACAGTTTCTTCGTACCAGGTTGGAACAAGAAGGGATGGTTGCCAAATCACTGATGAAGATGGATGACACCTTCATCTCCAGGTGCTTTAATGTCCTAATAAGAAACTTTTCAAAGAGCCAAAGTATCGTTATTGGCCTGTTCCAAACAACTGTGTGGGCTGGCACACGAATCCAGATGGGAGCCACGTGTCCTAGGTCTAAGTATTTAGAAGTCATGAAGCCAATCTGGGAATGTATCTCAGTAGTAGAGCTCTTGCCTTGTGCACAGGGACCTGGGCTCAGTTCTGCTGTCCTGAGCAACTCAATACACACTGTTGTCAAAGTACCAACCAGGTCATGGTGGCACATTCCTGTAATCTTACCACTGAAGAGGTTACAGATGGAAATCCTGACTTACAGCCTAGCCTAGGCTACACAGTAGGGCCCTGTCCCAAAACAGAAAAACAGAAGGAAAAAAAAAAACCTTATCAAACTATTAAATAAAATACATTAGCTTGGGAGGCAGAGGCAGGCGGATCTCTGTGAGTTTGAATCCAGCCTGGCCTACAACAGCTAGTTCCAGGAGAGGCTCCAAAGCTACAGAGAAACCCTGTCTCAAAAAACCAAAAAAAAAAAAAAAAAAAAAAGAAAGAAAGAAAGAAAGAAAAAAAAGAAAAGAAAAAGATAAAATACATTAGAGTATTCTGCCCGGCATAATGGCGCACTCCTTTAATTTCAGCACTGAGGAGGCAGAGACAGATGAGTTTCTGTGAGGTCGAGGCCAGCCTGGTCTACATGGCAAGTTCCTGTCAGCCAGAACTACATAACAAAGAGACTCTGTCTCAACAAAACAAAACAAGAATATTTTATCTTTAATAGGCTTTCTGACCCTATGATATTTAGTTTCTCCACTGACACAGTAAACCAGGTTAAGCAGAATTGAAAAAGTGTAACAGCAGGTTTATTGAGAGCAACTCTTGGGAGGGTTCACTGGTCCAAGAGGTTGAAGCCAGAGAAGTCGTGCACCTGGACTACAGGGAGATTGTATAGATGGTAGGTGAGAGGTGAATCTAAGTCTGTGCCCAAGTGTGGTCAAAAGCTGAGCACTTTGGTGGCCACTTGGGCGGCTGGTGGCGTAGAAGGCAGGGAGCTGCGGTAGTTGTCAAGAACTGGACTTTTGTCCCCTTTCCTTTGTTAGACTCTCAAGTGGGTGGGGTTTGGAGAGACAGACTGGAATGGGGTGAGCCGGGCTTTCTGGACCCTTCAGGGGTGAGCCAGAAGCTTGAGCTGAACAATCATGACAAATGCAATCCCATCACCACCTGGATAAGCAGGTTCAAATTAGCTTTGGTTGACTCCTGAGTAAAAGCTGTACAACATCTCACAGCCATGAGACACAAACCCAGCTCCACACTACATCCCACAGCCAAGTGAGACACAAACCCAGCTCCATGCAGTACAACATCCCACAGCCACATGAGACACAAACCCAGCTCCACCCTATACATCCCACAGCCACATGAGACATGAACCCAGCTCCACACTATACATCCCACAGCCACGTGAGACACGAACCCAGCTCCACCCTATACATCCCACAGCCACATGAGACATGAACCCAGCTCCACACTATACATCCCACAGCCACGTGAGACACGAACCCAGCTCCACCCTATACATCCCACAGCCACGTGAGACATGAACCCAGCTCCACCCTATACATCCCACAGCCACATGAGATATGAACCCAGCTCCACCCTATACATCCCACAGCCACGTGAGACATGAACCCAGCTCCACGCTATACACCCCACAGCCACGTGAGACACAAATCCAGCTCCACACTATACACCCCACAGCCACGTGAGACACAAACCCAGCTCCACACTATACACCCCACAGCCACGTGAGACACAAACCCAGCTCCACACTATACACCCCACAGCCACGTGAGACACAAACCCAGCTCCACACTATACACCCCACAGCCACGTGAGACACAAACCCAGCTCCACACTATACATCCCACAGCCACGTGAGACCAGACCCAGCTCCACACTATACACCCCACAGCCACGTGAGACCAGACCCAGCTCCACACTATACACCCCACAGCCACGTGAGACACAAATCCAGCTCCACACTACACAACACCTCACAGCCACATGAGACACAAATCCAGCTCCACACTATACATCCCACAGCCACGTGAGACCAGACCCAGCTCCATGTTGTACATCTCACAGCTATGTGGGACACGAACCCAGCTCCACACCTCACAACATCTCACAGCCACGTGAAACAAGAACCCAGCTCCTCACCCCACATCGCATATCATAATGGCCCTTTCCCCAAAGAAATAATCAGGAAGATGATAAAAATAAATCTGTTAGTTCCCCAGAGAACTAACAGATTTATTTTTAGGTGCATGTGTGTAGGAGTGTGCAACATATCATACATGTAGAAATCTGAGGATAGCTTTTGGGATTGAATTCAGGCCATTAGACTTGTCAATAAGTATCTTTACCTGATGAACTAGCTCACTAGCTCCAATAAATTTGTTTCTTCAAGACAGGGTCTCACTCTGTAGACCAAGCAGACCCTGATTTTACAGAGATCCGCCTACCTCTGCCTCCCAAGTGCTGGGATTAAAGGCATGCACCACTATACCAACTATGTGGGGCGGCGGCGGGGGGGGGGGGTGTTTTGTTTTTGTTTTTTCAAGACAGGGTTTCTCTGTAGCTTTGGTGCCTGTCCTGAAACTAGCTCTATAGACCAGGCTGGCCTCGAACTCACAGAGACTCACTTGCCTCTGCCTCCTGAGTGCTGGGATTAAAGGTGTGCACCACTATACCAACTATGATTTTTTTTTTAAGAAGGAAGTCTCATGTATCTCAAATTGGTCTTGAGCTCACTATGTAGCTGAGGATGACCTTACACTTCTAACCTTCCTGTCTCTATAAACCGAGCCACACCCAAATAGAATCTTTCTTATTTTTGTTGTAAGGTAGATTCGATGGCCCAGTGAGTAAAAGTGCTTGCTGTGTCAGCCTGAGGACCTGAGTTCAATCCCCAGTATCCACATGGTGGAAGGAGAGAACTGTCTGTCCATACTCAAGCGTGGCCATGTGTGCACTTGCATCTTATTGCATTTCTAACACACACACACACACACGCGCGCACACACACGCGCACACATGCGCACACACACACGTGCACACACGTGCCCACGCACATACACACACACACTTGCACACACGTGCCCGCGCACGCACACACAAACACACACCCCGACCTGCCCAGTGGCCAGCAAGGCCAAATCTCTGAGGATTGAAGGATATTCCAAGACCTGTGTAGGGTACCAGGCATTTGGATTCAAAGGTAATGTAATAAACAAGTTGGACGATGGTGGCACACACCTTCAATCCCAGCACTCAGGAGGCCAAGGCAGGTAGCTCTCTGTGAGTTCGAGGCCAGCCTGATCTTCACAGTGAGTTCCAGGACTGCCAGGGCTACACAAAGAACCCCTGAAAAAAAAAATCCAAAACCAAAAACGAAGAAGAAGGAGAAGAAGAAGAAAGAGTAATCCAGTAATCCAAACAATACACTTCTCATTTTTATCTCATTTTTATTATTAAAGTTAACAAAACATGGTAATGTTTGCAGTTAGTTTGAGCAAATACATCAGTGAATGTTTCTGGTGTGCTATCTCATCACCTTTGGTCAAGTGTAAAGAGCCAAGACTATTCCTCCCAGGCCTTTGCCTTTCTCAGAGAGATCATGTGGACACGTAGGACATTCTTTTCACGTCCTTGCTTTTTTTTTTTTTTTTTTTTTTTTGGTTTTTTGAAACAGGGCTTCTTTCCTGGAACTAGCTCTTGTAGACCAGGCTGGCCTCGAACACACTTTCAAGAAGGCTCCTGTCTTAGCTAGGTTCACTGTTGCTGTGATGAAACACCATGAGCGAAGCCATTTGGGTAGGAAAGATTTATTTGGCTTACATTTCCACATCACAGTTCATCAGAGGAGGAGGTGGGGCAGGAACTCAAGCAGGGCAGGAATCTGGAGGCAGAAGCTGATTACAGAGGCCATAGAGGATGCTACTTACTGGCTTGCTCTTCATGGCTCGCTCCCTGTGCTCTTATGGGCCACCAGCCCAGGGATGGCCACGCCCACAATGGGCTGGGCCCTCCAATCACTCATTTTAAAAATACCCTACATGCTTGCCTACACCTTGATCTTAAGGGGGCATTTTTAAAATTACCGTCCCCTCCTCTCAGAGATGACTTTAGCTTATGTCAAGTTGAAGTAAAACTATTCAGCCCAGCCGCTTTGTGGGAAGAGCTTTCTACGTGCTGCCCAATTCATTCACAGCTTTCTTACACAGGCTTTCCCACACATCCACACCATACACAATATTAACACTGTAAAAATTTGGTGTAAGGGCTGGGGACGTAGCTCTGTACAGATGACTCTCAGGTGTTCTTCAAGTATCTGGAACAAGTTGAAAATTCCCAGACAGTGAATGAACATTGAAACAGGGGCCTCGGGGACACTGAAAAGGAACAACAGGAAACAAAAAGGCAAGAAAAAGCTGCAGCTGTGCGCACAGTGAGAGCTGGAAAGAGAGGCAGGCAAGTCATGTAGAAATGAGAACTTGGTGCAGATTTCAAGAATTGCCTTTATTAAATATCTTCATTTTTGACCATCATTTCATCCAATACAGTGTTATAGATTTGGAACCACATTGCCTTTCACATATTCTGAACCAATAGAAACTTTTTTTTCTTTTTTTTTTACTCTAGGAATATTCCATGGGCTCTTGAGAACATAAAGAAAGCAAGTGAATGGGCCAGAAAAACAGAAGGCCAGTATCCATCCATCTGCCAACGGCTTGAGCTGGGTAAAGACTGGGAGTCCGCCACAAAGCAACTGCTGGGGATGCAGCCCCATGCCAACAGCTCTCTCTACCGACTTCTACATTGCAATCAAGGCTGAATTCAATGAAATTTCATTTTAAGCATTTCTCATATATCTTTTTGTTGTTATTTTGTTTTTGTTTTTGTTTTTTGTTTGTTTTTTGGTATTTTGAGATAGGGTTTCTCTGTGTGGCCCTTGCTGTCCTAGAACTCACCCAGGCTGGCCTCGAACTCACAGAATTCTGATTTCCTTTGTCTTCCAAGTGCTGGGATTAAAGGCGTGGTGCACCACCACCTGACTGCCTGTTCATATTTCTATGTAGAAAATAATCAAATAGTAAAAGGTACTGATAATGACATGTATTAGTAGTTTGGGGTTTTTTGTTTGTTTGTTTGTTTTGCTTTGTTTTTCAATGTAGCTATCAACCACTTTAAAATAAAATAAATGGAAACAGGATTGATGAATCATTTAACAACAATAAAAAACTGTAACATTAGAGACTGTCTCAATGTCCTGGGGGGGTGGGCGCTCATTGCATCTTCCCTCCAGGAGTCCAGCGGAAGGCTGACTTATCAAGCAGTAGGGAAGGAGTTGGCCTTTGGTTTAGTCTTGCATTCTAGGCCAGTGCATGTTTCTGGGGCCCTCCACCAGACAGCACAGCACAATGGTGCACTTGTTTCCTCTGTGGCTGTCCTGTCTGCAGATGTCATGCTCCTTCTTCCATGGGTCATGTTTTATTGCCACATCCTAGAAACCCAAAGGTCATCTTAAAATCTCTGCTATTTCACCTTCTAGATTTTTTTTTTAGGTCTTGAATTTTACTTTAGGATTATGGTCTACATTAAGTTACTTTTTTATTGTTACATTTGGTTTGACTATGAAATGTCCTCATAGGCTTGTTAATCCCACTGGCCAAGAATAAGGTCACTGCTGTTGTGCCCAGAGCACGCCCCCCACCCCCAGAGGGAGACCACCAGAAAGCAGAGTGGACCGGACTGCAAAATGCAAGGTTAACTCTCTTTCACTGCAAGTACAAGCAAGTACAGGCAATTTCTGGCTGGCCAGGAACTTCCTCTTCACTACCCCGAAACGACAAGCTAGAGAGAGAAGTTAAAAATTTCTTTGCAGGGTTAGTTTTTAAAGGGTGGAATGTACAAAGAGGCTTTTTTGAAGTGGCTTTTGGCATGGTGCAAGGCCTTCTGCCCCCTCCTATCCTGGTAAGTCAGCTTTCTCCTTTTTCTTCTTGTTTTACTTGTTATCACCAGGTGGCTGGCTGGCTAAGTGACCTTGTGCTTGGAATCTCCCTGGTGGGAGGGGGAAAGGAAAGCGCTGCTAATCTGTGTTTCTAATTTTAAAACATTTTGCTAGGAAATTCTTGTCCCTTTGAAAATAAGGGGTGAGGGTCTCCCAACTACCACATACACAATACTGGCCAGGTGGATGGGCTCTGGCCAGGTCCACATCCAGGTTCCCTGGAAACATCCCATAAACAAGTATGGCAAGGAATTAAAAAGGAAGACCCATTAATTCGTTGCATTTTCCATCAGGTCCAATGGGGGCAAGCATACATCCTGACATATTTCCTGCCTATGTGATCAAGCACTTCCAGTTTAGTTGGGTCAAACAAACTTATTTAGGGGAATGAAAACATGTTCTGTTTTTTCCCATAAGCAACAGCCTCCAGCATGTCAGGAACTATCTGTTGTAACATGCGGGGGGGGGGGGGGGGGGGGGGGGGGGGGGGGGGCTTGTTGGGGTTTCTGTCCCACCTGATACCCCACAGCCGGCAAGCCCTAAAGAAAATCACACAGAGATCTCCATAAGTTATAAAACTGATTGGTCCATTAATTCAGGCTTCTTGTTAACTCTTGTAGCTTATATTAACCCATTGTTCTTATCTATGCTAGCCACCTGGTTCGGTAACTTTCATAGCGGGGCAGGTCACATGCTGCCTCTTTGGTGGTCTGGACTGGACTGGGAGGATTGGGCTTCCTCTTTGCTAGCATTCTCCTGTTCTCATTGCCCCGCCTCTACTTCCTGTCTGGTTGACCCACCTATACTTCCTGCCTGGCCAATCAGCGTTTATTTGAAACATGATTGACAGAATACAGACAATTCTCCCTCACCAATTTGTCCTTAGGAAAGGGGCTGGCAGATCAGAGGCATTTTTGTTTCATGGATCTTTAGGCATAGTAATTAGAACTTAAATTGTAACTTTGGCTCTCACTGGCTCACATATTGGGAGCTTGGTTGTCAACAGGTGAGCCTTTGGGAAGTGATAGCATTATGGAGCAATCCCCCTATGATGCTCTTGTTGGAAAATGCTGGGAAGCAAGAGGTAAGAGGTAGGGCCTGGTTGACAGAAAACTGATGGAGGTGTACCTTGGAAGGATGTTTCATCTCTCATTCTTGCTTTCACTCCGCGCTTCCTGTCTGTCAGGAGGTAAAGCCGCTTTCCTCGGCCATAATGTTCAGCCTTACCATGGACCTAGAATCAGAGGAGCCAACTGACCACAGACTGAAACATATTTGGCCTCCCTGCCTCACACAGGGTGACAAGGAGAGAAGTTACCAAGGCATAGCGTTTCTCAGCTTTGTCTCTGAAGTATGGTAATATTTTACATCATAAAGAACAAAATTTTAAATTAAATGCAAAGTAAACCATCACTTAAAATAGAAAGCAAGCAGGGACAAATATGAGCATTAAAGTCAGGCAATGGTGGTGCACCATTTATTCCCAAAGGCAGGCAGATCTCTGTGAGTTCGAGGCTAGTGTCAAGGCGATGGCTGAACCACCTGTAAGAATCATTTAAGTGCTTGAAACACAGAAGTTTGGCTCTCTCTTTCTAGATGGAAAAGGCTTAAAAGGTGTAAGAATTACAAAAGAGAAATTACTATAAATAATTGGAAACATCTTAAACAATGGGCCAAAAATAAAATAAAACCTTTTTGTTTTCAATAGTTTCTCTAAGGTATTGTCGTAGCCAGGGAAAGTTAACACTTCCACTCCCGGCATTCCTCGGGTAGCCCTTTGTGTAAAGCCCCTGTATAAACACTTTAAAAAAAAAATTCCAGTCCTGTGGTCTTCAGACTTCTTGTTCTCTTCATCAGTATTTACCTAAAGTCCAGACTGCCTCCCATTCATGCAGTTCAGGATATCCTTTCCCACAGCATCCCTTGCCTCCTTTTCCAGTGATTTCTACTGGACTAGCCAGAAGGGGACTCCCTTTTGGTGAGAATCTAAGAACAAAACAGCAAGAACAATTATGCAAATGAGGAAGTGGGAAGTCCTCCAAGCTAGGCAAGCTGTCGTTTATTTGGACAGTGGAGAGATATTCAAGGGGTGGAGCCATCAGGACTCAGGTGCAATAGGAGCATGCAGTGGAAGTTAGTCTTTGGCCGGCTCTTCCCTGGCTGAAGATTTGAGTATGGATGAATGGATCGATGAGTAAAGGCACTCACCAGGAAAGACTTGCACTTGTGTTCATCTCCAGAATCCACATGAAGATGGAATGAAGTGACACCACGAATATCATGGAATACACACAATAATAATAATAATAACGAAGGCTGGAGAGATGGCTCAGTGGTTAAGAGCATTGCCTGCTCTTCCAAAGGTCCTGAGTTCAATTCCCGGCAACCACATGGTGGCTCACAACCATCTGTAATGAGGTCTGGTGCCCTCTTCTGGCCTGCAGACATACACACAGACACAACACTGTATACATAATAAATAAATAAGTATTTAAAAAAATAATAATAACAAAATTCATCTGTAGCGATCACACTGGTTTCATTAGTGTCAACTTTGTAAGACAGATATAAAGCTATTTACAAGTTAAACACCCCAATCAAAGATAAGGCACACCTGCAATCCTAGCACTTGGCAGGAGGATTGCCATAAGTTTAAGGCTATAAAGGAAGCTGTTCTAGGTCAGTTTGAGCAAAACAGACAAGTAAATAAGCATGTTGCCATGTTTTCATAAATCTGCACGTCACTTTCGGTTTTGTCCTGTGATGTGAAGAAGCAATGTTAACTGCTCAGTTGGAAAGATCACATTCTGGGTTTGACAGCTCCACCCCTTTCATTTTACGTGTAGAAATAGTTTGCTTGCACGTATGTTATAGGGATTCAGCAGAATAACTGTATCTGGGTAGAGAGTAGAATGAACAGATGTTTTTAGAAGTTCTTTGACCTTGAAGAATCCCTGTGGAAAACAATGATTGTTTTCCGTGATTTGTAGAATGGTTTTGCTGAAAGGGCATTGCAGCCATCCCATGACTCTGGTTCCTGGCACACTTGAGGCTCTTGTATTATTGTGTATTGCAAGTGACACATAATAAGGGACTAGAATCATGGGGCATGCGATGCTCTTCTTTAGTAAGACATGTAAATTGCATTAGGGATGTTGGTATGAGGACATACTTTGTGTAACTTTCAATAAATCCACCTTTGTACAGTTGTTGGGGTTCAGTTCGTCAGAGAGACTGGACCTTCCTGCTGTCACATAGGCCCTAACATTTCATCCTAGAGTACCTTCCTTCTTCAATAGACTTGCACTACACAGTACACCCCGACACATGTATGTCCATATTCCACATGCCCTCAGAGACCAAAAGAGGACATCAGATTAACTCTGGTATGAGGCCCAGCAAAACTTCCAGCCTCTTTGAACACAAGAGATATTTATCATCATGATGATATTGCCAGGAAAGCAAAAGTTCCCTATCACAGACTTGTTATCAACTTGAAATTCAAAGCAAGAAAAAATATATATTTTTTGATTTTCCAAGACAGGGTTCCTCTGTGTAGCCCTGGCTGTCCTGGCACTCACTCTGTAGACCAGAGTGCCCTCGCACTTAACAGAGATCTGCATGCCTCTGCCTCCCAACTGCTGGGACTAAAGGTGTGTGCTACCACCACCCAGCTAAAAAATATTTTCTTTTTTTTTTAAATTTATTTATTTATTAAAGATTTCTTTTTTTCATTTGTTTTCTTTTCTTTTTTTAAAAATTTATTTGAAAAATATTTTCTTAAGTGGATTTCCTTAGCATTATTTAATGAACATTGCACAATTGTCAATTATTCATAATCTGGACAAATCACTTTAGTATATCATTCTCTCACATATATGTTCATATATCTATGATGCCTTCCGTTTAGATCTGATATTTATGTATTAATCTATCTAGAGGTGCTTTATAGGCTTTGAATTCTCCACTTTCCTGCCTGAGCCTTTGGAAGGCTGGGGGTCTAGGCATGTGATCCTGTTCTAAAATTAATGTCTCCCTGGTGAGAAATCACTCCACATATTTAAATTAATAAAGGAAACGTTCTTTAACAATAGCATGAATCTGGCTCTAGATAATGCCCGAAAGGAGCCAGCAGTAAATAAATGCCTGCTAACTTATATACACTTTAGGCTCACTCATTCTGCCTGTGCTGTTATCCTTACCTCTCATTCAGATCCCTGCTCTAGGGCCCACTTGGAGCAGTTTAAACAGAGGCAGCAGACTGCAAGCCTGGCCACTTGGGCAGATGGGAGATTTACACAGCAAGGATATTGTCAGAATTATTTCTTAAGTCATACACCAGTGTTGTTCTTTTCCAGCC